TTAGTGGTGCGTTTTCACGATCTATTCTACATCGACCATAACCTCCCTTTTGGTGCAGCTTCCGTGGCCGGACTCCAGGGAGAAGTTGCCAATGCCACCGTGGACATCTGGAAGCACACAGATATTGGTCCCGCGTGGAAGTGGGTCGATGACTTCCTCATCGTGCGAGTCCCAGATCCAAACGGCTCCTTCACTGGCATGTCTAACGGCATCCTATTCCATTATCGCTATGACATCCACTCAGCCAAAGACTACATCGGTCCGATCAACGCGCCTTGGCACAAGGACAAAGGCTCCGACTTCGCCGATGTACAGGACTATGTTGGCTACACCTTCAACTTTCCCGCTCGCACGGTCGCTCTCCCTGAGACCAAACACCTCAAGTACATCCATCATCTGCGTTCCTTCCTGGATGCATACTCCACACGCCAAGTTCTCAAGAAGCCCACTGAGAAGATCAGCGGGACACTCACCCATTGCGCCTTCGTATTCCCGCATGGTCGTGCTTACCTCTCCGCATTATATCGTTGGATCGCTGACTTTCCAGCGGACTACATTCCTCGCTACATGTGGAACTCAGTCAAATCCAATCTCCATTGGTGGCTCTACCTCCTGGAGAATGACCATCATCCCCGTCTTCTCACTCCCAGACCTCCCACGCGCGACTACAACATCTGGGTCGACGCGTCCACAGGCACTGGCATCGGTCTCTGCTGGAATGGCCTCTGGGAGGCGTGGATCACACGAGACGGATGGTGTACTCCAATCGGACACAACATCGGCTGGCTGGAGACAATCACTATTGAGTTTGCCGTCGCCGTCACTTCCCACTTTGGCATCTCCAATGCCGATGTACTCATCCGCAGTGACAATGAGGGCACCATCGGTTCCTTTCGCAAAGGCCGTTGCTCCAACCTCGCGTCCAACACATGCATTAAACGCACGGAGGCCATGCTTCGAGCGGCGGATCTATCCATCTCCCTTATATATGTCAACACCAGTATCAACATCGCCGACCCCATCTCACGGGGGATCCTTCCTCACCCTTCTCTTCGTCTCCCATTTCGCATCCCTATTCCCGAAGACCTCACACCTTTCATCACCTATGGAACTTCCCCCTGATACTGAGATCGAGCTCGTCTTCGACATCCCACTCATCTCCCAATGCTTAGATTCTGTCGAAATCCGCGAGGCTGCAGTAGTACGTCCTGATGGACAACTACGGGTACCACGCAGACCTCGTAAAGACGCCGTCATCACTCCCTCCGCTCACCGTCCACACGTCCTCGCCAGTGAGCAATTGTTCCTCTGGACCACTCCACACGGCTTCAATGCTCAGCATGAGCTTGAACAAATCTTCCCTGAACCCACCATTCTCAAAATGTATTCCGTGCTCACTCAGTCCCTCGACGAAAACACCCGCAGCAATTACGGCGCGGGTCTTCTACGTTTCACCCAATACTGTGATAGACTACAGATTCCTGAGCACCTACGCATGCCAGCCTCTGATACCTTACTAGCTGCCTTCATCACAGAAGCAGCGGGGTCGATTTCTGATAGTACTGCTAGCAATTGGCTTTCCGGCTTACACTTCTGGCACATAGTCAATGGCGCGCCTTGGAACGGCGCAAATTCTCCCCTTCTCCACCACATGAAGCATGGACTTACCCGTCTTGTTCCGCCTAATTCAAAGAGGGCCCAACGTCCTCCAGTCACCTTAGACGCACTCATTCAACTGGGTGAAGGTCTCAATGTGACAGACTCTTTCGACGTAGCAGTCTTCGCCATCGCATGTGTCGCGTTCTGGTGCTGTTGTCGGTAGGATCTTCCAACCCATACTCCACTCCCAACTAACCCACCACCAGTCTTGGTGAACTACTCATCCCCAGTCCCAATACTTTTGATGCCATCAAGCATGTTTCGCGGTCTGTGCTTCCCATCATCACACAAGATTCGCACAATGTACGTCGCTCCTCCTTTCACATTCCCTGGACGAAAACTACGGGTACCGAGGGCGCGAGCATTAGTATCACCGCTCGGGACCACCCCACTTGTCCACTTGTTGCACTACTCTTACATCTCGACGTCAACGTCAACATACCTTCTGACTCCCCCTTATTCTCCTTTGAAACAGCAGATGGTTCATGGGCGCCCATGTCCAAATCTTGGTTCATGGACCGTGTCAACGCTGTCTGGGTAGAAGCAGGCCACGCAAGCATGCCGGGTCACGCCTTCCGCATAGGTGGGGCCACGGAGTTGCTGTTGGAGGGCGTTCACCCTGACATGGTGGCCACTCAGGGTCGCTGGAAATCCAGGGCCTTTCTCGATTACTGGCGCCAGATAGAATCTGTTCTTCCCTTGTTCATTGCATCCGCTTCTGCTTCCCCTATCGCACTTACTCGCTTACAATCTTCCATGCAAGAATATCATCATCGTCATGCCTCTTAATACAGTCTTCTTCTCCACACGCACTTCCTGTTCCTGTTCGCACACGTAATTATATTGTCCTCTCGCATTTCGCAACAATTGATGAACCTTCTTTCTGTCACTCCTTTCTCATGTCTCGTGTTGTGTCGGGGTCGGGCGTCTCGAAGAGACACTCGACTCGTATTCGAGCCACGCTCCAGGTATGGTCTGGTCTCGTTTTTCTCTTTTTCTCTCCTCCGCGGTTTCCTCCATCCCACACTTCGAGACTCGAACACAACACGCTCAGGGGGTCTGTCCCCTCTGCGTCCGGTACCTTCAAAACTTCAGCTTTTTCGAACCCCAAACCCGGACTCAGAGCGCTCCTCCCAGACCATGCGCCCAAGCGCAGTCTGGCAGAGCCAGACCCTCCCCACCACACGAAAGCGAAGCTTTTCGTGGATTCTCACTAACATTCTCACCTCGCATCAACTAGCTCACTCTCACCCCCTAACAGTGCAGAGCACAACGCGCGACCTCTCATTCACAGATATCTAACTCTCCCCGTAAACTACTTCATCCCCTTCTCCTCTCAATCTCCACTTCCACACACGCGGCCCCTATCTACAAAGCCCAGACAGCCGGGCGTCAAGCTAGCGCCAGGCGTACCATAGTAATCAACGAGAACTCAGTTTGCTGACCATTATGTAATAGAACTACGATCAAATGAGGCTTCATGCAATGACATGCATGCATGTCAAGTACCATATAGTTAATGTCTCAACTCCCACATTTTCTTCGGCAGCGAGGCCCAATATTGTGGGCTATAGCAGCCCCAGGTCCGTTTATGACGCCCAGCCCTATAGCCTGCAAGCGATATATACCCCCCCCTCCCCATGGCTTATACTCGAGCAAGATATTTTTTGCAATGTCAGGATGATAATCTCCTTCGATGTCGCAACTCCAGCCTTGGTGACCATTCTTCGGTCGGAGGCTAGTCGTCCAGAAATGCCACCACGACTTCGGTTTAACGCAGATTTCTGAACACGGGGGTGTCTGGAGAGAGAATCTAAAAGGTTAGGGGAGGTCTTCATAGTTCTGCACATCTAGCAGGATTTTCACGGAGCAAGGAAAATCACAATCTCTGATGAAGAACATCCTGGGCGTTCAAAATTCAGTAAGGCGTACAAGAGGAATCGCACAGAACGCTGACCACATAAGTCCGTCCAGACCTGCGTACGAACGCGCAAGCTGCAATATTGCATGTTCATGTACATGCTTCGAGAAATTAAAAGTGAGTTGTTCACTCAAGGGGAACCCCTCCAATTTGGAGACACCGACTACACGGGTGGGAAACTTTACAAATCCTGCTGGCACCATCAAAGATTGACGGACTGAAAAGATTTACTGTCACATGCTGAGGCTTATACCTGCCAGGTCAAAACCAAAATTTAAGAGGACGGCAGCACATGTTGCGGGACTTTTGTCGTGACTATAATAGTACTTAGACTTAATGTTGCAGGTCATTCTGCATTTTGAAAGATCATCCCCTCAGCCAATAGGTTTCAGAACTGGTGGGTTGCTCTGTGTCGGACAATGTAAGTTAAGGACACAGCGCTGACTCGGATGCGGGGCAGACACATACAGACGAAGAGTCCGCAACATAGCTAGTACCCTGTGCAGTGTGTACAGCTTGAGTAGGATCGGTCATGACAAGTTTACGATATGGTGAACTATGGCGCTGGATTCGTTCAACTATTCCCCACACAAAATATGCACATATACACAAAGGATTCACACATACAGAGTCGCGTACCGTTGCCGAGATGTATCAGGATGCTTTGGGATTAGCGTGACTTCCCGTTTTGGTAGCACCGCACGACGACAAAATGCTTGAGCTCGCTGTTGAGGACAGCGAGCTCAAAGAGTTGCCCAATCCTTCACCCTTTTCACTAGTTCTTTTGAGGGAAAAAAATAATAAGCTGTAGCTAGTTCACTATGCTATTTTGACCATAAATCTTCCATACTTACAATATTCACCCATTCCTGTCATGTATTTATACTGGGCGCTCTGAGGGGCTTATTATGGGCTCAATTAATGATGTATTTATTGTATAAATATATTAGAACTTCTACAAAGCCAGAAGTATTCAATTAGAGTCCAGAAAATACCAGAAAAGCGGTCAGGGTGGGGAGGAGGAGAAGGTGGGGAAGGAGGGTTGTGTTGTCCAAGAGTAAGCATGGTTAAGCTACAAATAATTTTTTTTCCTGAAAAGAACTAGTGAAAAGGGTGAAGGATTGGGCAATTCTTTGAGCTCGCTGTTGAGGACAGCGAGCTCAAGCATTTTGTCGTCGTGCGGTGCTACCAAAACGGGAAGTCACGCTAATCCCAAAGCATCCTGATACATCTCGGCAACGGTACGCGACTCTGTATGTGTGAATCCTTTGTGTATATGTGCATATTTTGTGTGGGGAATAGTTGAACGAATCCAGCGCCATAGACGACAACCAACCATCTCGACAATAAAGCTTGTCGACATTTGGACAATCATTAATCATTCTTTGTACATGTAAGGGAATTCGGCCAAATCCTGTGGCACACATGTTGGTTCGCAGAGGTTCGCAGCTGCCTGCTGGCTTGCTTCGAAGTTTTCTCCCTTATATTCTTTTAAGATCAGGCCCATGATTTCCTGTTAAACACGATGTCTTCTGCAAGTGGTCTGCGACAACCCAAGGAAACGAACAAAGGTAGAAATGGATTCCGCGAGAGACACATCCCTCTCGATCCCGCCAACCCGGACGACTTGGCCATTAGCAGACACCACTTTGCCCAGTACGTCCTTGCCTCCAAGGGGTCTTATAACGGACCTTCGTAAGTTTTGTTCTTACCTACACTATGACAATTCAAGGTGCTAATCTTTTGCAGGTTGAAAGAACTTAAAGCCGGTCCTAAAGCACCGCCGGTAGAGACGAAAGAAACTGTCGACGAGAAGATACAGGAGCTGAAGAGACAGCATGAAGAAGACGTTCAGCTTCTCACTATGTTCCAGGCTGCAGAGTACCGCCAGGAAGTCCTTGACAGGTATAATTGTATCGACGATTCAATAACGGGAGTGGATCCGGAAGACCAGATCCAGGTCGATTATCTTGCGGCTCTCAATGTAAGCTTTCCTTTGTTTGCAATCCGACAAATCTGACGATGTTCTAAAGGAACTATACAACGACGCAAGACCCATGAAGCGCTTCCAGCACGATATGGACGACGCCCTATCTCAGATCCGCTATAACTACCTCAAATCCCTCCTCCCGCTCCTCACTCAACGCCGTCGGTTGGGCATGCGAGATTCCCACGCTCGAAAGCAGCGTGAAGCGCAGTTTCCGCAGAGTATCGAAGAGTACCACAATAGCCCGGATCGCGACTCTCAGCTGCGTGTCGCACGGTTCCTCATGTCTTCGACTTCTGAGCAGGAAAAGATGAGGGAGACTTATCAATGGGCGTGGAGAGCAGTGCAGTCACTGATGTCGGTGTTCAAGACGAATGTAAGCTTTACTTTCAATGTGCAAGAAGGTTAATGTTGATATTAATTTGCAGGAAGGGTTCAAAAATGAAATATTGGAGACAGTCAAAGATGCGCAAGCTTCGGATCCTCGGCGTCGGCCAACAGCGACTCCTGGATGGCAGTAGGTTGGAATGTCGTCGTATCACGATCGAGAGGGGTTTGCCCCATGACTTTGTGTGTCTGATTCACTCAATGAAAAACAGTCTTCTCGCTCAGATTGGCGTAGTGCGAGGCGCGGGCGATACACACACATGAAGATGAATGGGCCAAAGATGGGCGATGGTTTGTATATCCTGGTGGCGACAAAGGGCTTTTGCATGTGCTCCACGGTGGTCCAGTGGACGTTACGATATACTGATTCTCATTGACAAAGGGCCCACCCGCAGATGTCCTGTGTTTGAAATTTCTTGTCGCATCGCGGAGCAGGATGAACATATCGTTCGGGTATATGTTTATCATCGATGAGGCTAAAATATCGTTGGTATGGAAGAGCACGTGGATCATGATGTCAGAGATATGGTAATGAACATTGATCAAGGGTTTTGCTTGCAGCCCACGCCCGGTATAGCGTCTCTGTGAACAGTTTCGTACACACGCTCATCGCATCGAAACACTGGTCTATCTTGCGAGCCTACATGCGCAGGTCAGATTGTGAGTCTAACAAAATGTTGAGGACGCACCATTGCAAGTTTCTGGCTTTCGGATAGAATAGTGAGGCAAGACGGCAGATCCTTCAAACACCACTGTCTTTCGAGCCAGAACAGGAGATGATGATTACAGAAAGACTTGAATATATGGGCAAGGCTCTCGTCCCACGGATTTGCAGCTCGCGAGAGCGAGCATCAGTGGTGAAAAAATGACAGCGAGTAGCAAAAACATTCAACAAACAGCGATTTTGCGATTATGAATAGTAGCGAAAATGAAATCACACCATGAGAATGATATGCATAGGTGAAGCTCAACGATTCAGACAAGAAAACGAAGAAAAAGATACGGCGAGGTAACTAAGAAATGATAACCTGAAAAGCATTACAGCCAAAATGCGCTGTCGTGACTAGGACAGAGTAGATACGAGATACAAAGGGGGTGTAGGTAGCGAGCATAGCAAAGTACATGATGATTTACATAAAGAAGTGGTCCGTAGAGGCCTTACGCATATCAATCTCAATCTCATCCAAGTGCGATCCAACCACACATCGGCATCTTCTGAATGATCTCCGTGGGCATCCTCAACACGCTCTCCTTATGCAGCTCATTGCTCTGGCAGTTCTCCGAACAAAGCAAGAACCTGCCAAGCCCTCCCTCCCGTCCTGTGAAGATACACACTGTCGGCGCTTTCTCAGCATGGAAATAGTACATCGTCGACGAGTATGTGTCGATGAGCGTGTACATCTTTCCCGCATATGATCCACTCTCCTCTGCCTGTATCGCATCCTCGTATTGCTTGTTTGAACCCCCACGTAACTCCTCTTGTTCCGGAACGGAGAACCAAGAACCGCTCGGTGTGAAAATCATCCTTAAGTATTGTATGGCGCCCCCATACAAATAACTTTCTACAATATCTCTGTGGATCACTCCTTTGACCCCGATGAGCCATGGCGGCGCGTTGACAACAGGCCCAGATTGACTGTAGAGAAACGATTTAGGGGAAAGGAGGAGGAGCACGACTCCGACGGCGATGAATGCGATGCCTGTCCTTTTGTAGGTGTTCAGTATAATCATAATTACCACCCCGGCGATAACGATCAGCCATGCGAGATACGGCATGGAACCGGCAATTCGCCTCCTCAGCGAATACCTGAACGTACATGCAACCTTTGGGAAATCCCTCCATCTGATAGCTGCCGCCCGACAGCCATCCGCAACGAGAGCTCCGCTCTTCGTCACACCAGAGACTTGGATCTCCGGGATCATATCCCAAAGATTCGCGCCGTACATATCATTCTCAGCGTACCAGCACGCCATCTCGGTAATGTTTGAGGGAAGCATGGATAGCATGCGCTCAATGATCCGGTCGTTATCGTTGGCCATTGACAACCTTGCGAGAGCTTTCAGACTGTCCTCCATATGGTTTGGAAGAATGCGGTGCTCAAAAAAGCCCATGAGAGCATAGACATGCTCCGCTGGGTACACCCCACTGGAGATAGGCTCCCCGCCTATCATATCCGACTGTGGCGGGAGTGGAGGACCTATTGGATGATTTGATGTACCGCGCCTCCATATAGCTTGTTGAAGGAGTGTCAAGCGCTCCAGCCGCTCAAGCGGATCCTTTCCGCCGTATGCGTTGACGATTGCTCGTTCATCTTCGGAGTGCGCATAGGCCAGGTTAGCCAGCTGAAACAACGACAACGAGTTAACCTCTTCCCGATCCCGGAACTTGTAGCAAAGACGAGAGCTCAGGAGGGTTTCGGGGAAAGTCCATACCCGCTGGCCATATCTCTCCCAACACTCGTTCTCTCTAGACTCGTTCTCTCCAGACGCAGCTCTCCCGAGCATGATCAAAGTCACCTCCGCTCTACGGTAGACGTCTGCCATGCAGTACACATCCATATTCTTCTCTGACTGAGTCGCCCCCAGACACTCCAGGTCGAGCCAATAGGCATCGAATCCCTGTCCGAGTACTGCTGCACGAACTTCGTCTGTGAAGTCTGCCCTCTCTTGATTCTCACTCGGTGTTCCCCGAGTGAAGGCATCGGCCTGGCAGTAAGAAATGGCGATGAATTTGGTGTGGATGATGATATCACGATTTGCGCATAGAACCCACTCGTTCTGGTCGCGGATCACGAGATGCCGAGGATGAAGAGTGTGTGTCCGAATTTCGTTCTCTTCCTCCTCTCTAAAGCGCGAAGAATACTCCCTGGAGGAACGAGCTGCCCATAGCTGGCCGCGAAACCTGCGGCTATACGGTTTGTAGTATCCAGCGCTATGCGACTCCGTAACCTCGCCGGAGTCCCAATCATCATCATCATCTGCATATAAGAAAATTTGCGCGAAAGACAAGACGCTTGACCAAAATAGCAGCCAATGAAACAGCAAGAATTTGATGAACCACTCGAGAATAATCCATCTTCTTATGGGGGAATTGGATAAAAGCCATCTGGCGAGTTTGCTCGTGCCGTTGGCGTGATGCTTGATGGGAATTTCTTTGACTTTGACTTCGGATGTTTGAGAGGGTTTGACGGCTTGCAGTACGAGTTTTCGACAGATCCCAGTGGTAGGGTTGACATATCTCTGCCCTGCACCATGCTTTTTCTCCCTGCCCAGGTTGTCATAGCAAGCGAAAGGTTGGGAGTCGTGATTGCGCGTGCGTGACAGTCCTAGCAGAGGCATTCTAGCTGTTCCTGTGAAATTTTTGGTGTGATGATGAGCACAAAGCCTACAGGATTTTCGAGCGATGAACAAGACTCACGGTGACAAGAGAGACACAAGCAGGGTGTTACTTTCTACAGCGATGCCCCTGAATTACCTTTATATCACACTTATGCATGCGGCATCAAGGATATTCGGCACCCATATTCGGCACCCACAATTAGCGTCCCATCTTGGGTGTCGAATATCAGGAAGCGTTGGGACACAGGTGTCCCTAGACTAACATGTATTGTCCTACATAGAGCTTTCAGATGGAATCAAAAAAAAGAAGAAGAAGAAGAACTCAGCCACTCCGGATCCGGGTTGTCGTAGAAGTATCCTACAGGAAAGACCGCGGGGCGCTCGACGAACAATTGATAACACGAAGCTAGCACCGTTCAGGGCTTGGAAGTGGAACAACTGTAACATACCATTAGAGTATATGAGCCGATATGATTGTGCTCATCCATAATGACTAGAACGGTGCTTACTTGAAGGTGGGGTAGAGAGTGGCGGGCCTTACGATAGATTAAGCGGGAGTAAGCCCCCCGCGTATTGGGCTATGTCCGACATAGGGCAATGACCGCAAAGGACAATAAATCTGGGAGAGAAAAAAAGAGAGTGACAGTCATTTCCGATACGAGAACCAAAAAATTCAGCTGCATCCAATGGACATTCAAATTTTTTGTGCCAGTGCAGTGAGCTAAATGTAACTCAGCTTGATGGATGAGAGAAACAACGTACACCAGGCCATCCAATGGGGCCGTTCGGCCGACTTTCACCACATCGTGCAAGTGTGGCGGAAGTATTTGTCGGTGCTTGTAGCTGAGTCAACGGGCTTGCAGTAGAGATTCCCAATTATCAACGTTCGATAACGTTTAACTGCCCACTCCAGTAGGAAATGATGCAACCCACAGGACCGCGGCAATTTGTTGTTCAGCGGGGTCTACAAATATCGCTTTACAAGTTTCGGTGGCGGCGATGTCTTCTAGAATCGCGTTCTATGAGCAAGGTGCCGGTTCGGAGCCTGCCGGGGATTCAGCACACTGCGCGAGACCCTGATTATTCAAATCAAAACAGCCAAAATCCAAAGGATCTGGATAATAGTAAGAAGACCTTCGAAAATGTGGCTAACAACGGAGGGGCCATAATACCTCGGGGTTCTGGCCGGTGGTCGACTGCGCAAAGAAATTGGGCTGTCTTTGATCACGTTTTGCGCCCAGTCTGCATTGCGGTTGGGCAGGAGCTATGTGGGATCGACGTTGAGCTGGAGTGAGAAGCAAAGGACATGATGGTGAGTTTCCAAAGGACAACAGGACTACAGACGCACATATATAGCCCCTAGGATAAGGTGCCCGTCTGGATAAGTTGCAGCGTAAGTGCCCGCTTCTCCACACATAGGCGCACGGGGGTCTTCATTGTTGCTCTTTGTTAAAAATTCAACGTTGAAAATGGACAAGTCGAGCAAGATAATACGGATGAACATAAGGTGATTGGACTCCTTCAACGTTCCAATTTTTATGCACCTGTCCTAGCACAGGTGGTCAGTGGGTCTACTGATTGACGCTTCGTCGATGGTCATGACTTACACATTCCTTCAGCGCTCCAAGTTCTATGCAACTGTCCTCGAACAGGAGGTCACGCCAATTGATTTACGCCCCATGATGATGATGACCAGACGCCTTACTGGGATTGATATGAGCCCCCTGTTGGAATAAGTGGCAAGTTTCAACCCATTATTCGATTAGACATTGGTATCAACGCGTGACGCCCACCTACAAAGTGTGAGGGAATTTCACCTCTTTACATAAACATACACTGCATCGAAAATCGCGGCACTCTGCGAGATATAAATTATGTACTACACCTATAACAGATCATTTTTAGTTCGAGCAAGCTGTAAATGTAAAGGTAGTATACCTAGATGCAGAGTGTGGAGTAAATCATGTGCATCCAAGTCTTCTCGCTGTCGGATCTGAGTCTTGCCGCAGTTTGAGTTTATCTCCGGCTTTAGCCGTGGCCGGAGCCGTAGTTAGCCAAGCCATGTATCTAGTTATATATTACGTAATAAACGGCCCGGTCTAGTCAGTAAGCCGTGTTTCCAGGCTTCAAGCCAGCTCAAACTAAGTTTAAATTTGGAATAAATATATAATTTAAAATTTAAATAGATACAAATGGTAGAGAGCGGCTGGGGATTTTACGAGTACAACTAATGATAATTCTTCTTTTCAAGATACTGAGCGTCCACCATATGTTCAAGTAACACTGAAGGGTGATGAGTCGGTACGACTAAGGAGACCATGGATAGTGATCCATGGGACTCAGACCAGACAGATGGGAAGAAGGTCATGGAATGGGTGAGAACTAGCTACTGACATGCACGAAGTATATCTACTGAGTGCCTCGAGGCCCAGGCAAGACCCCTGGCACCCCTGGCAGACCCCTGGCCTCAGACCTGGCCAACCCCTACCGACACAGCGATACCCTTGTAGAGCATCTGCAAGATTGAGACTATCTCCAGATGAGCGACGCATATAGTAACAAATATGATAGTCACTTACAAATCAGCTATGGTGTCATTGGTAGATTGTACACCACCAGAAAGAAAGAAACACATCGGAGCAGCAGTTTCTTCGATGGCTAAGCCGAGGCCTGCTTCGCCCAGGATGCAATCACAGCCCTCAGAGCCCAATCATTCTCAGTGTCGTTCACCAAGCCGGTCTCCCAAGCGACCCTTTCCTCAAACACCCCCTTCGTCTGGCAATGCCCCCGTATCTACCTCTCGCACGAGGCCGCAGTCTATGCTTGCCTTTCCAGTGGCAAAGTCTACTTCGGATGGAAAATGGACGCACCGTCAACTCCTACGGGTCTATCTGTTCCAGAAGACAACCCTTGCGAGCACGGCTCTCAGCGGACCTCAATATCAGATATGGTCCAGCACTTCGAAGCTATTGGGGGCAAGGTCAGAGGCCTAGGTCCAGGTTCGCATGTGACAGTTCCCAACTTACCAGGTTTGAAGATGCCAACCTCATCTACTGGAACTGGTCGTGCTGTGGATGTCACGGGCACAAGCCCAAGTTCCCCATTAGTGTCGAGATTCACAGCCTCCAGAGTCCAGAGTCACTGCATCAGCTTTTGAAGAGCCGGGTCCTGGAGTTGACTCGGGGAAGCCACGACCATCTGTGATTGATTTAGCCAGGGCGGCCCTTGTCAATCAGGACCAGAGCAAGGCAGACACATGCCTGGATCATCAGTAGGATGAGCCGTTCCCCTAGACGGTCTTCCAGTATCGCTATCTTTTTCCCCTCCAAAGCCTGCCACATGTCTAGAAGAGCCACGCTCGCCATCACCTTTTCAATGAGTGGGAAAGCTCATCAACCAATGGCAGCGTAAAACGGAGGTTGATTCACGGGCGCAAAAGAAAATATGTGATGCGACTTTGAGCTTGGTCCGGGGTCATGACCAGCAGTGAAGCAAAGGTGGAGAGGGCATGTCGGAGCTATGAGGGGGTTGTTACCGTCATCGGCCTCGAGGGTTAGAAGGATGGTGGGGAATCAGACACTTCAGTCGTTGGGACGTAGAAGTTAGAACCTCTCAAATCTCAATAGGACAAAAATTTAGGGACATTGGCGTGGAGGGCAGATATGAACTTACAAAGGCTATGCTGGTGCCCATTTGGCCTGTGCCGAGGATGCCTAGTCGTTTGATTTTGTGCAGTGTGGGCAATAAACGTTGTGGTTGAGTTGAGAGTAGGACCCAAAATAACATGTAAGACTTAATTAGAAATACAAGTATTAATAAATTCTTAGGGTGAACCCCAAAAAGAAACATTGTGCGCTGTGCGCAATCGACCAATATCGATCAATCAATAGATGTGATTCTACAGTGACAACACCAAGTACTACGTAGCACTACGTCCCAACTACGTCTGAAATAATCTCGCATATCAAAACACACGATCACAATTCACAATGGGCCCCCAAGCCGATGTGAGTGCCAGCTGACTTCTCCGTTATTCGGAAAGCTAAGTTGAGATCAGCAATATTGCAGTCTCACTTGTGCCCGCAAGATGCTGGAAAGACAGGCGGAGATGGAGAAGATGATGGTAGAACGGGCAGCAAGGGCAGCAAGGGAAGAAAGGGCTTCACGGAACGGCGGATTAGCAGAGGTGGCCCAGGTGGGGGCGGCAGCAAACGTCTGAGGACGACTAGTGGCGAAGTGGTGTGCAGTTTTGAGGAGATTGGGTTGGGGGCGGGAGGATTAGGTGGGGGTGGCAGCAAATGTCTGAGGATGACTAGTAGCGTGCAGTTTGGAGGAGATTGGGTTGGGGGCAGGAGGATTAAGTGAAAAGGTTGGGTTGGAAGCGAAAGTCGTCGGGGATCGTCGAGAATCAATATCACATTGTATGCTGTACGTTGAGGAGGGGTCTGAGCCATCACAACCTCTTGCTATTATATAGAATTTTTAAAAAAAACTCACCCTGTTTGTACCTAGACATTTGTACCTAGAATTAATTAGATCAGCGGCGACTTTCTTCAGGGAAGCCTCCAGGACATACCTACAATCGACGCTGTACGTTCATACCTAAAGTTAATGAGTTCAGCGGCGACTTTCTTCAGGGAAGCCTCCAGGACATACCTAAAGTTGTGACGCTGACGTTCATACCTAAAGTTAACGGGTTCAGCGGTGACTTTCTTCAGGGAAACCTCCAGGACATACCTACAATGGACAATGGACATTCATACCTATAGATCAGCGGTGATTTGATGCACCGAAGGCGTTCGTGGTGCGGGATTCATAGATGGTGAGAGACGGAGTGCATGCAGGTTCTCTGACATCAGAAAACATCGCTTTGCGTGCAGCAAAATGCCGTCGATGGTGGGGAGCGCTAGGGAAATTGTGACAGAGAGCGGAGTAAAAAGAGTGAACCTGTGGGAGATGGCGCTCTCGCACACTGATCAGCATGACTCCAGCTGAACATACCTTGAGGATGCAATTATCTGACCAGGAGACTGTCAGATGCGTTTGAGCCAACAAATGAAATTAGATATACAAACACAAAGAAACATAGAGTGAATGATGGTAAGCAAAGAGTAAGAAATGAGTGGCAAAAGATATGTGGAAATCGAGGAGATGTCAGTTATCATAAATGGTGACCTCGTCGTCAACGTCATCGCACTCATGCTCTGCAATGGCTTTGAGAACAGCGTCGTATGCACAACCGTCACCTGTCATTTCACTAGATACAGGCGCCATAATCTCGTCAGAACCATTGTCAGATACCATCACACCTTCCATGTCCCATTGCGATGCCGCCCAACCTTTGGTAAAGTTCAGTCGCTCCTTTTTGATGGAGAACTTCACCATCTGTAGCGCCTCCATGAGGACTGGGGAGATGCGATTGCGCTTCTTGGTGTACGTTTTGCTGCTTGACGAGAACACCCACTCACAGGGAACAGCAGACGCCTGGATTGGGAGGTAGTCCATAGTGATGGTGTAAACTGTCGGGAACATTGCCTCAGACATCTAGTTGAGATGTTGTGGTCAATGACGAAAGATGTGACTTGATGGAGAATAAGATTCTCACCTGCCAGAAGGAGAGTATATTCGTTCCCTGAGGACTAAGATTGGCTGTGGTGTAAGCCCCAAACTCCTGTTCGACCGTCTGGACAACATCATGGCTATGCGGCGGTGCATCCCTCTCAGGAAGTCCGTAGATACACGAGCCTAGCGTGCGTGCTTGTAGTCTTGAGACTGGGTGGGTTGGAACCGGTACGTCTGGGAGCCTTTGTGCTCACTTGGTATGCATCTGCAGGACATATGAGCGCATGTCGTTGTTAGTTAATTAGACGTACTAGATTGAGAATGAACGCTTGAGCCGAATTGAGTCGATTCCTGTCCCAGTGATCTGCAGCCCACGACATTCGGCATGTAGGATCAACAACTATAAAACAATCATCAGAAATTAACCTTTGTGAAAGTGCGAGGGACTCACACATCACAACTGTGTATGCATTCGTGCAGGCCATCCGGTCATCATACTTCTCCGCCCAAGTCAAACCAATGTTGATAAGTGGTGCACAGTGCAGGGCGCCGCTGGCCAACTGCTTCCAATCATCGAGTAACCTTTCAAATGTTGGAACCGCACTACCCAACATGGGAGTGCTCTCGCTCAACATAGATTGCTGAGCTCTGTGTGGGGGCTGACATTACACAGTTAATTGTGACATGTGTTTCGAAGGCATTAATATGGACCTCCAGAATCACTTCGAAGTCCTGAAGGAAATGCCATTCCATTGGACTCAGCTTTTTCTCGTGTATGGAGCGTTGATTGGCAGACTCAAAGAATAAATCAACTGCCTGGGCAATCATTAGTCTATGACTAATGTCAAGTGAGATAAGGCCTTACCTGACGTAGAGTTCATAGACGGTTAAGCATGGCGTAAACTGAATCCCACCGTGTTGGTTCATCGAGCAGGAGTTCGACTGTAGGGAGCTTTATCGGCTCGCCATTGTCTCCTTGAAATCATGCCTTCTCGTTATTTATCACAATAGTGTCCCGTAAAATCCCGCGTCGTTGGTCTGATGCACGAATGGAGCACACAACATTTCTGGCCCACTCGAGAGCTTTACCAGTGACAGCGCCAATATATTCCTTCTTGTTGATAGGTGTGCCGCAAATGTTCCATTGGTCCCCCACACAGGAAAAGTCTGCCATGGCGTAGTCGTCGACAATATGCTTCACGCATATGTTGATCACGTGTGGAAAACAGGGAATTCTGTTTTCAACCGGATCATAATCAATCTGACGTGCCTCGAGTAAATGGGAGAGCTCCTTCATAGAAGTCTGATTCAAGGAGATGCAATAATACTGAACCAAGCGATTTGCCAGTGTGGCTTCCAGGAACATGGTGAAAGGCAATCAAAGCCGCCTTCAAGACTAGCACTGAGGTATTCTCTTTCTTGGCAATCCAATGAGCGGTGAGTGCCATGAATGGGCGGAGTTTCTTATCCGACCAGAGGTCAGATGTAAAGGATACTTTCCCTTGCGCCCTCTGTAAGAATACATAAGGCATTTGACGGGACTCTCGACAACTAGACACTTACCGCAAGATCTCTTTTCAACACCTGGAAATATTCGTGCCATGCGATAATGACCAGTTCACGAAGTTTTGTGCAGTGGGGAATGTCTGACTCGTTCACATCCCTCCACAGAAGACGTATCAGGCGCCAAAACTCTACACATTTGATTATATTTATTGCCTGCAGATGATCAATTAACAAGGGCACATCAAAAGTAAATCTCACTCACCTGGTCATCCGCGACTATGAACTTCACTAACTGCCAGTGCATCTCGTCAATGCTAAAATCCAGAATGTAATCATCCAGAGATACCCCGGTTCCTAGCAGCAAATCGTTGGATCCATTATTAGGCATGGTACCAAACAAGTCAATATGATAAGTGGGGTCTTGAAGTCTTTCACAGATGGCTGCCAAAGTTCACCCTTCATTAAGGCGCAACTTCAGTGACTTTACAAGAATTGGCCAGCGCAGGCGCTCTGCCTCTTGTAGGTAAAGGTCTGTATGGCTGAAGAAAGCATGGTTACGATGGGCAGAAGTGCTGGTCATGTGCTTGTATGTGGTAATTCGGTGTGAATCGTCCACCTTCTGCAAGTCCCTGGACAAGGATGAGAAAAAGAACAAAAGAACGGCAGATATGTATATGGGCTCACTCGCATACTTGGCAAATCTTGCGGTTAGTGGCTGGATCCAACCTAAAGAAGTCACAGACATCAGCTGTGCTTTTGGGCTGCGTTCCTTGGATACCCGTGGCTAAGGGATCGTTTTGGGTGGAGTAAACCGTACTAGTAGCCGTTTGCAGTGGGCCAAGGACAGGAGGAGCCCTGACTCCTGGTGCAGGCAAGTCATCCTCTTCATCTCCAGAGACATGGCCGATCTCAATATATTCTCCGTCATCTGCCGTATGATTGGTGCCAGTCTGAGCTGGGTTGTTGTCGCGGAACCTCATAGGCATTTGTCGTTGTCTATGGGGGTGTTGAAGCGCAGTTGCATTCAATGCAACAGCAGCAGTGATGGGGGCAGCAGCGATGGGGGCAGCAGCAGTGGGGATGAGGAGAGGTACAGCAGCAGGAGTAGGCGTGGTGGCAACCTGAGACTTCTGCCCTCGTCGACGAGGAGCGATGTTTAAGTGATTGTAATGGTAAAGATTCAAAGACAGAGTCTTTATAAACCTTCGTCCTGGGGAAACAACGGGGAAACCCCAGTCCTGAGTCGACTTATGATAAGTCCAGTGCATCACACAAGCAAAGTAACAGGTCTAAACACAACATCATTAATAGTGATACGACGCAAGGGAGACAATTGAACATGCACTCAGGGTACGTACCATGAGATCTCCACTTCAGTGGTCCTAGCGAACACAACATGTGAGTGGGGTTTCCCTGGTGCCCGCCACCCATAGAGCTTACCTGACAAGAGGGGTACCATAAACTTCATGGACGTTCTGATGGACAGTGGTCCTAGTGAACACAACATGTGAGTGGGGTTTCCCTGGTGCCCGCCACCCATAGAGCTTACCTGACGAGAGGGGTACCATAAACTTCATGGGCGTTCTGATGGACACTAAATCTCGCAATCAGTTGGGTATATCACGTGAAGTAAACCTTACCTGCATCCTCGTAGTCAATTGACTGATCAATTGAGTTCAGAAACCAGATCACATACAGCAAAGCCATCCAGCAAAAGGGACATGGCGTGTTTGCAAAAGGCTCCCCATGCGCCACACAGTAGGGTGTACGATCAGTAGTTTTTAAAAACACCATAAAGATTACCTTCATTCCTGGGGTCGATGACCTGATCATTTGAGTATTAAACCTAGATAACGATACAGCGAAAGGGAAGCAGGGCATTTGCTAAAAATCCCCCATGCGTCATCCGCTGGTCATTGTGCTGATTGCATTCGATTAGGTGAGTCCGGTAGATGTCGGGACTCAGGCTTCAGGGATAAGTATCCAGGATAAGCTCGCTCCTGTTGCAGGCCAACCGATCTGCAGAAAAATGACACTGGTAAGTTGCAAGGAGGATGGGCACGGAGATGGGCAAGTGTGAAAAAGATAGAAGCTCACTTAGAGCTGCGTGGGAGCCACGATGATTGATGATTAATTGACATGTATTTGGCCACGTCTGACCAGAAATGTTGTAGGCTAGTAGCCTATAGGCTCGTACACTGTATCATACAGTGGCTCAAAAAAGTGTCCGGATGTTTGTGTGATTTTGAGTAATTGGATCATAGCAAGCCAGCACCTAAATATAACATATTGGTATAGGGACATGTCTGAAAGCCCTACATCATGGCTCGAATCTGAGCTATGTAGCGTGGGAACAAACCCTTATATGGGCGAGATATGGTAATTCTATTCTTATGACTCATTCGGACACTTTTGTGACTTTATATTAAAATCACAAAATGAGACCATTCATACATAATAATCTTAATAAAAGTGGTACCATAATAATAATATGGTCTGATTTTAATATTATTTAAATATATAAACCCACTTGAAATCATAAAATTTAACATACTCATCATAAAGCCCATCTCCTCTGCTCAAAAGGATAATATCCTTGTTCTCTCTACCTCTGGTTTATCTATCAGGAATATTGCTTCCAAAACTGGTCTTGGCAAGTCTACTATTGCTACAGTTATAAAGAAGAACATACCAGATAAGGAAAATGTCAGAATGGAATGTCCTCCTAAGCTTACCCCACAGAACAAAAGAGCTGTTGTTCATCAAATTCTGTCTGGCAAGGCTTCAAATGCTGTGTAAGCCACCAAGTTCATCAATTCCATTATCTCTACTCCTGTCTCCACCCAAACAATCAGAAACACCCTCAAGGCAGCCAACCTTAAGGCTGTAACCAAGAAGAAAAAACCTCTTCTCTCAGCAGCTCATAGGAAGAGAAGACTGGCCTTTGCTTTAAAGCACCAACATTGAACTGTAGAAGACTGAAAGAAGGTTATTTGGTCAGATGAAACAAAAATCAATAGAATGGGGTCAGATGGTCAGGAATATGTGTGGAAAAGCAGGAGAACCCCTAGGAGAAAGAGAAGTTAGGGGTACACTGAAGTTTGGAGGAGGAAGTATGATGGTATGGGGCTGCATGGGGTGGAATGGTGTTGGGATTCTCTGTGAGGTGGAGGGAAGGATGAATGCAGAGCAGTACATCTCCATCCTAGAGGAGTGTCTACTCAAAAGCATGCAGGAGTCAGGAATTGATGAAGAAGACATTATCTTTCAACAAGATAATGACCCCAAGCATACCTCCAAGCTGGCCACAAAATGGTTTGAAGACCATGACATCAATGTTTTATTATGGCCAGCACAGTCTCCAGACCTCAATCCCATTGAACATCTCTGGGAATTACTCAAGAGACTACTTGCTGCCTATCAAGATCCTCCAAAAGGGCTATTTGAACTATGGGAGAGAGTTGCAGTAGAATGGGCAAAAATTGCCAAAGAGGAGTGTCAGAAATTGATAGAAAGTATGCCTAGAAGGGTTGCAGCAGTTATTAAAGCCAAGGGGGGCAACACAAAGTACTAGAATCATACAATAAATTTGATTTAACACAAAGTCAAAAAAGTGTCCGAATGAGTCATAAGAATAGAATTACCATATCTCGCCCATATAAGGGTTTGTTCCCACGCTACATAGCTCAGATTCGAGCCATGATGTAGGGCTTTCAGACATGTCCCTATACCAATATGTTATATTTAGGTGCTGGCTTGCTATGATCCAATTACTCAAAATCACACAAACATCCGGACACTTTTTTGAGCCACTGTATATACATATTATGTACAGATAAGAGATACACAATCAACAGCGTGATCTTGCAACAACTGTTTTTTTCGGGCGTGGAGCTGAAGTAGTTGGGTCACTTGGGTGCATCAGAGAGCCATTACGTGGGCGTAAACTTGGAAATCACTTGAGCTTCAGATCGCGAGTGGAAAAATGAAATAGATTACTCACACACGAGTAGATCTGCAAAGTGGTGTTGCATCCGGCGGACATGGGGGCACTGCCTCAGCCATCCAGTATTCATCGGAGATTGGAGGGGGATGTATCATGTGATCATTGTGATGATCAGGTTGGTTGAAATCCAGCGAGCACATAGCTGGTGGGGACAATGTGGCTTGAAGACCGTGAAGCAACGAACAAAGATGTCCATAGTCAGGGTCCTCTGAGAACGCAAGAGAGCGCGTGTAGATGAGAATACTTGTGAACTCAACAGGAATTCCATCGCATAAGTCTTCAATAGTGGTGTTGACTTTGTGCTCAAGAATAGATGAGCTGGAGAGCTTCTCGTCACTAGTCAACCATGGAAGGGAGACACGCAACAAATAAATCAACATATATGTAAGCGACTCAAGATCATCACGATGACCTGGGTCAACTCCCAAGTGGTTGTTGATAGAAGCAAACGCAGGAGTGCCAGTGAGGCGTTGATTCTGACGAAATGGGATGTGGACTCTGGTTGCGGTGTTCCAGTATTCCTTCGCGATACCGAAATTGATAATGAATGCAGTGTGCCTCAAGTGGCCAAGACCCACCAAGACATTCTGTGGTTTGATATCACCGTGAACGTAATTGTGTGAGTGGATGTACGCAAGATGTGAGAGCTGGGAAACAAGTTAGCCTACTTGCAACAACCCAGCACAAATCAACTGACCAGCTGGTCCCCCAAATTCACGACAGCGTGAAGGCTGAATTTTTTATTGTGTGCGAGGAAAAGATCGTGAAGTGATGGCCCAAGGAGGTCAAGGACCAAAGCGTGATATGTTGATTCTCTACCAAACCAGAGGGCGCGGGGTATCCCAACTCCACCCTCGAGTCGTTTCAAAATGGTGTATTCACATTGTACAGAAGACGAGTGGCAGGCGATGGGTTCGAGTTTTATCGCAACTGCGTCATCTTTGATGATGTTTCGTGCGTGGTATACAACAGCTAAGCAGACCCAGGGTTCATGTTGAGTTTTGCAGTTGTAATCAGGTTGTGAACGACGTACTGTATGAACCAGATCCCACAACTTCTCCGAGTCTGAATCTACCATCGACTTGTATTGGAACCTTATGATTCATGGTACGTGATAACTTGAGCCTTGAGGAGTACAAAAATCCAACAGGGAATCCAACCGGGAACAAGACTTAAAAATAAGATGTGATTCCATCAGCTTGAGCCGCCTTAAGCTGGCTTCAAGCCAGCTCGAGCCGCCGTTCATGAATTTTGGCTTACAGTTGGTTCATGGGACTCCGTGCAGCTAATGAACCAAACCAAACTATACATAAGTGGCCTAGCTCACTAGGATAACCCAAACACTGACAAACCGGTGAACGCCAAGCCGGAGCGCGCCATAGCCAAACTGCTGTCACTAGATCTGACTCGATTGAATGTCTATGAAATCGATAGTATGAGCGCTATAGATTGACTTCTGCGGCACCACTTTTCAGCGTCAGACATTGGTCAGGATCCGAATGAAAGTAGCACTAAAGATTGAGTCATCTGCGCACCTAATGCGCAATTGATATCACATCATGGTATGTAAGAGTTCTGATATGGATTAGCAAGTCTTGAGTCAGTGGCGGCGGCGCCCTTGGTCCAGCCAATCCAGATCACACTTGTCTTATCATGGCTCGCGATAGAGTTCAACAAGAACTTAATAAATGGGAGTTGAATTTTAATCCCCTCGGAGATGATTTTTGTTGCTGGAGGCAGGATAGCATCAGCACGTTCAACGGGCAGTGAAAGGTAGGTCCACTAGTAGCAAGGTTCTCGAACACAGCGTTTTTTGTGATGAGCCTTTTGAATTCAACAAACACAAACACGGCGTCGTTCGTCTTCACACCTTCTCTCCAACTCAACCAACGAACATGTCCACAGCATACACCTTCCAATCCCCCTCCGTCACACTCGAAAAAGGCGCGTATCGCCACTCTGAAGTCCACTCTCTTCTCTCTACGACAGAAAATCTAACCCAAATTATGTATCCCTGGTATTTTCTTTGGCTTACGATCTTCCAAATGAACAAGGTTTGCTATAGGTATATCTTTTGGCGCTCCACACGTATCACAGGTGGATGTCAGCGGCGAAAGGCTCGCAAGAAATTCGACTGATGGACAGTCCAGAAAGGAGTGGCTTGTGGGCGCTGAATGCTACCTTGATAGCGGCCATTCACCTCCTTTTTGATTTACTAATTTTGAACTTGCATACCACCAACCTTTCGGACGACGAGTCACTTCGAAGTTCTAGTCCCTCTGAACATACCGGTAATCAAGGAATCTGATCGTCTTTCTAGATGTCTGATTGTCTTTTTAGATGTCTCTGTCTGCCTCCGAATAACTAGGCTGTGCTATCTTTTCGGTAGGACGGAAATGGGAGAAGGGACCCAGGCCGGAGCCTCAACCTTGATCACTCGTCCTCAAATTAAGTATTACTGCTGTGCCTTTCTTGCCTTCATTTTCGATTTACAAATTTCAAATTTCCATATCGTCAACCTCTTCTGATTATTCCATGAACACACGAATAATCAAGGCCTCTAAAGCTTTTATCAGAAGTTGCTGTCTGCCTCCCACAACAGGACTTTCTTTGTAATCGAAGTGGGAGACAAGGACCCTAGCTGCTCCCTCGCCGGTGAGCTTCAGCTCAGAATCTCTCATCATATTGTCCTCAAAGTCACGCATCTGAGCACATGGGACAAATGTCGTGTCCAACGGCAGCGTGCCGAGACTCAGGACCTGTTGATCACCACAAAAGAGTTGCTGATTCAGTTCTAGCAGGCAAGACCCACTCGACAGGTGTTCATCCGTCCATAGAATCATCGTCTCCTGGGGCCGCCTGATTTTGCAGACGATGCGGAGAGCTTGGGAGAATGGTCTTGGCCCAAGTCCCCGTTAGGCGGATCTCTATCCACAAATATCCTTTTTGAGTTTTGGTGGAGGTGATGTCTCGTATGCGGGCGCTGTCTTAATCCTCCGTGATTGTCCTATTTTCTGTTGCCCATAATATTGATCGTGTTCCAGATTCATTCGTGTTCCAGTGGTTCATACATATTTATCACCACATTGACATCTGGTGTTCGAGATCGTTGTGGTTGTGGTAGTGCAATTGTCGCGTCACGGAATCTACTTCATCGATGACCCCCTCACGCTCTAGTAGCTGAACCTATCGTCGCAGGTGTATACTCCATTTATAATTTACGGTACATATTGTAGCAACTGATCGTATGCAAACCGGAGGGAAAAAAAGAAAAACAAGAAAAATGAAGGGAAAAAATGGCGAAGTAAACTAAGACACGAAATATTACAAGGCGTCGCAGCCAAGATTAGGACAAAGGTACAAAGGGAGTGTAGGTAGTGGGCATCGTAAGGTACATCGCGATCTAGTCGAGTATGATTCCATACTAGAGTTCCGTAGAGTGGCTCAAGGCGGCCTTACACAAATCAATCTCATCCAAGCGCGACCCAACCACACAACTCCATCTTCTGAATGATCTCCGTGGGCATCCTCAACACGCTCTCCTTATGCAGCTCATTGCTCTGACAGTTCTCCGAACAAAGCAGGAACCTGCCAAGCCCTCCCTCCCGTCCTGTGAAGATACACACTGTCGGCGCTTTCTCAGCACGGAAATAGTACATCGTCGATGAGTATGTGTCGATGAGCGTGTACATGTGTCCCGGATATAATCCACTCTCTTCTATTATCGCTTCGTCGTATTGCGCTGGTGAGCCTCCCCGTAACTCGTATCGTTCCGGAACCGAGAATCGAGAACCACTCGGTGTGAAAAACATCCTCGGGAAACGTTTTATGGTGCCCCCATACAAAAGACTCTCTACAACATCTCTATGGATCACTCCTTTGACCCCGATGAGCCACGGTTGCGCAATGAAAACAGAACCAGATTTGCTGTAGAAAAACAGTACAGGGGAAAGCAGGAGGATAATCAATCCAATGGCGATGCATGCGATACCTCCCTTTTTGCTTTTGGTCGTCACAATCCCTAGCCCGATTAAAATGACTGGCCAGGCGATATATGGGATGAAACTGGCAATCTGCTTCGTCTGCGAGTACGAAGTCGCACATACAACCTCTGGGAAGTCCTTCCATCTGATGGCTGCCGCCCGACAGCCATCCGCAACGAGAGCTCCGCTCTTCGTCACGCCAGAGACTTGGAACTCCGGGATGATGTCCCAAAGATTCGCGTGGTACACATCATTGTCGGCGTACCAGCACGCTCTCTCGGTGATGGTCGAGGGAAGCATGGATATCATGCGCTCAATGATCCGGTCGTTATCGTTGGCCATTGACAACCTTGCGAGGGCTGTCAACTCGTCCTCCATGTGGTTCGGAAGAATGCGGTGCTCAAAAAAGCCCATGAGAGCATAGACACGCTCCGCCGGGTACGCCTCACTGGCGATAGACCCCCCACCTATCATATCCAACTTTGCCAAGGATGGAGGGCCCATTGGATGAGCTGATGTACCGCGCCTCCATATAGCTTGTTTCAGGAGTGTCAAGCGCTCCAGCCGCTCAAGCGGATCCTTCCCACCGTATGCGTTGACGATTGCTTGTTCATCGTCGGAGTGCGTATAGGCCAGGTTAGCCAGCTCAAACAATGACAACGACTTGACCTCTTTCCGATCCCGGAACTTGTAATAAAGACGAGAGCTCAGGAGGACTTCGGGAAAAGTCCATGCCCGTTGGCCCCAGCCCTTCCAGCACTCGTCCTCTCCAGACGTGGCAGCTTTCCCGAGCATGATCAAAGTCACCTCCGCTCTGCGGTAGACGTCTGCCATGCAGTAGACATCCAAATTCTTCTCTGACTGAGCCTCTCCTACACACTCCAGGTCGAGCCAATAGGCATCAAATTTCTGTCCGAGCACCGCTGCACGAACCTCGTCTATGAAGTCTGCCCTGTCTTTTTTCTCACTCGGTGATCCCCAAGTGAAGGCATCGAGAGTGCGGAAGGAGATGGCGATGAATTTGGTGCGGATGATGATATCACGGTCTTCGCATTGAACCCACTCGTTCCGGTTGCGGATCATGAGACGTCGAGGATAAAGAGTGCGTATCCGAATTTCCTTCTCTTCCTCCTCTCTAATGCGCGAAGAATGCTCCATGGAAGAACGAGCTGCCCATAGCTGACCGCGAAACCTGCGGATATACGGTTTGTAGTATCCATTGTTATGTAAACCCACATCCTTCTCAGAGTCCGAGTCATCCCCAGATGTGAAGTAAAGTTGGACGAGAAACCAGATGATTGGCCATAATAGCAGCCAATTAAACAACCACCATTTGCGGATCCACTCGAAAATTATCCATCCTCTTATGGGGCAGTTGGATGACAGCCATATGCCGAGTTTGCTCGTCTCGTTGGCGTGATTACTGATGGCAACTTCTTTGACCTCGGCTGTCTTAGAGGGGTTGACGGCTTGCAGTACGAGTTTTCGACAGATCCCAGTGGTGGGGCTGACATATCTCTGGCCTGCACCGTGCTTTTTCACCTTGCCCAGGTTGTCATGGCAAATGAAAGATTCGGAGTCGTTGTGCGTGAATGGCAGTACTGACCGAGGCATTCTACCTCGGTGTGACGATGAGTACAAAGTTTATAGGATTTTCGAGCTGTGAACGGGACCTACGGCGAGAAGAGAGACGCGAGCAGGGTGTTACTTCCTACAGCTATGCCCCAGGATTCAAGTTACCTTTATATTGGTGCCATCAGGAAGCCGCGGCTGATCTGTTTATCATATTGTGCTGAAATGATATTGGCAATGCATGGAGGCTGGTTCGTTCACAGCCAGAAAAAATCATGACTTCATCACCTACTGATGGTGATGTGTATGTTTTACAACAGCATCCATCATCGCTCAGCGCTCAGCAGTGAGACGGGTAGTACTAAGTAAAATCATTGATTGTGGCCGCTCATGTACATGATCATGATGGAGGCTGTGGACAGGTGTCAACCCGTCTGATCTGCAGACACTGGGAGGCACTGGGTGTGGGAAATAAGTTTAGCATCTCCACATTTCGGTTGTCGGAAGTAGGAATGTCCTACGTAGAAAAACGCGGGGCGCTCGGCGGATGGTTGCATAATAACGTGTAGTATCGTTCGTCTTCAAGGGCATCCAGGAAATGGACACTCTGGGGCCAGAGTCTGGGGCGCATGGTTGTTTCAGTCAGAGCTTGAATAACTTGCGACTGACATACCAAGCAAATGAGTATGGCGGAATGATGTCAGCACTCAGGCAGGATGATGCGCCCATTGACATGTAACATGTTTACACATACTTTAAGTTGGCAAGCACGGGGATCAATGAATATTGCATAAGACAAGTCTGTAGGTGGCTTAAATGACTGGACTGACAGATCAAGGTGTGTGTGACACATAGATGACAGAACAAGAGCCAGACAAATAAAAAGACGAGTAAAAGAAAGAGGGCATATCCCTTGCGGACACCACAGTGCACTGGCTCTGTAGCAAATAGGACTCATGCATTGGCCCCGAGAAGGATGGGCGGGAAGGACAGTAGTAGGCATGGCATGATCATAAAGGCAGATCATAAACACAGTATTCCAATGGCAGCTGCATGCGGGCGGGAGGCAAAGAGGTTTGTCATCGAGCGATGAAATTTAAACTCAACGGTCTCTGCCGGACTCCTTTCATCGTCTTCACACCTTCTCTCCAACTCAACCAACGAACATGTCCACAGCATACACCTTCCAATCCCCCTCCGTCACACTCGAAAAAGGCGCGTATCGCATGCGCGCACCTCACAGTACACGTCCAGGCTCTTCCCTCACCCAAAGCCTAATGAGCGCCAAACAGCCCCCACTCCACACTAAAAACAGAAAACTTGCGATCCTCATCAGCATTCTAGCTTTCGCATCCATCACATGCTTTTTCATCGCGTACCATTTATTCACTACGAGGTTCGCTCCCACCTCCTTCTATGTGCACCCACAACCGCACCGCGCTGACGCCCTCCCCAAAGTAAACCCACCCGCTCATATTAATATTAATTCACACGACCCCCAAACCAAATACCTCTCCTACCTCCCCCATAGTGGCTTACATAACCAACGCATCGCACTCGAAAACGCACTCATACTCGCCAAGCTACTTAATCGCACCCTTCTTGTTCCTTTTCTCCGTCTCGGCAAACCAATTCGATACGTTTCATTCCACAAACTCCAACGATTCCTCACACTCGGTTCGAAAACCGGACTAGAACACTGTCCGCTCGTCCCCATAAGCACACCCACCCCCCTCGAATGTTTAGGGTACGAAGAATGGTCTTTTATACCATGGGACCAGATCGTCGATCTCCACTTGCTGGGAGACAAACTCGGTGTAAATATGATTCAATGGGACGGAAGCCCAGCTGCAGAATGGATGAAAATGTCAAAGCTGAATACCAATACCAATACCACTATCCTCGACAGAGATACCTTAACGTTACAAGACGTTGGACCTTACGATTTTCGGTTCTTGGATACGCTTGATGATGTATCGCCTATACGGGACAAGTATCTCCGTTCAATCTACATCCCTGCACTTGCTCAGGCACCCGAGAGATTGCTGCAGATCGGCACGTTGTTTGGGTCGTCAAGGCTTAAGCTTCGAGGAGCTGCGAGTAAGACCGTGCGGAGGGATGTAAGGCGCGGTATGGCGTTTACGAACTCAGATCTTTCTCGTGTGGCCGATACGATACATGAAGCGTTGGGCGGAGTCTACATCGGTGCGCATCTCCGCGTCGGCGACGGCCAATTCGAGGAACTCGGAGCCTTGAATGCGAGACTAGTCTGGTGGAAACTCGTGCACCTGGTTTGTGGACTTGATCTCGAGGAGACTCTCGCGCTCGAACAGCAGATCAACCCTTTCGCTATCGACGAGGACCTTGATCCGCCGCTTCTTCATCCGGATATGCCGAGTCTCAGGGTGCCTCATCCGCCTTTGCCTCCTCTGCCGCATATGTTCAAACACAGGGAGCGATGTCGTGCACCTCTCCATACCTCGGCCGAATTGCAGAAACTGAACGCCCCTCTTTTTATCGCTACTGACTCTCCGAATCCTGCTGCCGACCCGCTGTTTTCGATTTATATGAAGACGTTCCCGTGTATATTCTTCCTTTCGGATTTTGCCTCCCGCCTGACTCCTCTGGACGCATTGACCAATCCGTATGACCAGGTACCGCTGAAGGGGTTTTTGATACCGGTGCTGGATGCGATGGTGTTGGCTGGAGCAAGAGAGGTTGTTGTTACCGATGGGAGTACTTTTGGAGCGTTTGTGGGGGATGTGCTGTGGAGGAGGCATTGGGGATTCGAGATCGTGCAAAGGGGATAGGTGCTATACCGACAGAAGTGGGCGCACGCCGGACACATTGTGTGTAGTATCATCCAGGTAGCATTGCCTGGGGTGTAGCACGTCTCAGATATACCTTGCCCCAATGTATACCATTGACTTGTGGTTGTATCTCACACGAACCTAAAGTGATTGCGGATAGCTCCATGTGCTCCATAGTGTCCGATGAATGAAACGATAAAGCGTATGATGCTATCCGCATGGATAAGTGCAGCTATTCCGAGTGATGAAGGTAACGAGGAGAAGATGGATTTTCTCAATGGAAAGATGCGGGATCTCGACACAAACCTTCGTCGATCTATCCATCCTCCATGACACACTGCGCAGCCCTTTCCGCCGATAACAATAAATCCTTCATCGAGTCATGTATAGACATCAAACCCCGAGAGCACAGAAACAAAGGCACGTCTTACATGAGAAGTCGTATATTACTCTGGTGGATTTTGGCGATGCTCGTACAGTAAAACTTGGCGTGATTATAACGGTTCAGCAGCAGATATGTACAACACTGTGTGGCAAAGGAGGACGTATCAGAACAGATCCACTGAGTTATAGATACTTGATCAGACGCACCATTATTTCCGCGAATAAACGCGTCCCCGTATCGATTTGTGACTACACCATTGACATGCTCCTCAGTCTGCTCCAAAGCGATGTTCATGTATCCATCTAGACATGAAAGAACACCTTCACATAACAAACAAACATGATTTTGAATCTTCTCTAGATGGAAAGGATCATACCTCGATAATCGACGCCTGATGTTAGACGCACGATGACCTTTTTCCCAACCACGCCTTTCAAGAAATCAGTTGGTGTTCCTGATGGCAGAGATGGCGGTGGTGGAGGTGAGAATGCCTCGATATCTGGAGGTGGAGGCGTTGACTCGTCCATGATGAAAGTCAAGACTGAAGCTAGAAAAGGGTTTGTTCTTGTTTGCTGGCAGTGACAGTGGGAACGAGCGAAAGAGGTATGCACCAGGTGCGAACCTTTATTAATGATTGATGCTCAAAGGGAGAACCAACGACGAGCAGAACACGCAGAGCGATGCGGACAATCAAGCTCGTCGTTATAGGTGCTTCAGGCGTAGGCAAGACTTCTCTCCGCGGTCAGGTCAGTCTGAGTGTTCCTCCTTTCAACCAAATATTAGCCAGCTCATCCTCTCTACCACAGTACATATCAGGCCGTTTCTCCACCGGCTACCGCGCAACAATCGGTGCAGACTTCATCACCAAATCCCTTCCTGATCCAAAAGTACCAACAGAAATAATCTCTCTTCAAATATGGGTACGTTCCCTTCATGTCCAATTCCACTCCGCTTGACTAGTCCTTCACGTATACTATACACAGGACACAGCAGGCCAAGAACGCTTCTCCTCCCTCTCCTCCGCATTCTTCCGCGGCGCGGATGCCGTCCTCCTCATGTTCGACGTCAGCGCACCCGAAACTATGCACGCGCTCACAAAATGGTGGGAAGAGTTCAAGCACCGAGCGCCGGTTAGCGATGAAGAAGCCAACAACTTTTGCTGTGTGGTTGTGGGGAACAAGATGGATCTGTTAAAACCCGGGATGGGCGTTACTGTGGAGGAGGCTCAGAAATTCGTGCAGGAGCTTGTACCTCCTTCTGAACCTGAGATACAGCCTATGGAGCGTGTGGAGGGAGAAATCTTGGTCGAGGATATTGTTTCAGAGGAGGATGGAGATATCATTCTCGAACACGAAAATGAACACGGGGCTGACATCGACACCGACACCGACCCAGCGCTCCTCACGCCCTCCGCCCGAATAGACATACAAAACCACCACAAACTCTCAAAGTCGCGTTCCCGCTCGAGTACACGACACGCCAGCACCTCATTCTACGGGACCTTCCGCTCTGGCGTTACCTCCTTCCACACCCCCTCTTCGTCCGTCTCTGTCTCTGTCTCTGATGTGTATGCGAGCGCGCGTTCTTCCCCGCTTCCAGGATCCCAGCCCGGATCTCCAAGAGTCAGGAGAATGACGAGTTTATCTAGTACGACGACGTCTTCTTCTTCGTCTGCGCTTACTATCACGCCGAGTCTATTCATGAAAGCCCAACATCCTACTACGCCACCCACCCCATCTCAACTACTCCCAGACCTACCCTCTACCGACAATGACACCGACACTCCATCATTCAATCCTCCAGAACCACCAGATACAGGCCCCAAGCTCTTCTTCACCTCCGCAAAGACTGGAACAGGCGTAAGCGAGGCGTTTGAGTATATCGCAGTGCGCGTGGTGAGGAAGTGGGAGTATGAAGAAGCTGTGGAGGCGAGGACGTTTGGTGTGAGTGATGAGAGTGATGGTGATACGGTTAGGTTGGGGTTGGAGGAGGGGAGGAGGAAGTGGAATACGCCGGGGGTGTGTTGTGGGCAATAACGAAGGTTGGGGGTGTGGGCGATGACGACATTAATATTCACTCGAGGGAGGATAAATGTTCGTAAAGAATTTATTGGTATTTCCTTTTCTTTATTCCGGTCTTTCATGTTCATTAATATTGTACCGATACCCATTAGCTTGAACGGGGACTATCATAATTTATCTGGAATTTATTGTAGACTCCTTCGAGTTGTGTGGATTTTGGAATAGATTTTATTCATGTGTTGCACGGGCTTGTTTTGGTAAAGAAATATTAATGATGTTGGACCAACGTGCGGGAATGGGAGTCGATACGTCGTGATCTGATCACTGGGAAGATGCAAATTGTGTACTGCGTCGACGCGAAAGCGTGCGCAGTGATGTGTGTCCATGAAGATCAGGACGCCGCAGAGGAGAACATTCGCAGAATGAGGTTGCTGTTAGAGGTCCCGAGGGTGCAGGTCTTCCTGCCGCACATACTATTACTTCCGCTTTGATGGATGTCATGTTATGCATTCATTATGTAAAATACCTCGTGGGGACCGTGCGGCGTGGTCTTCAAACCTATCCCACAAACTTTTTCGCTCTAGATCCCAATGACCGCATATGTTTCATTATCCTGGATGAATAGCATGACATTTGACGTCCTTCTGAAACATGGGAAACCATACGCTGTGAGCATTCACTCTACGAGGCAGGTAAACTATATCCATGTCGCCCACTGATATCTTCAGCACCACTCGCCGCGAACCTTCTGTCCGATACGACCTCAACGCAAGGCAAGGATGTTGTGAGAAACACCCGGCAGATCACGGCGGTTCGAGTTCAAACTTCCAAAGCATACCGGCCACTTGGTACGCACTTCTAGTTTTCACTGCTTACTCACACGTATCTGTTGGACCCTGTCTAGTGTTCAACATGATGCGCCAGTCAATGCCTGATCGTTCACCAGATTATATGGTAGAACCCAGAACTCGTCCAACATCGGCGGCGGTCCATTTAGAATAACTCTCAAAGTCCAAGCGCTTGCCAAGCGTCAAGTTCCAACCCATTGATATGCCGTCTCTATATAATTGTCAACGTTAGTCACGTCCGTGTGTCTATCTATTCACTTGCAAATATATTGATGAGAGGAAGTTCCAGCACCACCCTGCAACCAAGCTACCACCGCGATCGCGATGTTAGGCTAGAGTTGTTGGCATATCCGTAAGTCTGTGAGATTCGAAGCTGCATCGAGGTATACATCTGCACGATCTGGGTACTCTGGGGCCTACTAAAGAATACACCTACATCACGAATATACCGTAACCGATAGTATGTGTCGTTGTTTTTAATGACTTGCTCCACACTCGGCTGGCTCTTGATTTTAGCCTCCACCCTTAGCAATGACCAAGAGATTCTGCATTCTCATGATGTGCAGCGATTTGTATTGAACGACCGTCTTCCTTCTATTTGGTCCACTCATGGGAGACTAGGGATGATTGCTGGTTTCGAACTTGCGTATGAATATTCTGACTAGCAGCAGCTATAAAGCGCGCGAGCACAGAACTGACGAATAACCAACAAAGAAACAAACCCACACTTAGCTTCAAAATCTCGCAATTTTTGACAGTAAGGTTCATCTAACCTATAGGTCCAACTTATGACACTGATGGTCTAGATGAATCTCTTGACGATCATTCTCCTGGCATTTACGGCCATCGGTCCTCTTACTGCACGAGCCCTGCCTGGCTCCGAGGCGAATGAACCCGCCAAAAAATGCACTTGGCAGGTGTGCGGGGGGATCCCGTGCTTGAGAACGACTGTTGTAGCCACCAGAGCTTGCACATTGTTAGGTGCCCCGGCGACTCAGTACTGTTGTGCTATCTAGCGACGCAAATGAAGGTCCGGGTACGTTGGTGATGAAACTCTTTAACAGAACACGTACTAAGAGAAAGATAGGAAATCAGTGCTGCTCGCGCGCGGAAAGCATCCCCAAAGATTCTCGCATATTGTCTACGGTAGCACCCTTAGTCACCCCTGTAAAGATTGTTCCATCTTGCACTCGTTGACTACTGCTAAGAAATCAGACTCGTCCTTGATCGCTGGCTGTACGAACCTAAGTGTCAATTCAGGAAAGGGCTACTTGCACATAGCTAAAAGATGTTCAAGTTCGCGATAGTTCCAAGGATCCCTTTCGCCGGGTCGATAGGAATCAGGTCTTTGTAGGGCTGATGGCAGCAATAGTGGCACCTAGTAGTTGACTGCCACCCCTTGGTATCAGAAGAGACGTGCTTGGCATTTGGATCGTTCTGTGTCAGTCAAATATACTGGGAAATTCTGAAATATGTGCCTTCTTGCCTTCGACTGTTTGGACTCTCCGTCCTTCAGATTTTTGGATAATATACGTATCACCACGAGTGAATACAGATATTTTCCACTATTCGCGACAGATTCCACGATCGAACGTAAATGGGTTCACAAAATTGTGCACAAGTCAAAGGCCCAAAGTTGTTTAGTGAATAAAACATACAATGGTATTTCAAAATTTTGACTCGAAAAAAACTAAAGTAGCTGTAATCGCACCATCTCCGGCACGGATTTTCTTTTCTTTTCTTTTTGAGGACTAAATCATTCGCAGTGAATCCACACCTTGACTGCTGCGGAGGGCAATCTTATGGCGGTCGAGGATCGCCACAACGTCTTTATCGGCACTATGATGCACCCAGCGCGAATAAAGATTTTTTTTTTCTCGCCTGTTTGTGCCTCCAATGCTTCTGCCTTCATTTGTGAAGATGAGCTGCATGCCAGACACTCGCCCTGGGACGTAAGCCGTGCCTTCGCTACCCGTGATATATTTTGAGGACACAAGAATCTCAGCGAGTGGCCGCCAGACTGTGCACACGACATGTGACGAACTCACCCTTCGCCGCAGCTTGCACTATTTGAATGTACCCTTGTATAAGGTCCTCAAAGGGGACTGATTGAAGTATTACTGTTCCTATATTGTCGAGATCGATGGCGCCCATCTGGGCATGCGAAAAGTGGAAATTGACTTGCGTCTCCGACCCGAGGCCGGACCACACTGATATCAGCGGGCCCTGGTCTGGTGACAGGTAGGACGTTACTACGCCTTGCATGAAATCTTAGTTCCCTTGCCTTCGATATGCTTTGCCTTCAAGGAGTGGCTGGACTTCCGATATGAAGGACCCTCATGTGCGAACCTCGCGTGTTTCGATTGTGATGTGGGGCTTGCACACGAGGAACGCGAGCTCGTAGCTGTTATTTGGCGTGGTGAACTGTAGAGTCGGTATGCCAGTAAGGTCTGCGGCAAAATATCGACGGAAAGAGTAAATATCCAACGATAATCGACCAAATCGTCGACGATTTTCAGATTGGTGGAATATCGTCGGAATGAGCCCATATTCATCTGTTTTTGATGGCAAAAAATTGAGATTCTCTAATTATCCACTCAACAATTTGTCCGTATGTAGCCCAATATACAGCGCGTGCTCCCTCGTATACCTTCTTGCACCCTCTGCAGCAATCAGAGACCTCTCTGGTGAACCTATACTGCTGTACCGACTCCAGGCAACCATCCGAGCCCTTTGGAGCTTTTGAAACACATCTTTTGGGCGCCATACACGTGTTCTTCGACCCTTATGCCTCCTCGCAAGGCACGAACAGATCGGGGTGGACTGGGCCAGGACACGAATTCCATAGGGACACAGGGAGCTGGGAGGAAGTCAGCACCGAAGCGGAAGCTTGATGATCGAGCGGGGGACGCACCAGTGGCCTCAAAACGTGGCAGGAAGCCAGCAGTGCAAACACAGACCTCTGGAGGGTTCATTAATCCATTCGCACTGAAAACAACAGAGTCATCGCAACTCATCAACGAGCAGACGGCACCAGTAGCTCACCTTGTCCCTCCGGAGTCCATGCCGCCTCACCCGCCACAGTCCTTCGATGCTATGCTGCCTCAGCACCAGCGCTATGACGCATATACGCAGCCCAATTCACTAAATACTGTAGAGAGGCCCCCTGAAGCTCCCCCATAGGCTTGTCCGAATTTTAGCATTTTTGAGGCCGAAATCTCTGTCCGGACTTAGCATTTTTGAGGCTTTTGGAGGGCCGATGAGGGCCGATGTCTGTCCGAAGTTTGCATTTTTGGCGGTCTCAGGTGGACTTCAGGGCAGGTCATGTAGTGACTTCGAGATGGATAATATAGACTTTGCCAGCGCAGGTCACGGTCAGTGAGCCCCGTTCTCGTAATGAAGCTTCCTGAAGATCTTGTGCGGCAAACACGCCGAATTCGAAATATAGAACTCACACACTCTGATCTCGAACCCCTATTGTCCTCTGATCGCAAGAAGATTCCCGGAGTACTCATTAATGCATACAGCGCGGTACTACAGGATGGAGACGACAACCGTGACTACGTCGTATTCAGCTCATGGATCGCTCCTCTCGCTACTGGCCAAGTTAGACCAAGTCCTGGACATGGATCTATCGAGGGACACATTCTTCAAGCGGTGAGTTACACTCTCGATGTTCAATTTAACCTGGTAGACTCACTGGATTCTCAGACAACAACTGGTGTTCCAGCGGATGAACTCGTTGCACGTTTCCGCTGGGGATTTCCACTATGCGGAGGTAATCCTCTACACTGGGTCTTGGGATGGGTGGATTTCAAATTGAACGAAGTTGGAATTTTCGACTCCATTCCTGAAATTGAGTCCAAGACCTGGGCTGAACCCGTCAGTACTTACAACTCAAGACTCGTAAAACACTAAAACTGACCAGGATGACAGATGCTTCTCAGCGCTGCGAACACGGTGCTGAACTTTATCGGCAGGCCAGCCCTCGAGTGGTCCAAACTTTTTTGGAAGCGAGTGTTGTACTCGCCGCCCTACAGACAGCGCCAATTAGATGCCTGGTCTTGCGGGCTGTTCGTGATGATGGCTGTGGACGCATTTGGTCAGAATTCCGGGTTTCACGATACTGGAGATGAATATAAACATGTTATGCGAGAAAAGGCATTGCAGGTGCTTTTGGCATTGCCGTGAGTTGCGAAGTCTGGATTCGCATTGAGAGGCTAACGGAAAATGAGATTAGTGTTGTCCGGACCACGAAGCATTTACCTACATCGGAAAATGGTTCAGGCACAGAGTCAGGCGTTGAAATCGTGGATAGTCCAGTTGCACTGGCAGATAGTTGCGTGTCGGAAATTCCAGATAGTGACCACAGACCGGACGAAGAAAATACAATCAACATCATTGACGCTACTGCTAATGGTGACCCAGAGACTCACCAGTCATGCATAACGACTTCAAAACGCAAATGGGCGCAGGAAAGCAGCAATTATGATACAGATACCGAGTCCCGTAAATCTAGACGCTCGAAAGTTGCATCCGCAACTCGAGGTGAAAGAACAACGGCAGCGCAAAGAGAGGCAGCCCTTCGAGAGGACAAATGGATTCTGGACGTTCAGCCACATTCTGTCAAGTGTCGTGGTTGCAATAGCTTGATTGCATTGAACCCCAATCCAAACCGTCACTTCGATCGAGCCAACTGGCATCAGCATCGTGAAAAGTGTTCGCAAATTACCGGAACAAAAGTAGTTCGTGTTGTGGCCGTCAAGATTGGTGAACAAAGCCAGAAACCCGCTGTGAGTTGTAAGCCAAATTGTTGCACAATGGCACATACTGAGGGATTTGGCAGGGAAGGTCGCTGTGTGACTACTTTAAATCTGCAAACACAAATAGTCGACTTGTCCGCAGTCCTGAAGAGTCTGAGAACTTGCCGGACAGTACCAGCAGCTTGGAAAAATTGAAAACAACCTATGTAACCAAAACAATCAACGTCGTGAGTAAATTCTCCATCCATGGCCCATGACGATACTATCTTACACTGTATGGTTAGTCGAGATCAATTGCGCTTGTGTTTCCTTCTCAAAATGTGCAGACTGGTCACCAGAAACATAGCACTGCACCAAACACGTCTCGCGCTGCGCAGAAGGAAACACCTGCAACCAAAGTCTGTCAACACTTGCACGACTACGAGGAATATGTTCTACGTACGCAAACTCGAGAGCTTGGTGGCATTTCTCCATCGTTCCGTGCTCGCTCTGCACGACAACTATTTCCATACAAAGGCTTTCCACCCTTGAAAGGTGCAGCATTGCAAGACCCATTGCCGGAGGTACCTGAGCATGGCAATAAGCTTGCTCCAGAAAACAGCTGGACCGAGCACGAACAGGGCCGCTTCGATGAAACACTGCAGGCTTGGGCACGATGGGAGGTCAACTACACTGGTGGTTTTGTGGCTTCGCATCACACTCACAGAATTTCGCGCTCTCATCAAGGTCGCTCATCAGGAGGCGGAGGCAGTTTGCAAACAACTCATGAATATCTCGGTCCCCAGTCTCAATGGCAAGATACCACTGTTGCTCGTACCTACAGGCAACTCTGTTCGTCGTAGGATGGAAAACGATGAGTTGGATGGTGGATTTAGCTCTGTATCGGAGGCAGATGGTTCGGATAACGAAGGGACTTCCTTGCAATGCACTGCGGGTGGCACAAATATCGAAATCACTCTGTCAGCAGCGCATGCAACAGCGCGTTACTCAGCCTTATGCGAGGACTACGACACCTTGTTGTCGGAGACCACAGCAGACATGCCCACGAAGTTCACCACAACTACTTCTCCGACGGACTTGGATAGCACCGTTATCGTGACAGATCCTCAACCTTGTCTCGGTGTCTACTACTACAAGAGCTCCCTTCTGGACGACAGTGGGAAACTCTCAATCCCCATGATGCTGGCTGCTCGCGAGCGCTGGCAATCCACTACCAAGGTGCATTCTGAGCGTGTCGTGCGCATCAACCCCAATCTTGCCCTTCAACGTGTCCGTGAGTCGTCGCGTGAACCTTCTGAAGGTCAAAAGCGCATGCAAGAGTTTTCATCAGGGAAAAGCTCCCATGCGAAATTTGCAGAATTACTTGGTTTTAGTCAACTTTCTCAACTTTATCACATATTATTACAGAAAGATACATATTCACGGAAAATATGGATGTATATTAACCTACATTGAAGTAAGTATATATAATACATGTCTTTTAAGGCATTAAAAAAAAAACAAGGGGGAAGCATTAAGAACATCTAAGCTCGTCCGTTTTGCAGGAACAGCTGCTCGCCACATACCGAACTCACCTGCTGCGAGACTATGGCGCTGGATCTGTTCAACTATTCTGCGCACGTAAAATTGACACACATACAGACAACACACACACCAGTCACTTCAGGGTGCAGGCAATGCTTGAGGTGGCTAAAGAGCAAGCAAGCAAAGTCAGTATGCAAACCCTCACTCACAGCTGATAAGCTCGTTGGAGAATGTAAGACCAGGCATGAGACCGTGTTCCTTGAGCCAGAATATGGACACGAAGGGACTCGGAGCCCAAGAATATGCCTTCCGTGGCAGTGAATGCGACCAAGCGCGACCCAGACCTCATTGGAGAAATGTTCAATAAGGTTTTCATTGACAATGCCGCTGTCGGATGTAGCGAATAAGGCAAGGACGTTTGAGGCAAAGCGATGCTTATTGAGACGCTTGCAATGTTTGTACACGTTTGAAATGTTCTGAAGTCCAACATTTGCACTTGTTTGTTTACTTCCCACGTGCATTCACATGACTTTTGGTTCGAACTTTCAAATTTCAATGTTCAATGTTCAACCACAACACGACATCAACCAACCTTGGCCTTGTCGAATGTCTCCTTACAACGTGCTTTTCCAGCTCGACTCATGAGCAATGAAAGCGCACTCACTTTCAGTCGCACACTCCTTGGGTGTACCTATCAGCCACCACCGAACCCTCGCGCTGTCGCCAAACTCCATCTACAGTCCACATATCCTACCCCCGTCTTCTCCTACTGCTCATTCCACCCACCACTAAGAGACTTCAACCATCGTGGGATGAGTTGCTCGATCATGGAGATGAACAATTCGGTGAGTCTACTTCTCACTTATGCGTATCTACTCATATCGCGTAGAACTGTCCTTCCCACCCGTTCGTGGTGTCAATCCTTCGCTCACGCTGAAGGCCACTGTTGTACATGCTAGCGATACTCGGGACGGCGCACTACTTGACGCGAGTGACCCAGTTTGATCCTCTGGCGAGTTTGAGGTTTTCTGACCACAGAAATCACTTTTCCGTCGAAGCTAGTCAGTGTGGCCATTCTTTAATCTCGAGCCTTGCTGACTGGCACAATTATGATCTTATTTCAGGGTTCAAGTGTGCCCATTGTCTGATTAGCAGTTATGTAGTATATTGTATATTGAGTCTGAATGACAATATAATATTTGTTTCACCTTCGTCATTGTGATATTGCTCGAGGATCATCTATTACAAAGATTTATTAATGCTGCACACTTTATTGCATTTTATTGCACTTTTGCCCACTTTATTCCAACGAAGGCGTCAGGGGGCTGTTGGTTAGTTCATAAATGTCACTAATCTGAAACATGATGATAAAACACAATAAAACTCGATAAAACACCATCATTTACACAAATTCGCCCTATTTCCCGGAAGAGGTTTTCCCTGATGTTCGCACCACGTCAGCGTGACTCAGAAGCTCGGCGGACTGGAAAAAGCGACCACAGGAAGAGAGCTCCGTTGGAAAGGTGTTGCGAAAGCCATCGAAAGGTCTACAGCAGCAGCAAGTGCGTGTTTCATATGTTTTTGGAGTGCCGCTTACTCAGAGTGTCGAAAGGTCTACCCAACATCAGCACGAAAGACGTCAATGCCTTGCATCCATTGGTGCTCGGGTCTTTCGTTATCGCTCGTACTAACATGAGGATGTATATAGGTGAAGTGTTGGATTTATACAAGAAGGGCAACCATCGACACGGCTCAGTTCTCTCGACAAACAACATTGCCGAGCTTTCGTACCTGTCCCTTCGTGTATATCGTGCTTTGGATGCAGCTCATGTAAGTCAATTTTATCTTCATCATAGTACGCCAAGAAACAAGACTCGGATTTCTAATTCTACAACAGGATGACTCTACTAGTAGTAGTGATGAAGACTCGTCTCCTGAGCATTCCGCTGTCCCGATATTTTCACGCACATTCAAAACATATGAACTGCACACGCACGCGTTTACGGAGCAGGTTCTCTACCACGTAGGGAAAAAAACCGTTCGCAAGCCAAGTCGGTGCCCATTTCATTCTTGACGGAGTCACAGCAGCTCGTTGGAATGCCCTTGCACGTCCCTCGGTGAAGCGGGTGATACTGAAGCTTCCAGCAGTGGGGAAAGGATTGTCTAAGAAGCCAGTTAGAAATTAGATGTCCCCAAGTACTAACATACCGTGTCTATGTACGCACAGTACACACCGCAAAATGTCACACTTTTGGCGGAGGTCACACTCGCATCACACTGTGTGACCACTGACCTCTATCCGACTTAGCATTTTTGACGGTCAAAAAGTTGCATTTTTTAGGGCTGATTTTGGGGTTCTGGACGGACAGACCTTATAGGGAGCTTCAGGGGGCCTCTGTAGAGATACAACACTAGCTTCGTCACGTGCAGCACGTGACATGGTCACGCTTAGTGTCACAGCTTCGAATGCACCCAGTGACCTGAGGCTGTGAGCACATAAAAAATAGCTTTGCAAATTAGTGTTCCGTGAAAAACTCCCCGCCGAGTTTTGGACATGTTTATAACATTGGGCATCCCCAGGCCAGTTATTGACGCGTGTTTTTAACTAGTTTTTGACAAGGTTTTGGACACCGGCCATATTATAATTTTTGTGCTACAGAATTTGAGAAAAATTGAACTTCCAGGCTACAGGACCACCACCAGCTACCTCTGAAGATGGCCCAGGTATTTGTGACTGATTTTGAGCCTCCATCTCGATTGGCTTGTCGGAGAGAAGGTCCAGGAGCTCGGGACCGTCTAAACGAGCATCTTTACTACCATCAAACACCCGGTTACTGCAGCGCAGATATCCGGGGTCATCCTCATCAACAAAATTCATGCTACCATCAAGCCATGCATTTCAATTATCGTAACCGTCACCTTTTGGCCGTGGTTGGTGGTACACTGGGGCTAGATGTGCTAATGCTAGATACTGCCATGGGTTTCGAAGCTTGGTGACGGGCCACTTTCGCTGAAGGTGCGTCAGCAGCTAAGCCACCATCAAGTTCCTCTTTCATTGGATGTAGAATGTACTTGCACATAGCAGCATGTCCAAAAATGTGTTTTTTGATGCGAGTCTTGCATTTCCAGGCTGCTGTGCACCCCGGGCCCTTGGCTGTTCCTACACGACGACTTTCTTGGGGTCATCCTTCATGTGACAGCGAATTGCTAGGTGTATGAGTCGAGGATCACCTGGATGTCCCCCTTTCCCTTTCGGAATTGGTTCTGGAACGTCTACATAATCACAGTGATTGATGGTTATGGCCTCTATGCCATCACTTGCTTTGGGTTCAACTTCGATGACTGTTCGAGCAGGAATCTTATGAATTGTGGTGTAAGTCATTCAGACTATTGTTCGTGTATTCAGCTGGTAAGTTCACCTCTTTGTTTGCAGCCTTATAATGGTACTCCACAACTTTTGAGTGCAGTTTCGAGCCTCTCTAATGAGGTATCATTGCTGATAACTGTCTCAAAGAAGTCCATAGTCGAGGAGAGGTAGCAGGACCATTGTTTTAGAGACTATTTGGCTCTTCTCTTGTCTCTTATGGTCAACTCCAATGCTCAACAATGTTCTATTAGCGCTATGGTATATTTAGAGTTTTTGACAGTTTTTAACACCCTCAAAATGCCCTTGAGTTTTCGACACGTCATAAACACGTTAAAAACATGTCAAAAACTAGTTGTGTCAAAAACTCTGGAGTTTTTCACGGAACACTATTGCAAATCGTGATTGCTGCACCTTGTACTTGTCAAAACTTCTTGTCTGATTCATATCTTATTGTAAAGCTGAGAAGCAACAGGTAGAATCTAGCTAGACATTGTTGTTTTTTTATATTTTTTTGTATGTTTTTTATATGTTTTTCTGTATGTTTTTACCACGTGTCACAAATTAGCTTCGGCCCCCAAAAAATTGGTGTGACAGTCACACCAAATAGGTTCGATTCATTGATGGCTGTGACCTGTGACGAACCTAGTGTCATATCTCTACAGTACACAGGAATCAGCAAGTCTTCTGTTATGCGAAGGTGCCAACATACCGATAGACCCAGTGATTGCGTTACCAGAAGACTCGTCACCACAAGGCCATGACTTCGATGTCGAGAGGACTCACATGCCACCTCCACCTGTAGAATCAATGCAACACTGAGCACCAAACAGTGTTGTGGGGGGAAGTACTACGAACCCATTTGTCTTGACCCATCCGATCACTGCTGTTGTGCATCCCTTCACCTTATCCAGCTGGGAGATGTCTGTCGTACCCCGAAAATGCTCGGAATCAGTTTCACCAACCCTGACAGAATTTTCACTCGCACCATCGACTGCGCTCACGACTCCGAATAGCTTGCGTTTATCATCTGTAGCTCCACCCACATCAGCAGGCGATAAACGAATTGCGGCTAATCTCACCCGGACTGAACCAATTGCAGGTGCACGAGTCGCCATTCCAAAGTGGCTGACAGATACCATCACACGACTTGAGCACGAGCTCAAATCGCAGAGGCAGAAGCTAGAAGAAGCTGGGGATATCATTCACGAACAGGCGGAAGAGCTGGTTGAACTTCGACACCAAGTTACGATACTGCACGATGCCCAGAATCAACTTGAAGATGAAGTTGACAAATCACGCACATCGCTAGAGTCACTTTCTTCGAATGTTGACGTGATTAAGAAAACACTTCAAAGCAGTACCGAGTCCTCGAAGTCTAAGGCAGCGCAGGCCATCAGCGACAATTCAAAAGATAACATTTGGAATGTAAGTGACGAAAGGGACAAATTCATGCAATGTTTCCTTATCTTGAAATAGTCCGGAGTCCGCAAGGGCTTCTTGAAGGCAATCGGCATAACAAAACCATCTGCGATAAGGGAGTACCATCCACACGTAAATGGGTCGCAGATTGATGGTGACCAGGTTCGACCCGACTTCAGCAAAGATTGGAGCGACAATGCATCTTGGCACATCCATCTTGTCCAATATGTCAGGGTCAACATCCGATCGTGTCATCCTATTGTCTCGGCCGATCTCATCAATTAAAAGACAGATGAAGATATTCTCAGATGCTTACATGAAAACTTCAAACATTATGCTGCAGACTACCGCAGCGCAAATAAGCTCGCACTGTCAACCGGAAGGGCAAAAGGAAAGACTGACCCAAGGGTGGCACAAAGGGAAGCATGAAAACGAGTGGTAAGATGATTTTCTGGAACATTCCATTTTCAGCTCAATTTTGGTCAAGAAACTTGACGAGCAAATCAGTATCCGGGACAAGTCGAATCTCAAGACTCCTGAATGGGACTTTGCCTTCACATTGCCATACCAAAGCAGTGATGAGAGCGTGCAGTCAGGAGACAATGATCGTGGGGGCATTGATCCGGAGACAGAGGAAGACAAAGATGTCCAAAAGAAGCCAGATACAAAGTCTAACTTGAAGGGTAAACAGAAGGCACCATCGAAGGAAGCATGGGTGACGCACCGTGAAAAGTACCGAGCACTGCTAGTGAGTACTCTAGAGAATGACTCTGGGCCACTCAGATATGGCTGAAACTCTGTCAGTTCAATCAAGCTGTTGATCACTTGAATATGGTGGCATTGGAGACAAAGAAATCCAGCCGTCATCACGCTCGAGTCATTGGTGAACCGCGGGACAGAGATTTACCTGACATTAAGACGAGTGCGAGAATTCCTATTGAGCTGATTGATCAGGAGTGGCTGCGTGCATGTCCACAGGACCCCACAAGGTATAATGGAACCATCAATGACGGTACGTGGTACAGTGGTGTCAGCTACAGCAACAATTTGATTATTCTTTTCCTTTGAAGATCAAGTAACGGTCCCCGTACCTGAGCAAGATGCTGACTGCTGGCATGCTGAAACCGAAGACAACTTTGAAGCGGAGCTCGCTGATGATGAAGGAGAGCTAGGTTTTGATGAGGAGTGAGGAGCTATGCTAATTGATGGGTTTCTTGTGCGACAAAATGAAATTCTGTATGAGTAGAACATGCTGCATTAACCACTATCAATCGTTGTCAATGTCAATCTCGATGTCAGCCTCTGGGTTGCTCTGTTTGAGACATAAATAAGTGTGCCATTGTGAACAAAAAACAGCAGTGCACGCACATGGTCATATGCAATGGTAATCCAGAAGTCAAAGATGACTTCGTGTTGCATTGCCTGGATCGGAGCAAGAACAAAATGGCCGGATAAAGAATCTATAGGGACAACTTCTAATTCACCAAGTGCTTCTGCACGCCATGATGCAACACCAAGATCTGTGGCCCTGTAAAGAGTTGTGCACGTTGCAACAATGTAATAAACACTATGAGATGACATACCAAATCGCCCATGGAAAATCGGGTGCTCGATCATCTGGGACAAAGCATCGCACAATGGCAATATTTGCAACAAGCGGTTCATCTCCATTGGTCCGGTCATGGGAGACATGCAGAAGCCACTGTATTTCAACAGGCTGGTGTCCGTTGATGTATGCATACTGTGCGGACTTGCCTCGATGAGCGGTGACAGCACCATACCTCAGTCTTCGCAGCCACAAATGAGAATATGAGCTTGCGTTTCCCATGAAATTTTCACCATTGCCGATTATGCTGGTACTAGTCTTAAGGTGAACGAGTGGCCTCCACTTGTTGCGCAGATACTTGTATACAATTTGATAAACATTGTCGCTGATGCTCGATAGGTTGAGTTTCTTGGGATGTTTCGCAAAAATCGCTGCATCTATGGATCATTAATAATAGCCTGTCAACACAGAGAATGACTCACTTAGGTTGTTGTTTATCACAGTACTGAGGCGATCTCTTTGCTGTGCCTTAAGACACATCTGAAGGAGACAAATAGAGTCTTCGTCGTCGTCTGTCCTATTAGGAAGTGCTTCAATATGAAGAATCTGACGTACGATGAGTAATATGACAAGTATTCAAACAACAATTGATCCAAATCTTACGAGATCGTAATTGAAGGTGACGCTCCACCATCGTCGCATCAATGTTCCCTCGAGCTCTCCTCCTTTGTGTTGATTGTGGTTGATCCTGGCAAGTCGTCCATTGTGTCGTTCAAATGCAAATGCCCATGTCGCATAACACGGTCCAAACCGGTACATCTGTTCTTCAAGGTGATTGGCGAAGTGGAAATACAGTGTTAAGTGACATCCCATCTGAGCCCAGCTTTGTGTGGCACGAGACAAGGCTGCACATCCTCTGTGAATGTCATCTGGGCTAATAGATTGGGAGGAAAGGATTCACACTGCGGCACAAAACTCGAGGATTGTGTTGTAATGACGGCGAAGATTTCGATCCATTTTTGCAGAGTTGACACGTGCAATATCGGCATCTGATGGATCAGGATTTCGAGCTAGAAGATGTTCCATTAGTCGTGACCGGAGGGTCTTTTGCATCGTAGCTTGAGCAGCGGAATTCTTGGTATTGGGAGGCGAAGGAAGTGCATCTTCATCGGGAATTTCGCTCTTGTATTCCCATGCTTCATAGAGCGCAACAAACAGAATCAATACCTGATTACGCCATTGGTCTGTTTTGGGTGAGCCTTGCTGGTCGCAAGCTATAATCAAAGTGTTACATGAGCGCAACAAGTAAGCTGATATGACCTCACTGAAGGTGGCAAACAGGTTGCCTCAACAGGCCAAATAACATTGGCAAAAATCATTTGAGTCTCTGCATTGGTTTGATATATCTTCCTCCAGTCAATAGACCAGACTTGAGGATGATCACACGATTAATGTGCTTGACCATAGCTGGTGTGATATTAGTAGCAATTCATTGAAAAATCCCGAAGACTCACTAAGAAAGACAGCGTGCATAAACTCAATGACGGAGCTTCCAGCGGGCATCCAGCTAGATAGATAGTTTAGGGCTGACCAGCGTACACCCCTATTCTCGTGAATAGCATCTGCTATGGCAGGTTCTGCGTTACGGGCACAAAATGAGTATTTGAGGTATCGCCAGTCTTCTCGATAATTGAATGCTACGCAGATAAATATCATGTCAGTTTCAGTAAAGGAGGATTTGGTGGGATACGCACTAGAAGGATCAAAGCAACTCGGATGACTCGGAGATAATGAGAAAAAAGGTTTCTTACATGTGGGACACATGAAAAACTTCGAATTGTGGCCTTGAAGGCCTGTTACTTTGCGACTGGATGGGAGGTCGGAGACGTTGCAATATAGATGGGAGTGGGACAACTGCGGATCTTCATAACCGTGAACCGTGAATTCTACACCTGCAGCAGGGCATCACGATAAATTAGTAACAAAAAGTCAATGAATGAACAGCTTACCCTTTTTGAGACAAAGTAAGCTCTCGACAAATGGCTCCAAGAGGTGATTCATCTGCTCCAATGATGGTTTGTCGGGTCCTGGAATAACCATCACAAGAATGGTTTCTTCTGCGAGATAGCAAATAGTGCAGGGATTGTTGCAAATTACAGCATAGAATGCACCTGTTGAGTGATAACCCGCTTTACCTTTGACGGCTTGAAACCTATGGCACAATGAGCGCTATGATCACACAAGGGGCAGGGCAAAATACGGACCAATCAATGTCGATCTGCCAGACCAACCCACAAGGTAGGGATACGAAGCGCTGATGAAGTTCGTGAACATCCACATCTTGAATCTCCCAGCGCCCACCCCTTCGACGTTCTAAGCCTGCTTGAATTGCACGCCACCCATATCCATCGTAGATGTCTTTCATGGGCTTAGATGGGTCACGAAACGAATCAAACCCGCGGCCAGGAATTGGAGGGACTTGGCTTGGTTCGTCCCCAGGACCACGCCAATGTTGGAGCTGTTCCCACTTGCCCGGACGTAGAAGAAACTGTTGTAATGCATGCTCTGGAGGCACGTAGGGTACAATTTTTGTCGGTGTACGTTTGGTGGTGCCGTCAGACAGTCGTTTTTGCGTATACAATGCCCCCTCGCAGTCGTCGACAGTACAATTGGGAGACTTGAGTTCAGAAAGTACAGAAGGATGATGGAGTTTCCAGCATACATCACATATGAAGAAATATATGATAAACTGGTCAGCGGACAGACCAAGGCGCTTGAGGAGGGTAGGCAGGGTGTGAGCATATTCATCTAGGCCCGGATATTCAATCTCTGGGTTTTCTTGTTGAGCTGTGCAGAGGAGGTGTTCCTTGCCTTCGAGGTCATGGTACACAGCTGCGTTGGCAGCATTATAGAAGGCTGCTGAAATAAAGGCCTGAATATAAGCATTATGGACTGCGGGATGGTCATCCATGCAGGGTGGGGGGTTTGCGTGAATGTCGGCAGCTTCGCGAACATCAGAGAAATTGAAATGAGTGCCTTGAGATATGAATAGTGCACCATCCTCTTGCTCATTGAGATTGATGTCTTCCCCCTCAGGGATGGGAGGTTCTTCATCACTTGAGTCCTCAGAATCCTCCACATTGAGCCGCCCAAGACGTTCGAAGATTTCTTCATCAGGGTCTGTGCTGAATTCATCTAAAGGACCAAAGTCAGGTAGGCGTTCATCCCACCCGTCAAAGATGTTGTCCAGCTCAGGAAATGGTTGGGCAGGCATGTCTGCGTTTGTGTTCTCGGGTTGCGGCTCCCCAACTACATCATCCAAATCATCGTGATAGTCATAGTCTATCCCACCCCCTAAACCATCCTGAAGTGGCCCATCTTCAGACGAGTCGCTATGCGCATCAGGTTGAAGATCTTCGGCTTCTGGTCAATATAGGTCCTCATGTGCTACTTCTGCAGCACAAGTTGCTTCAAGTTGCTGATCTGCAAGTTGATGCTGCACAGCTGTCTGAGTTTCTTGAAGCCTCTGTCCATCCGCACTGAATCTGCACTGAAAACTCTCACAGGAGCACCAGGTGTATGACGCCCTGGGCATTTGAAGATTAGTATGCCAAGCACTGTGCTGCAGGCGGTGTGGAGTGTTTAACATTTAACGGTATGCATGCAAACTGCTCGTGCACGTGGATTTCGGTACATGTAAACACGTGCAAAGGCGCAAACCCTAGACTAGGGCCGTGACAGATGTACAAGCAGGTACTACATAGAGCAATTTGAAAGCGAATCATGGTTGAGCTGTCCAGCACATTTCTCATTTGTCTTCTCCTGCTCCATGAGTGTGATACATTCTTAGAGATTAATGAGGACGCCGAACGATGCACGATTAATGTAGCAACAGGCACCACTGGGAACCTCGAGACTGTGAAGAAGACGTAGAAGAGTGCGAGGGAGCGGCGCAAACGGAAAACATGGTTGTAGAGATGTAGGCTGACTGAAGTCCTTTCGCCACTTCAACTATCCCGTGGACAGAACGACTGACATGTCGAACCAGTGTTTTCCCCATGCTCTCCAACCCACGAAAGCCACTTGCTGGTGAAGGAACACCTACAGCAGGTCGAGAGGGTTGCACAATCTGAGCATGTCTCTGAGCCTTGGGCGGTGAAAGTGGTGTCTCATCAAGTGAAACAGGAACAAAGGAGGAGTGTGGGTTGAGGTCCTGGGCTTAGTGGTGGGGGGACGATAGATGCTGGTATGATTCGACTAAGCGCTGAGACCAAAGAAGACCAAGTCTGCGAAACACGTGAGTGCAAGCAAGGCAAAGCAAGGAACAGTACTAACCCAGGTTTGAGTCACCTGTGCGAAAACTGCTTGATTGCTCAGAAGCGCCAATGTAGCAGCATCTCGCAAAGCAGAAGTGGCGACAAATAGGGCGGCCACGTCAACTTGACCGTCAACAGGGCCCTTGAGAGAGGCGGGAGAAGGAATAGTAGAAGCAGTAGCAGTAGCAGCAGGCATTTCTAGTATCTAAACTGGCCATGAGCGCACAGAAGACAAGAGCGCAAGAGCATGAAAGTACCTCTAGTAGAGACGAGAGGCAGCAAAACGACTTGCATATGTTGAGGTCGGTGTGGAGACGCCAAGTTTGTCCGCAGATGCTGAGCACTGAGAGGTAGGAGTAGGTAGAAGACAGAATAGAGAGTAAGGTGACATCTGGCTGAATTGCTGGGCGGCACAGGGTTCAGAGCAACTCTGGACGCCCTGGCCAAGGTTTGCTTGATGCAATGGTTACTGACCAGGGTTCAGAGCAACTCTGGACGCCCTGGCCATCCCCATGCACAAACTGAATTCATGAAGACACACACCTTACCTTCAGAGGATCTGTCGAAATTCAAACAAGACGCAAAAAGTCCAACACGTCGGTGCATGTGACATTTATCGGAAGCGGGAAGCCCGAGAACAAAATAACAACAACTTTTCACTCGTGATTATTTGAATCTATATATCCGACAATGAATTAATGGTGGATATAAGTCCTGGGATTCTCGCCTCAGATTATCGTCAAATTCTGTTATAATCCCACATTCTCGCCGGTAACTATTTTGCGTCAAAGTCTGGTGAATTAGCTTGAACGGGGACTATCATAATTTATCTGGAATTTATTGTAGACTCCTTCGAGTTGTGTGGATTTTGGAATAGATTTTATTCATGTGTTGCACGGGCTTGTTTTGGTAAAGAAATATTAATGATGTTGGACCAACGTGTGGGAATGGGAGTCGATACATCGTGATCTGATCACTGGGAAGATGCAAATTGTGTACTGTGTCGACGCGAAAGCATGCGCAGTGATGTGTGTCCATGAAGATCAGGACACCACAGAGGAGAACATTCGCAGAATGAGGTTGCTGTTAGAGGTCCCGAGTGTGCACGTCTTCCTACCGCACATAGTACTATTACTGGGGAGAGGCAACTCTCTGCCAATTTCAAACTCAGCGCGTGCCCTCGCTAAAGGGGTGTATGGCTGAAATGGTGGTTAATGAAACCGTCGACCACTGGACATTGAGCACAACATTATGGAGACTACATTGTATGGAGACTTTACTGTGAAATATAAAGCTGATTGTATTCTCCATGCAAAAAAGGGAAAACACGCGAATCGTAAGGCTATAGTGTTTGGCAAAAGCTCATGCAACCAACTTTTTCAAAATTTTCCATGGAGATTACAACTAAATCACGAAAAAAAGGCCTCTGATGGCTTTTCTCAACCCCCCAGCATATCGTGTTCAGTCACAACAGGGATGTCACAGGTAGTAGACTCATATTGTATTACATAAGCCTCATAAACGCGTCGTGTCGCGTCACAAATCCACAGAGACCACTGTAGAACTCTCAATGCCCTCCCTATACCACCCAGGGGACCGTTGGAACACTACCAAGAAATGTTCTACTGCCCAGATTGATCAGTTAGCTCAGCTTTATGCAAAAAAACATGCCAGAAATGAAAACACCCCTCCGAGTCCTCATAGCCCTACCCCCACCATGTCCCAACCTCTACCAGCACATGCTTCCTTGCAAAACATCGACTCGCAACTGGAGGCCCTAATGCAGCGAATGCAGGCACTCACATCACATGCCGTAAACCACACAGGAGGTTCCTTTGGAGACAGGCGAGAGTGAAGATGAGGACGAGCCTTGAATTTTTTGAGTAGAATAAGCTTACTAATTACTTTGACTTACTATAATATTCTACAGCTGTTTTGGTGTTGTACGGGCGTCGTAGTTCAATATAAGTTATAATGTTCGAACGGTCGTGTCGTTTGACCTAGTGCTGCCGCGGTCCGGTTCCGTTCGGTTCAGAGGTGATTGGACGAGAACCAAGGACCGGACCAAGGTTCGGTTCTAGAAATTTCAACGAACCTTAGACTGAACCTTTGTGAACGGTTCACAGCGGTCAGGTTCGGTTTTGTCTCGGTCTGAACGCGAACCGAACGCGAAAAAATTACAGGCAGGAAAAAAATTCATAGGCAAGATATTTGTACTTGTAGTTACATGTCCAATGAAGCCACATGTCCCTCAGCCTCTACTTCTGCAGAAAGGTGCCCATTCCTATATGCTCCCTTCAGTAGTTGTAGTGCAGTGAACGTGTCAGTGGCGAATGCATTGCGTCGGATAGTCAAAGTGATTCCTCCGCTTGAGAACACTTGTTCGGAAGGAACAGAGCTGCCTTGAATGGGTAGATAGTCTCGCGCGATGCGCACGAGTGTAGGGTATTGCAGCGAGTGAAGCTATTAAGTAGATTTAGTAGTGAAAAAACAAGTCAAAAATAAAACTTACCCCCCACCAGGCCACAATGTCATCAGTCTCCTCTAGTGGCAAAGACAAGTACATGTTGAGCTCTTGATGAGGATTGTGAGTAAGGTGGTCTGATGTCTTGCGTGTCCTAATAGCCTCGCGCATCCAATCATCGCCATAGTGCTTGCGTACACTGGCAGCTCTCGTTGGCGGAGCGGATTGCTCGTTGGTAGTAGGTGTTCGACTCGGCGGTGTATAATAGTCATCGAACTAAAAAAAAAAAAAAAGATGAGAGGGGGAAAACAACATAGAACATGACGAGTACTCACCACGGCCTCCAGACGAGCTCTGCCACCTGCAACATCTTCAGAATCCCACCGGCCTTCGACGTATGCGAGCTTATAGTTTGGATCAAGAACTTAAATTATATTAGATAAGAACAAGTTGTAAAAATTGATAGTACTCACCAAGACAAATAAAATACACGTCCAATTGACTTGTTTTCTTGAAGTATTTGTCGATGTTCTTGAGTCCGGCCTTAATCGCATCAGCGATTGGAAGATATTGCGGGTCAAGTGCCATGGATCTCCATGGATCAGCAAGGCACTCTAGTGTAGGGATCGTTTTCCATGTGGTCGGATGTTTTGCTGACGAGAACGATTGCTGAGCCGTGGCTGGTTCCTTGAGGATGCGGTGAATAAGCCCGAGGTGTCTCCAATCACTTCGATCGAGCTTGAAGTTGTCGTAAGTCTTGTTGCGAAGAGTTGGCACTTCGTGGCTTTCATCGGCAAGGTTGGTGAAACGGTTTACAGCCTATTTAATTAAAATCAGTTTAAACATTGAAAGAAAAAAAAAACTAAAACTCACTTGACGCAAGATCAACATGCGGTCCAGGCATTTATATAGCGACGCCCAGCAAGTCCGGATCCATTGCAACAGCTCAAGTTCAGGTGCGTTTTCCTCTTTGCAAGCCTTGCGGGAAAATGCGCGAGCTTGAGGGGACTTTCGGATCTGAGGATCTTGATCAGCAAAAGAATAGTCTAACTAATATAGCACGTACCTGCTCGATGAGGGCAAGAGCTTTGCCGAGTGAATCACCGGTATCAAAGGTGTTGTTGTTGTTACTGACGTCCATGGAAGAAAGTTGTTGATTTAAGGTGTCGAGGTCAGCGTCGTTGCCATTATCAAGGGCTTGTCGAATTTTCTTCATGAGAGCAGCTTGAGGTGTGGGGGCGACGGCATCAATGAAGTGGCGTGCTGCAAGATTAAGTATATGTTCTTGGCACCTGATGCGGCGTGCATCAGGTGCCCACCGCATACCCTCAGGATCGATTTCTTGTCCAACTGCTTTCATGGCGGTATCGTTATTGGTCGCATTGTCAGAGGTCATCCATCCGACCTACAACACACTGATTAGATTGAGCGCAGCAAAGAAGTAGACTAAACTTTACCTTATCTTGTAGTCCATATTTGTTAATGGTATCAACAATCAAGCAAGCAGTATTCTGACCACTATGATTGCCCTGGATGTGCGCAAAACTGAGTTCCTCGCGGTGTAACCCCCATTGCTGGGGTTTGTCATCTGGGCTCCAGATATAGTGGCCTGTGATGGAGAAGAAAGGGTCGCCAATGATGGACGTCCATGAATCGAAAGTCATCGAGACTTGACTGTCTACCTTTGCGAGACGCTCACGAATGACGTTGACGACCTCCACTGCGCGGGCCTTAACAGTCTCCGTAAGTTTCGTGCGGTGTGGCACGTCACTTTCGGCAAGGGCAGGGCGGACATAACGAAGCAAGTTGCAGAAGGCTGGTTTGTCAACGAGCTGCAATGCTTCGTCCTCGGTCACAATCAGCTCCATTATATACTCCAGAAGCCCTGCCTTTGTAAACATGGGCGCTTTCAGGGCAAGGCTGCCATCGAGGGTGGATTGCCTTGAACTATTTATGAATCAGTACAGCACACTACAATACGGCAAGTGTAACTCACAGGGATTGAACCTCACCAGTTGGAACTGCTCGAGGGTGCATGGTGATGTTTGCGGCTTCACAGCGTGACTTGTAAAGTTGAAAATGGCCTTTATTACTGATAGATATATAATATTAGTGGATCATTTAAGAGAAAGAATACGTGAGCATACTGGCAAATGTGCGTGCGTAGTGTAGAGATACCTCCACGAAACGTGTACTTGCTTTCAACTTCACCAGCATCCCTGCAAGGTTTGCAGACCCAACATTTGTTGTCGCGAGTGAAGATTGTTCGAATATCAGCGGTGCGCTCACTCTTTGATAAAGTGGCTCGGATGGTGGTGTCTTGAAGATCCTCGGGTTCGTCCTCAGGTTCATCCTCAGGTGCTGGTACATGTTCGTCCTCGGCCTCATCTGATTGACCAGCACCATGGTCAGTATCAATATCTGTGTCGTCATCGGATAATGGAGCAGAGAGCTGTAACACAACCTTCTTCCTAACTAGTTGCTCGGTTGCACTAGATAATGCGCGCTTGCAGCTTGTTGAAGAACAGGTGTTGTCAGAATCACAAAGGCGCGCAGAAGGTTTAGAGGTGCGAATGGAGCGTCGAGCACCTGCAGTAAGTGGCACTGGTTTGCGTCCAGTCTGCAGTAGCACAGAGAAGGCGTCTGTGGGTGGCTGGGCAGAGGAGGATGGAGCGGAAATGGGGACGGCATCATCAGGATCGTTGTAAAAAACGATGTCTTTGGCGTCCTTTAGAGACCCGTCTGGGTTGAGGGCACACTGTGCTTCAGGTTCAGACATTGTACCGGTAGTCAAAATATATCACTCACCTTGCTCCCTTTATATGCGAATACCCAATCTCCTACTAACTCATAGTATGCATTGAAGGATCCTAAGAAATATAATATGTCAATCAGTTTATTGCGCTTGATTTGACGGAAAAGTCATACCTTGAGCTTGATTGAACAGGTAGGCGTTATCGGACAGCAGGGTGTGTGGGATGCGAACCTCCGGACAGGATAAGTCGAAAAAAGTCTTGAGAATGCCAAAGGTCAAAGTGACCATGGTGAATCTTGAGGATCGAGAAGTCAAAGCGTGTGATTGAGCCTTGAAGGCGTTGCAAGGAAGATGCGGTTCGGGGTTCGGAACGGTTCGGGAAGGTCCGAACCTATAGATGAACCGCACAGGAGTTAGCGGACCACGAACCTCATTCCGGTTCGGTCCGTGCAAAATGCTGGACCATGGACCGAACCAAGGACGAACCACGGTTCGGAACTGGACCATGGCAGCACTAAGGTAGGGCTACTACAAAATCGACCAACATCACGTGACAAATGTATTGAAAGCGTGACAGAATTGCAAAGTGATGAAGGCTCTAGGATAACATGAAGGAGAGAAAATCGGAAACCTGTGAATGATGGAGCACACTATGTAGTACAGTTCACAGGGACCCGATTCATTAGAAAGTGCATGTAGTGTAACTTATGGACATTAGATGGGATTGTGGCATTTATCGAAGTAAGTTTGCCAAGAAATTTGCACCACCGTTGGCCGGCGATTACGTTCCACCTCATCCGGTTCCATTACCCTCACCAAGATGGCTCCACGCAACAAGAGGAACCGCGCGAGCATTGCGAATCTTCAATGCAGACGTCAAGAGCCGGGTCTACGCAAGACGAACAAAGAGAACCAAAACTTGAGCGTGAGTTTAATGTTACCTTTTTGTGGCACGCTTCGGAGCGCTGATTGACAGCTTTTTGTCCAGACTCCCCTCGCTTCTATGCGGGCCTCGACTGACATATGTGCTGGAGCTGGAGATGAAACAGATATCACTGTCAGAGATGCTAGCTTGCCAACTCGCACATCACCTGTGTCTTGTGTCCTTGCTGATATGGAAATTTTCTCGAATGTTGAAAGAACTGTGCCGCTTGCTCCTACCAACTTCGAATCAGTGGATATGATCATTGATGACAACTCAGGGAGGACATCACTTCCAACATATATCACCAGAGACACGCTTGCAGCTCACAACGAGTCCAATCCACCGCATCTTCCCAACCGCTACTCAGCATTCGTGTCGGATTGCCCTAACAATGATGATACATACCTAGATCATGAATCTGTCGGGTCTCTTGGCGATGATCTCAGTTGCATAGACGGCAGTTTCGGTGACAGCGAAAAAGATGTTGAATACACCACCAGCCCTGCACGTCAATACCGAGCTCTGAACTGGCATGCGGCCCCCACTCTTCCTGTTGTGGAAGAAGCACTCGATGATCTAAAGCTCGTCTTGAAACCGTTGCGGAAGAATGGAGTGGGACACATATGGGTAGACTTGCCTGCCTTGCTCCGGGAGCGCCTAGAGCAGATCAAAACATTTTTAGGAATGTTTATCAGCAAGTCAAAGGAGGCGGATACGCTCGGAAAGGGGTCCTCACCTCAGTGGATGGCAGCATCATTGGCAACAGCTAATGTGCATCAGAAAGGCACATATTATGCACGCCAACTACGTGCATGGGCCAAGGCATTTATCACGGACCGTGACAATCTCCCTTTCGACCAATACGGCCGATCGAAGATATCGAAGCTTGATAATGAAGAGCTCACGAACGAGCTTCACCTGCACCTACAATCGGTCGGGAGATATGTCAAGGCAGGGGATCTCGTCACGTACCTCTCTGACAAAGAAGCCCAGAGTCGCTTTGGACTCAAATCAACGATTTCCCTCGCAACGGCGAAGAAATGGATGCATACACTTGGGTATCGCTGGCGCACTGACCATCGTGGTCAGTATGTTGATGGACATGAATGAGGAGATGTGGTTAATTATCGCCAGAACATTTTTATACCGGAGATGATGGCATTACAAGCTCGAATGAGACGGTGGATGAGTGACGGACTCACATCGGAGATCAATTTGGAACCACATGAACGTCCTGTCGAAGTTTGGCTGCAGGACGAAGTCACATTCTACGCAAATGACAGGCGTCATTCCGGATGGTATCATCTCAATGCAGGTTCCGATCCTCGTCCAAAGGGGGAAGGGATATCAATCATGATCTCCAATTTCATTTCCGCAGATCGAGGATGGTGCAGATCACGAGATGGGAAAGAGAGTGCAAGAGTTGTCTTTCGAGCAGGGAAGTCGCTAGACGGATGGTACACAAGTGAAGACATGCTGAAACAGGTGACGAAGGTCATGGACATCCTGGAAAACAATTATCCAGAGTCAGATCACGTTCTCGTGTTTGATAACGCATCCACGCACCTGAAACGAGCAGATGATGCCCTATCTGCATGGAAGACACCCAAGGGAATCCGGGAATGGGGAGTTGAGACGACGCTATTGGGAGAAGACGGAAAACCAGTCCATGGGCGGGATGGGAAAGTTCTAAAAACGAAGGTGCCGATGCAAGACGGGCGATTCGCAGACGGACGACCACAGCCGCTTTATTTCCCACCCGGCCATGAGCATGTGGGAAAGTTTCAAAGGCATGGCGGAGATTCTGTGGGAGAGAGGGTACAATGTTTCGAAGCTGAAGGCCCAGTGCACCAAGTTCAGGTGCCCAGAGGGGGCCACTCAATGTTGTTGTCGAAGAATCCTCTTCAATGAGCCAGATTTTGTTGGTGTCCCAAGTCGCCTGGAAGAACACTGCCTCGCGCGGCACTTCAAGCTAATCATCTTGCCGAAGTTTCACTGTGAACTCAACTTCATCGAACAGTGTTGGGGATATGCTAAAAGACTTTACCGATTATATCCACCCACCACGAAGGACGAAGAGATGGAAACCAATGTTCATAAGGCACTGAACTCTGTTCCCATTGAGTGCATGCGTCGGTAAGTATTGCTGCTGATGCTTTGAGAATCGAAAGAGTCAAACTCACACAGTTATAGGTTTTCGAACCGGTCCTTACGGTTTCTAGATGCATATCGGAAAGGTCTGAACGGAAAGCAAGCGGCATGGGCAAACAGGAAATATCGAGGTCACCGCACTCTTCCGGACAGTATTTTACAGGAACTTGGTGACAACCAGATCACATAGACTTCGGAATAATATAGTTAATAGCTAAATAGTACATACACTCGACACTTTGCTACTTACATCTAATACATCTAATCTCCTTGCATGGCCGGTGGCGCCGCCCATGCATCAACGTCGCAACCGTCGTGCCTTGCATCTCGTCAGCTGTCACACCATGTCACGATTGGTTGGTTTTGTAGTAGCCCTACCTTAGTTTGACCGCATTTCTTGCTTACATAATGCCACACTTTCTTTGGCTGAGTTGCCGCTCCCCACTATTACTTCCGCTTTGATGGATGTCACATGTTATGCATTCATTATGTAAAACACCTGGTGAGGACCGTGCGGCGTGGTCTTCAAACCTATCCCACACACTTTCTCGCTCTAGATCCCAATGACCGCATTCTGATATGTTTCATTATCCTGGATGAATAGCATGATACTTGACGTCCTTCTGAAACATGGGAAACCATACGCTGTGAGCATTCACTCTACGAGGCAGGTAAACTATATCCATGTCGCCCACTGATATCTTCAGCACCACTCGCCGCGAACCTTCTGTCCGATACGACCTCAACGCAAGGCAAGGATGTTGTGAGAAACACCAGACAGATTACGGCGGTTCTAATTCAAACTTCCAAAGCATACCGGCCACTTGGTACGCACTTCTAGTTTTCACTGCTTACTCACACGTATCTGTTGGACCCTGTCTAGTGTTCAACACGATGCGCCAGTCAATGCCTGATTGTTCACCAGGTTGTATGGTAGAACCCAGAACTCGTCCAACATCGGCGGCGGTGATAGAATAACTCTCAAAGTCCAAGCGCTTGCCAAGCGTCAAGTTCCAACCCATTGATATGCCGTCTCTATATAATTGTCAACGTTAGTCACGTCCGTGTGTCTAGCTATACACTTGCAAATATATTGATGAGAGCAAGTTCCAGCACCACCCTGCACCACCTGAGAGTTGTTGGCATATTCGTAAGTTTGTGAGATTCGAAGCTGCATAGTGGTATACATCTGCACGATCTGGGTACTCTGGGGTCTACTAAAGAATACGCCTACATCACGAATATACCGTAACTGATAGTATGTGTCGTTGTTTTTAATGACTTGCTCCACACTCGGCTGGCTCTTGATAATAGCCTCCACCCTTAGCGATGACCAAGAGATTCTGCATTCTCATGATGTGCAGTGATTTGTATTGAACGACCGTCTTCTTTCTGTTTGGTCCACTCATAGGAGACTAGGCATGATTGCTGTTTTCGAACTTGCGGATGAATATTCTGACTAGCAGCAGCTATAAAGCGCGCGAGCACAGAACTGACGAACAACCAACAAAGAAACAAACCCGCACTTAGCTTCAAAATCTCGCAATTTTTGACAGTAAGGTTTATCTAACCTATAGGTCCAACTTATGACACTGATGCTCTAGATGAATCTCTTGACGATCATTCTCCTGGCATTTACGGCCATCGGTCCTCTCACTGCACGAGCCCTGCCCGGCTCCGAGGCGAATGAACCCGCCAAAAAATGCACTTGGCAGGTGTGCGGGGGGATCCCGTGCTTGAGAACGACTGTTGTAGCCACCAGAGCTTGCACATTGTTAGGTGCCCCGGCGACTCAGTACTGTTGTGCTATCTAGCGACGCAAATGAAGGTCCGGGTACGTCGGTGATGAAACCCTTTATCAGAACATGTACTGAGTGAAAGATAGGAAATCAGTGCTGCTCGCGCGCGGAAAGCATCCCCAAAGATTCTCGCATATTGTCTACGGTAGCATCCTTAGTCACCTCTGTAAAGATTGTTCCATCTTGCACTCGTTGACTATCGCTAAGAAATCAGACTCGTCCTTGATTGCTGGCTGTACGAACCTAAGTGTCAATTCAGGAAAGGGCTACTTGCACATAGAAAGATGTTCGCGATAGTTCCAAGGATCCCTTTCGCCGGGTCGATAGGAATCAGGTCTTTGTAGGGCTGAAGGCAGCGATAGTGGCACCTAGTAGTTGACTGCCACCCCTTGGTATCAGAAGAGACGTGCTTGGCATTTGGATCGTTTTGTGTCAGTCAAATATACTGGGAAACTCTGAGATATGTTCCTTCTTGCCTTCGACTGTCAGGACTCTCCGTCCTTCAGATTTTTAAATAATATATATATCGCCATGAGTGATTACAGATATTTTCCACTATTCGCGACAGAATCCACGATCGAACGTAAATGGGTTCACAAAATTGTGCACAAGTCAGAGGCCCAAAATTGTTTGGTGAATAAAAACATACAATGGTATTTCAAACTTTTGACTCAAAAAAACTGAAGTATGTAGTTGTAATCGCACCATCTCCGGCACGGATTTTCTTTTCCTTTTGAAGGCTATATCATTCGCAGTGAATCCACACCTTGACTGCTGCGGAGGGCAATCTTATGGCGGTCGAGGATCACCACAACGTCTTGATCGGCACCATAATGCACCCAGCGCGAATGAGGTTTTTTTTTGCTCGCCTGTTTGTGCCTCCGATGCTTGTGCCTTCATTTGTGAAGATGAGCTGCATGCCAGACACTCGCCCTGGGACGTAAGCCGTGCCTTCGCTACCCGTGATATATTTTGAGGACACAAGAATCTCAACGAGTGGCCGCCAGACTGTGCACACGACATATGACGAACTCATCCTTCGCCGCAGCTTGCACTATTTGAGTGTACCCTTGCGTCTCCGACCCGAGGCCGAACCACTCTGATATCAGCGGGCCCGAGTCTGTTGACAGGTAGGACGTTGCTACGCCTTGCATGAAATCTAAGTTCCCTTGCCTTCGATATGCTTTGCCTTCAAGGAGTGGCTGGACTTCCAATATGAAGGAACCTTATGTGCGAACCTCGCGTGTTTCGATTGTAATGTTGGGCTTGCACACGAGGAACGCGAGCTCGTAGCTGTTATTTGGCGCGGTGAACTGTAGAGTCGGTATGCCAGTAAGGTCTGGGTAGATGGGAATGTTTAATTGGTCGCAGCCTTCGGCGCACGCAACAATGGCAAAAGTTGTCGAGTCGTCCGACGCAGCGTCTGAGTAGTATGATTGAAGACAAATGTAGTTGGGTCCAGCACGGAAATCTGTGTTACAAATTTGGATTCGTACATCGCTGGTATTGGTTTTGTCACGATGTAGGTTTCGATGGACTTACGGGAGATGCTTCCTGGAACATGAATACCGAGCCTCGAGGTATGTAGTAACGGCCGTCGGGGCTACGCTGGTACTATCCATCGCTTTTGATGATGAAGACTTGGTAAGATTCTGAGGATTTTCCCATGTTAAAAACGGATTGAGTCCGACTACGTCAGTTAGCCATCTTGCAGTTGTCGAAGCTTGAATGGTGATCGGTATGGGCGCGACATGGGCCGCATATTCACTGAGTGACTTGTTCGAGATGGTGTACGCATATGACATGCCCAGAGCCATCTCTGCCCATACTGTCGAAGCGGGATACTCAGGGGAGATAGCCAGCTGCATAGGTGGAACAGTTTGTCCGGCATCAGCCAAAGGAGACATCAATTGACCACAGCGAGGCATGGCACAGTTCTGAGTCTTCTAACCGGAAATGGCACAGCCACCCCACAGCCACCAATACGTGTTTGCATAGTCTGAATCACGGTAACCTCTCTTTCCTTACTGTTTATCTCTCCCAATTTTCTAATCGTCTGGTAGAGATGTTCTCAGATGAGCTCAAGGCATTCCGTAGACTAGGCTTCCGACATGTTTGTCTCAGCGCTTTGAATTACCTTGCACAGCGCTGATTTTTCTTTCGTTGCATTTGCGCCGACGTGTCCTTGGTGCGACCCCATATGCGCCTGTCGTTCTCGGCTCCTGTAGTTTCTACTTCAAATTCTCAACTTCGCCTCCGTCATCGCATCTGGCCTCATGCTATGGAAAGGCCTCGGCCTAATCTTGAACACGGAATCGCCGATTGTCGTTGTTCTCAGGTGTGTACAAAACCTCCCTACCCCAAACAAATATTAATTTATCCCATATCTACAGTGGTTCAATGGAACCAGCATTCTACCGTGGCGACCTTCTTTTCCTCACCAACCCCTCAGGCGAACGCTACCACACAGGTGACATCACAGTGTACAGGATCCCTGGCGCTGACATCCCCATCGTGCACCGCGTCATGGAAACCCGGGATGTCACTATCCCGTTCGACAATTCTACGGAGAACCGTGTCATAAAAAACAAGTGAGTTTCTCCAGTGTGCAGCATTTGGTTCGCTGCGGGGGCAAATTCGATGACTAACTACGACCCCAGACTCGCAAAGCTCAAACTCCCACCGGGAGAACATCAACTGATGCTCACGAAAGGTGACAATAATCATGTTGATGATATTGACCTCTACCAGGGCCTTGAATGGCTCGACCAAAGACATATCGTTGGCAAAGTTCGCGGGTGCGTGTCTTTCACATCAATTTTATTTTATTCTTCAATTCACTTGCACTCCACCCCCAGATTCCTTCCGTACATCGGTTACGTGACAATCGCCATGGTAAGTCTCTTTCACCGTCTGAATTGAGTATACGTGCGCCACTTGGTAGCGCATCCCTTTCATACTACATAACGCTGATAACGCCACAGAATGATTTCCCGCAACTTAAATACGCGCTTCTAGGAGGTCTTGGGTTATTGGCTGTTTTGCAGCGGGAGTAGCATTCCCTATGGAGGGTGGGCCTTTACGCAGATCCATTTTGCTTTTTTCAATGTAAGGTGTCGCGCGCATGAAATAGCAACATTGACCTCATTGGGTTACGTTCAACATCATGGCTGTTTGATACCCCGACAATATGGTGGATCTTTGGTGATGGTATTCTCGCTCCTCTTGCGCTGTTCCTCTCATGGCCAATCCCACTTCGCTTGACTAGTCTTACTATCAACATGACACAGCAGGCCAAGAGCGCTACTCCTCCCTCTCCTCCGCCTTCTTCCGCAGCGCGGATGCCGTCCTCCTCATGTTCGACGTCAGCACACCAGAAACTATGCACGCGCTCACGAAATGGTTGGAAGAGTTCAAGTTCCGAGCCCCAGTCAGTGATGAATGAAGAAGCCAACAACTTTTGTTGTATGGTTGTGGGGAACAAGATGGATCTGTTAAAGCCTGGGATGGGCGTTACTATGGAGGAGGCTCAGAAATTCGTGCAGGAGCTAGTGCCTCTTTCTGAACCTGAGTGAGCACGGGGCTGACACCGACACCGACCCAGCGCTCCCCACGCCCTCCGCCCGAATGGGCATCCAAAACCACCGCAAATTGTCGCAGTCGCGTTCCCGCTCAGGTGCACGAACGCCAGCACCTCATTCTACGGGACCTTCCGCTCTGGCGTCACCCGTCTTCATCCAGCTCTGTCTCTGATGCGCATGCGAGCGCGCGTTCCTCCCCGCTTTCAGGGGTCCCCGCCCGAAACTCCAAGAGTCAGGAGAACAACGTGTTTATCTACTACGACGACGTCTTCTTCGTCTATTCATGAGGACCCAACAACCTACTTCACCATCCACCCCACCTCAACCACTCTCAGACCTACCCGACACCGACACCGTAGCGGCTGTGGGCGATGACGACATTCGTTCGAGGGAGGATAAATGTTCGCAAAAAAATTATTGGTATTTCCTTTTTTTCTTCTTTATTCCGGTCTTTCACTTTCATTGTACAGGCTTGTTGACCGATACCCATCAGCTTGAACGGGGACTATCATAATTTATCTAGAATCTATTGTGGACTCCTTCGAGTTGGGCTGATTTTGGAATAGATTTTATTCATGTGTTGTTGCTCGGACTTGTCTTGTAAAATGATGTGGGGCAAACGTGCGGGAATGGGAGTCGATTTATACGTTCAAGCGTGTTGCATAACACTGATGGTAGGCCTAGACGCGAGTTCGGGTGCGTTGAAACACCAGGCTCGAAACGATAGTACAGGAAGGTCATCTGTATCAGACAAAGGAGACATTAATTGACCATCAACATCCCGACTCAATCCGCTCTCAGCGAGGAGGCATGGCATGAACATGTATTCTGTGCGTGCGTAGAAAATGATGCGAGCAAGCATAGGCTAAAAATTCTCAAGTATGTAAAACAACATGCAAGCGCGGCATATAGAATCATATATGCTCGTTTACGCTTGCGCTCATGCCTCCGCGGTTGGCCTGACACGCTTCTTCGCGACGGTGTTTTCTCTGTATCGCAAGACAAAGTTCGTGTTATGAATATTAATACGGTTATTAGGATGGGGATAGAAGGAACGCACCTGAATCCGTTCTTGAATCTCCTCGATACGTGCTTGAGCGTGCGCATGCGCCCGGTTCCGGTGGTCTTTCTGCGCTTGGCTTTTTGGCCCCACTCATACGAGCGCAACTTTGCTGCGGGGTAGCCGCACTGGGCACAGGCTGGGATACGGGAATGACAGTTTTTCCGAGGTGGATTGTAGTAGTGGAGGAAAGAGTGGAAACAGGACGGAGACGAGCAAATGAAAGGTCAGATATCGCCTCATAAGAAGTCGTAGAAACGCACTCTTGTGTTGCCTGTGGAATGCGCGAACACCACAGCGCCGGCAGAGCGTGTGGGACTTGGTGTGTCGCTTACTGCACGATTCAAATACAACCGCATGAGAGAGACACTCCAAGTTGCAAGGGAAAATACCACGCACCCAAAGGACGAAGTACCTGGTCATCCAAGAACATCGACAACAAGCCATCCGTCAAATTCTAAACCCTAACGATCGAATCGTAAAATCAAACGAACCTTTCGTCTGTAGAAATTCAAGAGGTCAGCTAACATGAAATGGGCAATGTACCGGCCAGACACGCAAAATAACGTCCACCCCTTCCGTTGAACACTAATGTCATCCAATACATATCATCTCCATCCACCCAACAATCGCCCAATTCCATCCCGATTTTTCACCCAGGAAGCTTGCACGCATGTACAAAGACCTATCGGACGTCGAATGGGCAGCGAGACTCACCATCTTGACGTTTTCTTGAGGATTTGGAGACGGTGGTGATACCGGTGGGCGTGCTGGGGTTGATTCAGTAGGGGAGGCTGGAAGCGTGGGAATAGTAAGCTTTCGTGTGAAAGCAACCTTAAAGTGGACGACAAGGCCTACTAATATATAGTACGTTCGTACATGCAAAGGCTTCCAATGTTTCCCCCTTCCATCAGTTAGGATGGTGTTCAAGATAGGCGGCTGGGCGTTCAGCTTCGAGCAAGTGCGCACATGGTTAGAGAAGCAGGGACAGCAACACCAGCACTTGCAGGACGCGTTCCTTTCTAGAGATCTCAACTTCTGGTTCAAAGAGAGAAACATAGATTATATGCGGGCCGTCCCCACCGACTATCCTCGAGGGAGCTGTCAACCAGTCATCATATTGGCTCGAACGCAGAGAGAAGATCCAGAGTCAACGGTGGTCCATTTCTCTCGTTTCATGGAGCTGGATGCGGACCGTGACGTGAAGAAGCAGGTAATGGAAGAGAGTGGGCTGAACGATGAGGACCTGCCTTGGGTCACTATTGCGGACCCATATTTCATGTGCTGACATTGTCGTCGCGATGCAAACTAAATCGAAGTGGGCTCAGGTAAATTACCACGTCATTGCTTGCCCGCACCGCTAACTCATCACTGCTGCACCAGTACCAAATGATATTTGTCACTTGGAGTTTCTTATCCCACGCGCGGACCAATCTTCTTTCTCAAGAACTTCATTGTATTACGTCTGCTTATGTCCTTTCATTGTACATTTTGGAACCGATACAACGCCAACGAGCAAATGCAACATACGTGATTCTGAATTGTTCTGTGAAACGCAAGGGTGCTATATAATGGGATTGTTTTATTCACAGATATGCAACTACACGTCCAAAAATAATCTCGAGAAATACTTCTTCACGCCTTCTGCACCATGTACAATCGCTCCAATCACTCCGTCAGGTCGTATCACGAACACTTTCGTCTGGCCAGATTCCACGAGGTAAGCCGAATAAGCATGGCCCTTCTGATCAACAAGAACAAGGTCAGCAGGGGATGCAACAGGCGTCATTGGTGCAGATGAAGGCAAAACGACTGCCAATCGCACAACGCTTTGGTCGTAAGCCTCCAGCACGCCCAAGATCGGGATAGCATCTGCATGAGTCGGAGCGAACACAAGCACTGTATGATACCAAGGTCTGTAGAGACCAAAAAACGTCTTGACGTCAGATTCTCCGCGCCCCACCTGCAGCATGTCGGGTGCTTCAGGCGCCCTGTCTCCAGCTTCCAGATGGCTCTCATCAGGTACTTCATAGGCGTTGATAGGTCTTCCCTCAACTAGCGTCGCAAATTCATCGAGTACGATGCTACTAAACCGGCAGTTGATACCGAGCATATAAACGATCGGGCTTCGTTGGAACGTCACGTCCTTTGTTTTTACTGCTCTGTTGAGAATCGAGGTGGTCATCTTGAGCATATCAGAGATGACTGGGAGGCGTTCAGCACTGTATGTCTCGAGAAGAGATTTGTCGGCGAGTCTTTTCTCGACGAGCGCCAGTTTCCACCCTAAATTGAACTGGTGTGCATCCCAGTCAGCTATGTCGCACATACTACATGTTAAAAACTCACAGCATCTTGTACACTTGAGTTAAGTCCCTGGTCGTAGAAAAATAAGCAAGGGGTGTCATTTGACGAGAGCATACATACCTGACCACCGGTTGGACTGTGGACACTGGACATGTATGTGTCAGCAGTTGTTTAAACTTCACAGAGATAGACATACTGAGCAGCATCTACGACAACGTCCATCAACACAGCTACGCGCGCATGAAATAGAACCACGTACCGCCCGCAACAAACACTCGACCTTCGCTAAACTTATTCACCATCCGGATATTGGCCCTAAACCAAAGCGATGAAAACGCATCGATGTATGAAAAAACAACAACACACCGGAACTCGCTCGCCCAAACAAGCTTGTTGAAAGTGACCTCCGTAGGTATCAATGATGTAATGATCTCGAAGATAAGCTCCTCGCTCTGAGCGACCTTTGTCAGATCTAAGTCACCACCAGATATGAAAAATTGCCAGCCGTCCTCCCCAATTTCATCCGTTGGACGCAATGAGACGCTGTGGGTCGTCAATACATCGCTGAGCGTCAATGACACCAATGGTACGTACCCTCGTTCTTGGAATTGTCCAAACTGATGAAAATACTGTCGAGACCGGATCAGGAGCGTTCTTCCGTCGGATAAGTAGAAACGGACGCACTGCTCTATCAAGCCCAACGCCCTTTAAACAAATATCTCCCGTGACAATTCGGACATCATCTCTAGTCTCGCCCAAGAATAAAAGCCCAAGTTGTTTGCGCACGACACCTGAAACACGAATTCAGTCTCATCCTGCTGAATCTGGCAGCTTCTCACCTTTGGCCCCATCGGCGCCGATCATCCACTTTGTATCAAAAGTTTCTAATGCACCGTTCTTCGCTAGTACAGCGGTAACCCCCTCTTCGGACTGTTCGAACGAACGCAGTTCGGTGCCCATCTCGACAGAACAAGAAAACTTCTCGAGGTGGCGTTGCAGAATCACACCTAAAAGCTGTTGACCGAGAACCTTGGAACGCTGGAAAACAAAACAAGCCAAATTTTCAGTATGTTTGCTTGATAACGCAGCATTTCTGCGTACGAATGGTATCGCGGGTGTAAGATCTATATGCGGGGCCATCGAGAATTCCCTCAGAGGTTCCATCGTCCCTGGCTTGTAGTGACGGACAATAGGCGGGGGTTTCCCTCGTTCGTTGACTTCTAAAACATCCAAGAAGTTGAAGAGTTCCAGAGAGCGTGGCTAATTCAATGGAATCATCGGTGATGTGTCAAGTAGATGCATCACAAACCATGATTCCAGCACCACGCTGTCCGATGCGAGGGTTTGGATCTTTGTCGATGATACGAACTGGGATGCCGTTCTGCAGAAGTGTCAACGCTGCTACCAGACCTGCTGGCCCAGCGCCAACCTAATAAGAGGAATTCAGCTGAGGTGCGATCTTCTATCATAAGGAGGATTCTTACGACTAGTACAGGTGGACGAGTGGAATTCATATGTAAAGTTTCTTGGATGAGAGTGCCAAAAAATCTCGTCTTATAATATAGGCGGATCAAAGCGGAAAAGTCGGGCAGGATCTGTCAAAAGGCTCACCAAATAAGATAATTCATGACGTCGACTAAATAGTCCTTGGCAAGGGCAGGGGACTCCCCCACGTAGGCTGCGCTGGCATAGTTTCACTTGCCAACGGAACTAAAAGCACCATAGTCACTAGAGATAGTCGCCACCAGCGCTCGTCACGACGCCACCTCGTCGAATTAATAATTGAATCTGTGATGGAGATTTGACGAGTAGAAGTGCGCTCAACCAGTAACACTTTGGCCTCTACACAGGGAGTGATCTCCTGGCAAGTGAAATCCATCAATACGGTCCATCAGAACACTCTAGGTCTCCTTGATTCCAAACATTGCTTAAAGTCGAAGCGGTTGATAGGGGACAAGGTTGAAGCAAGAGGAAGATCGTTGAGCAAGACATGCATGATAACGGGGAGCTTGAGGGAGCGATGTTACCCTCATCCTCAACACACTCCTAACTTACCCTCGCGCAACCTTTGACCCAGTGCAGCGGGCGGTCGTAAAGAGGCAGTCGCCAGTTGCCTCACATGCCTTCGGTTCGTATCCGATCTGGCTGTGAATGGGTTGAATAACAAATTGCTGCGCTCGTCATCGGTCTGCGGGTTGCTACTGGAGTATGCCGAAATGAAGAAATGAATTCCACTGCAAGCTCGCTGACTCAGCTACAAGCACCGACAAATACTTCCACTTGAGCTTGAACGTTCTGATTCTGAACCTCCGACGATGTGTACGTTGTTTCTCTCTTTCATCAAGCTGGGATGCATTTAGCTCACTGTACTGCCACACTCTCTGGTCCTTTAAAAATCTGAATGTGCATTGGATGCAGCGAAAAGTTTCGGTTCTCGTATCGGAAATGGCTGTCACTATCATTGGCACAGAGCCGAATCGTGAAGGGCATATCCAGCGATGCCTGTTCTACGGGAACATCTAGTATAGGTGATGCTATACTATCAACCTTTCTGCACTATACGTTCATTGTTCAATGAGCATCATAGGGTTGTCTCTAGGTAGGCCATTGATGTTCAGCATTCTGCGGCCTCTGAAAATATACTCAAATTGGAATATTCAGCGTTTCGCACATATGCTTCAGGCCAGATCTAGAAGTACTCGGGAAGTCTATTTTGAGTCCACCAACCTTGCCGTGTACTAAATATAGCATTTGGAGTCACGATGCTTGATCATTCTCTCGTCAGCCAACGCGTGCTAAGGCTTGCCATTCATCGGTAGCCTCTACCCTACCTTCAAGTAAGCACTGCTCCTAGTCGTTATCAGATCAATCACAATCAGCGTTTTTGTGGCGTGTTGCAGACCACTCACAGTATTGCCCCGCGTCGTTATCAGATCAATCACAATCAGCGCCTTGGTAGCGTGTTGCAGTACACTCACAGTATTGCCCCGCGTTCTTCTAAATGTAGAATATTTCTACCTCCGGCAACTCAGATCCGGAGGCGCTAATAGTTAACTTCACACACCTAGTGCCTTCCCAGTGCTCGCACTCTCCGCAGATCAGACTCGATGGTTCACAAACTCCACCACGAATTCATTGCGATTCACCACCATGATCCACAATCAATGATTTTGCATAGTGCCCATTTTACTGCTGATGGTCGCTGTCGGGGTTTGACACACACACACATCAGTGGGAAGTAAAATAGTGATGTCTGCTGGATGTGTACAGACTATTTTTCGTACGAAGCAGTGTGAGGGTCAGCTGCAGCTTCCTGAGAGTCGACGCCCAATCTTGGGCGCTGAATATCTTGATGGCATCCATAAGCGTAATATAAAGGCAATGCTGGGATATCGGTGTAGGAAGTAACACCTTGCGTGTCTCTCTTCTCATCGTAAGTCCCGTTCACAGCTCGAAAATCCTGTAAACTTTGTACTCATCGTCACACCGAGGTAGAATGCCTCGGTCAGTACTGCCATTCACGCACAACGACTCAGAATCTTTCATTTGCCATGACAACCTGGGCAAGGTGAAAAAGCACGGTGCAGGCCAGAGATATGTCAGCCCTACCTCTGGGATCTGTCGAAAACTCGTTGTGCAAGCCGTTAACCCTTCTAAGACATCTGAAGTCAAAGAAGTCGCCATCAAAAATCACACCAACGAGGCAGGCAAGCTCGCCAGATGGCTGTTATCCAATTTCCCCCCAAGAGGATGGATAATTTTCGAGTGGATAACCAAATGGTTGTGGTTTAATTGGCTGCTATTATGGCCAATCATCTGGTTTCTCGTCCAGCTTTACTTCCAAGCTGGAGATAGCTCGGACTCTGGAGATGATACGGAGTCGTATAGCTCTGGATACTACAAACCGTATATCCGCAGGTTTCGCGGTCAGCTGTGGGCAGCTCGTTCTTCCAAGGAGCATTCTTCGCGCATTAGAGAGGATGAAGAGAAGGAAATTCGGATACGCACTCTTTATCCTCGACGTCTCGTGATCCGCAACCGGAATGAGTGGGTTCTATGCGCAGATCGTGATATCATCATCCGCACCAAATTCATCGCCATTTCTTACCGCCAGTCCGATATCTGTACTCCGGGAAGCTCCACCGAGAGGGAAGATAAGGCACAGTTCACAGACGAGGTTCGTGCAGCGGTGCTGGGACAGAAATTCGATGCCTATTGGCTTGATTCGGAGTGTCTGGGGAAGACTCGGTCAGAGATGAATATAGATTTGTACTGCATGGCAGACGTCTACCGTAGAGCGGAGGTGACTTTGATCATGCTCGGGAAAGCTGCCACATCTGGAGAGGACGAGTGCTGGAAGAGCTGGGGCCAACGGGTATGGACTTTTCCCGAAGCCCTCCTGAGCTCTCGTCTTTGTTACAAGTTCCGGGATCGGGAAGAGGTTAACCCGTTGTCGTTGTTTCAGCTGGCTAACCTGGCCTATGCGCACTCCGACGATGAACAAGCAATCGTCAACGCATACGGCGGGAAGGATCCGCTTGAGCGGCTGGAGCGCTTAACACTCCTGAAACAAGCTATATGGAGGCGCGGTACATCAGCTCATCCAATAGACTCTCCACCCCCGCCAAAGTCGGATATGATAGGTGGGGGGCCTGTCAGCAGCGGGGCGTACGGTGCGGAGCGTGTCTATGCTCTCATGGGCCTTTTTGAGCATCGCATTCTTCCGAGCCACGAGGAGGACGATTTGAAAGCTCTCGCAAGGTTGTCAATGGCCAACGACAACGACCGGATCATTGAGCGCATGCTATCCATGCTTCCCTCGACCATCACCAAGGAGGCGTGCTGGTACGCCGAGAATGATATGTACGGCGCAAATCTTTGGGATATTATCCCGGAGTTCCAAGTCTCTGGTGTGACAAAGAGCGGAGCTCTCGTTGCGGATGGCTGTCGGGCGGCAACTATCAGATGGAAGGACTTCCCAGAGGTTACATGTGCGACTCCGTATTCGCTGAGGAGACAAATTGTCGGTTTCATGCCGTATCTCGCCTGGCCGATCTTTATCATCGGGCTTGTGATTTACCCGACCACCGACAGAAAGGCAGGCATCGCACTCATCATCATCGGACTCGTGTTCCTCTTCCTTTCCCCTCTACTGTTTCTCTACAGTAAATCTGGGCGTATTGTCATCGCCCAACCGTGGCTCATCGGTGTCAAAGGAGTGATCCGCAGAGATGTTGTAGAAAGTCACTTGTATGGGGGTGCCACAAAACATTTCCCGAGGATGTTATTCACACCGAGCGGTTCTCAGTTCTCAATTCCGGAACGACAAGAGTTACGGGGAGGCTCACCAGCGCAATACGACGAAGCGATAATAGAAGAGGGTGGATTATATCCGGGGCACATGTACACGCTCATCGACACAATTTCGTCGACGATGTACTATTTCCGTGCTGAGAAAGCGCCGACGGTGTGTATATTCACAGGACGGGAGGGAGGGCTTGGGAGGTTTGTGCTTTGTTCGGAGAACTGCCAGAGAAATGAGCTGCATAAGGAGAGCGTGTTGAGGATGCCCACGGAGATCACTCACAAGATGGAGATGTGTGGTTGGATCGCGCTTGGATGAGATTGATTTGTTTGAGGCGTCTACGGAACCACTTGTTTAGATTACTATGTACTTTTCCATGTTCGCTACCTACAGTCCCTGTGTCTACCTCTGTCCTAGTTGCGGGCCGTGATGCCTTTCAACTTACTAGTAGTTACTTTGCCGCATTTTTTTCGTTTTCTTCAAGTTTTTTTTTTTACAGCCAATGACGAGTTGTAGAGTAAAATATTTATAAGTTTGTAGTACATATGTGTATGATGATTGCTGACGATTTATATATTCATTCCTTTATTATCGGAAATATAGAAATGTTTACAGTCGATGATGGGTCCAGCTACTGGGGCGCGAGGGGCCAAAGGACTTCGAAAGTGATGCGAGGCAGGCAATAAGCCTCTCCTGTATGAGGAATGAATTTTCGACGGAGGTGGCGCGGACTAAACAATTTTCAAGCGACACGTTTGTCAAACAGACTCTGAGACAGTACTGGCTGTAGCCTGTAAGGACACAAGCTTCGATGATCGTGACGTCACTGTGTTTCTAGTAAAGAGCAAGGTGATTTCGGGTCTGCAGCGGAATCTACATTTTCTCAACGACCTTCTGATGTGGGCGAGCTTGTAGTGCGACAACCTATGACAATCATGCACGCGCGTGATAGCCGCTGATGCGAAACCCGGATCAGAACTCGATAGTGCTTCAAAGATAATGCTCACTACTAGAAAACAACAGAAGTTGACCACCTTCTGGTGTGGGCGAGCTTGTAGTGCGACAACAGGACCAGAGTCCCGAACGGACTCCGATCGGCTCTGATGAGAACTGTTAGAATAACAATACCCTCGATTAGTGGCTAACAATTCGAAGAACTTCATGGTGGGTCCGATTGATGATCACGATACACAGCTTCAACTTGAAAGCTTCAACGACAGGGGCAAGTACGTGACCATTTATGATTTGGTTTAAGTACTATTCAGTTCAGTTGCCACTTCAAGTTCTAAACTCAAAGTCCCCAACTTCATCTTGCATTTCCTTTCTGACAAGCCAGTACGTTTATGTAGTCCCCTACTGTTGCACGCAAAGGCTCACGTTGTTTCCCCCTTCCATCAGTTAGGATGGTGCTCAAAATAGGCGGCTGGGCGTTCAGCTTCGAGCAAGTGCGCACATGGTTAGAGAAGCAGGGACAGCAATACCAGCACTTGCAGGACGAGTACCTTTCTGGAGATCTCAACTTTTGGTTCAAAGAGAGAAATATAGATTATATGTGGGCCATCCCCACCGACTATCCTCGAGGGAGCTGTCAGCCAGTCATCGTATTGGCTCGAAGGCAGAGAGAAGATCCCAAGTCAACGGTGGTCCATTTCTCTCGCTTCATGGAGCTGGATGCGGACCGTGACGTGAAGAAGCAGGTGATGGAAGAGAGTGGGCTGAACGATGAGGACCTGCCTTGGATCACTATCGCGGACCCATATTTCAAGTGCTGACATTGTCGTCCTGATGCAAACTAAATCGAAGTGGGCTCGGGTAAATTACCACGTCATTGCTTGCCCGCACCGATAACTCATCACTGCTGCACCAGGTCTTCGGTATGAAGGTGGCAACCTGCTCAGCAAGAACAGACCGCTTGAGGCTTGGTTGAAATGTGATGCTATTAGATGCAGGGAGGGAAAGATCGACTTTTAGTCAGTGGCGCTCTGGACCCTGCATCCAACGAATCGCACGAAGTATCCAGGAAAGTTGTAAAGAAATGCTTCAAAGTGATCCATTCGCTTTATTCTCCGGAGGCGTACCTCAAACTGGCCGATCAACCGGCGTTCGAGTTTTTTTTTTTTTTTTTTATCCAATTTCTGTCCCATTGAGAGATGTACTCTATGCGGGACAATACATTCTAGTCTAGTGGGACCCCCAGTGTCCCATGCGCATCTCTGAGTGCACGAATGCCCTGATGTGAGTTTGCACCCCATCAGTCCGAGGCGTTCGAGTTGTTGCTCGAGAACCCTATGCTGGAGCATTTGCAAGGAGACGGGTTTTTTGTCTGGCAAGTATGGTAGGTACACTCGTAGTTGAGGGAGTGTGCATCCGAAAACACAATTTCGCAGAATGAACACCAAGAAAATTGCAGGGGAGAAGCAGTCTTGGGTCGATGACTTTTGCAATGAATTTACATTTCACGAAGGTAGACATCGTGCGCAATCTACGAACATCCCGTGAGCCGACAAGAGATGTGATATCGTTTCAGACAACCATCGCGACATCTACCTCAGTACAGAAGGCATGAACTTCAAATTCTTGATTTGAAAAGGGATAAACGCACTTTCATTGCCGCCAACCTAACCCTGTTATGTCAAGCATTCTGGCCTCTCCTGGATGGTTCGTCTGAGTATGAACCGATGTAGCAGATATATATAGGTGAATGGGGGTAGATGCACAAACAGTCCTTCAATTCCCGTGGACGAAGACTGAAGTGCGTCGTCCATCGGGGAAGACCGCAGCTGGGAGTACGGATTCTTCATAATCTTCAAATGTTCGAACGGGCGCAGTGATTAGAATGATGAACCACCCCGCTTCTGAGTCCGCCATTTTGGACCATGTTCAGCGAGGCCGAGCTGGACTTGCTGTAGGACCTGTTACTGTTTTGCTCAAATCTGCAGAGGTGCGTGTGCTAGGGTTTTTTATATTCCGCTTCACAGCGGTAGCCTGTTTCATTAGACGTCTAATCCACGAGAATGTTTACCGCTCAACCTCTCCGTGTGTTGAAGAGGCTACAAGCAGGATGCTCCCTGTTATCATGATTTGTCCTGCTCGATTATTCGTGCCTCCTCCGAGTCACATGGGACCAACCTGTATCTTTACCTTCGGCTCGTGTCCGATCTGGCCAGCAACTTGGCAATGCTCGAGTCCTACTATTGCCATGCTCGTCAGTGTCGTCACCGAACCGATCCTGCGGGTTGCACGAATCATTCCCTGGAGTGGGCCGAAGTAGAGGCTCGAGCTGACCATGATGAAATTGCAGCAAACCTCGCTGACTCAGCTGTACAAGCACCGACAAACACCCATTTCGAGGTGCCTGCCAGTTGGTATTGCACTGCTTCTCGAATCTCGAATCTCTAACACAATTATGTTGAAATTTGTTCGAACAGCCCCGCGGACGATGACCTGCTGTACGTTGTTTCCATTGGTCACCCTCACGAAGCTGAGATGTATTTACTAGCTCACTGTACTGCCATGCCGTCTCATTCAAAGATCTTGATGTGCATCAAATGTAGCTGAAAAGTTCCATTTCTGAATCTCGTATCTGGGTTCGAACTTCTGAGATGGATCATGATCTCGATCGTGAAGGGCACGTTCAATGATACCTGTTCTATGGGAACAGCTTTATGGGCGGTGCTATGCTAACCACCTTTCTGCACTATAAGGTCCACTATGCTCACGGACAGTTCAGTGAGCCTCGAGGGGTTGTCTCTTGGGAGAGAATAACATTCTGTAATATGCTGCCTCTGAAAATGTGCTCAAATGGGAATATTGAGCGTTCCGTGCATATGTTTTAGGCCCGATCCAGAATCCGCTTATTGACATCTTTCAGGTGGAGCCCCGATGCTGACTGCAGGTACGTGTTTTATCATAATGTGGAGTTCTACTGATGAGAAGCGTTCACCTTCCCTGGTGTATCGTGATCAGCGTCTGACAACTTTGGCAATGTAGTTTCACTTCTTCCACTTTCCGCAACTTAATCACTTCCATTCCTCACGGCTACAGCCTTGGTGGTGTTCAGTACGCCGTGCAGTGCCAAAAACGAAGACACCTGTCCTAAACCTTGAAGTTACACTTCAAGATCATACATGCGCAGCTACGTGCTTTAGTAATAACCGCTCAGGACTGCCTTGGTGCCCAACGGTGATTGAAAAATAGCAGCTGGTGCGCCGACGTAGTGAAGGACAAGCATGGCTTAGAAGATACTTGGACTATGGTCACAGCCAATGATTGACGACCATATCCTCCCAAATCTGTATTCGGACTTTCAGCCTGGGTGGAAAAGACGTTCTGCAATCCTGACGTTGTCCCACTAACTTCTGCCAACTAGGTTGCACCATAATGGACACATTTGCTTCCTCATTCCATGGCACACCATAAGGGATCTAATATGATGTAGGCCGGCTTCATGGCTTCCATGAGATACCGACTCTTTCAATTCATAAATAAAAACGGAACGATTGTCTTCCGTCTATTGGTCTAGGCTCCGGCTACGAGAGACCAGTTAAAAGCGCTGTTACGATCAAACACGATATAAACATGATGGCCAGTGCCAGCAACCTACTAAAAGGAAGGTTTTTCGGACTATAGATAGCGTGTACTCCTCGGAAAGACCCTATCTTCCTTCTATTTGGCCTGCCCAGTAGAGCCTAGTATGCTTTTGGTGTGCCTGTATTTCTCATTTCCTGGCACCAGCTGATAGTTATCCGTACCAAGTGCCGTTGATCTATGAGAGAGAGAATTTCTATGCCGTTGATCTATGAATTCATTCCTGCCTTTGACTCGTTCAGCGCGTTGTTTGTGCCAAATATATGCCTTACGGGCGCTGTAACTGCAACCGTCGGTTTGAAATTGCAGCCGACTCACCTGTGTTAGCCCCTTCAAAGTTTCAGGTTCAACGTTCATCGCGCACACATACGATATACTAGTGCATATCAAGCATGCGCACGACGTGAGACGATTGCAAGCAGTGGCCTAGTTGACCGCGTCCGACGGCAAAGTTCGATAAGCATGGGTATACTGTTGCACAGCCACGATCTTCTGTAAGGAATTTCTCGAGCTTGAAGGAGCCTTGACAGCTCCGATCTTCCTTTCATGCAGCTGTCAGCGGATGACTGGCTATGACTCGCCGACGATAGTAGCCTATTCGGTCCCTTTTTCACCGGTCTCACAAAAGCTAGAGGCTTTTTATCTCCTTGATCAGAGTTACCATCCTCAACCCAGTCACATCCTACGATGCCCAAAGAAATTGTGTTCACTGCTGACGCCGTCCCTCCCCTCGCTACATTATGTGAGTATTTCTATCATGGAGAGTGGATGTATTCTGACCTTGCGTTTGTTTAGCTCAGGCCATCATATCCAAAGGGTTTGTATATGTCTCAGGCAACGTTGGATGTACAAACGATTTCCTGATCGTCGAGGGCGGAATACAAGCGCAAACAGTGAGACCAGACCTCCTATGTCTTGTGATCTAACTGATCAATCTTACAGTTTGCTGCACTTGAAAACTTGAGCAAGGTTCTCACGGCTGCGGGATCGGGACTGCAACACGTCGTGAAAACGAACATCTATCTCGCAAATATGTCGAGGGATTATTCCGAGATGAATAAAGTGTACCAGTCCGTAAGTCTCCATTTCTCAATAGATCTTTCCAAACACACCGATTGACCTTGTCACGTAGTTCTTCGATGCCAATGCGATGCCCGCGAGGACGTGTGTCGGTGTAGCTTCTCTTCCGCTGGGCGCAAGTGTTGAGATCGAATGTGTGGCAGAAGTTCCAGACGCTTGATATCCAAAGTAACTGCTTGAAGATAATGCAAGAAAGTTGTACAGTAGTGCGCTCTACTTTTTGTGATCCGTTGCAAGTCGATTGCAAGTACTATGTAAACTCTGCGCTTCTATACTGAATATATAGGCAATACATTAACTGCTGGCAATCAGCAAAATAACTAAATAAAGGTCGAAATCAATACTTATATAAAGAAGATACAATTACCATCAAGATCGCAGATCATCGTCGGGAATGGACTGCATAATTTTGGCATTATTCTCATCATCATTGCCACCCTGCATAACCTGTACGCACGTTAATCTAAAGCCCTGCAGCTACAGCACTGCGCCACCCACCCTGCTTTGCTTTGAGGCCCTGCAGTAGTTCGTATAGCTGTTGTCGGATTCGTGGTTGATACATTTCCAGTGCAGCAGGGGAGGGGTCTTCGCCTAGACACATCTCAAGCACAGTGCGTAGTCGCGCGGGAATTTGATGCAGATCTCTGGATACTTCAGGTATAGCCTCGTTGATGACAGAAGGAGGGAAAGACGCACGATGTGTCAACCCCTGATCCCTCGAATGCCCATACCACGGCGTTAAATCCGACTCCGAATTGCATGTAGGCGTCGCTGACTGCGTCAGGGGAGGCTCGTGAGGTGGACCATAGAGTGAGCGTGGATTGAAGGTTTTTCATTGCTGCGATGAGCGTGTGTACGGAGTTGGGGACTGAGGCGCTGTATTGGGGGCTGGGGGCTGATGCGCTGTACTAGGGGTGGGGGATTGGTATTAACGATAGGAGACATGGTACCATAAGACTGCACTTACAGCACTGTAGTTGCTTCCATATGAGCCCTGTCGGGTAGGTGTAGCAAAAGCTCCAAGTCCTGCAGGAGAAGTGGGGTAATACTGATGCATGTCGCTCGAGAAATGGTGTTAGATAATTGAAAGAGAACACAAGGTAGCTGAGAAGAATACAAGACCAGCTAGTAGGGAACAAGGAGAGTAAGAACTGGAAGCTACAGCTTAAAGGTCAATATGGCACAGGAAATACAATAGGGACTGAGCAGTGCGGAGGATCTCCAGACCGTTACGCTTTTATCCTAGATGAAAGACTGATTGACCCCGGTCATCCGTAAGGGAGCTGTGAATAAAACAGTCCGGACACGTCAACTGAAACGAATTACCGCACCCGCGCAATCAAAGTTGGACGAATCATAATCGATGTTCACGAAATGTAACCAACACAGCAGTACTGCCATCGTGGCGCTGCATCTTTACTTATGTAATCAGCACTGCTTTCCTTGGGAAGACGCAGTGAAAGTTCAACTATCTCATCAGCAGTCGTCAACCATCGTCTGTCGCCAGGACACCCAGGAGGTCAGTGTAATCAAACATAGGTACAGACTAATATCTATTACTGGGACGGGGGCTCACCCTTCGGCCCCGACAATGTTCTTCACGGCTGGGGGCGAGAAATGATCGGACAACATGCCCGGCCCTGTACTGCGTTCCCACCAATCACAATCATGATGCCTTGTTCGAGGTCCACATCCCGATATCACGGTATGCATTGGGCAATTTGGTTGCATCTAGGTGTTAACAGAAGTTGATGAAGGTTAGTTGACCAGATTAGCAGCCGATGGATATCAGAACAATCAACATGCGTCTACGTTCTTAGTAGGCACTGCTTTCACAGAGGTATCGTGGAAGTAGGGTTCAACGTGAGTGGTCTGTATCTTAGCCACCCAAAAAGAATAACAAATGCAGAGGGGAATGCGGATACTCGGGCTGTGGACCGGGAGTAAATTCACTTCCCGGTCAATCATGCCCAACAGTGGCGGCGTTGCGTTGATGTGAGTCCGCCGTACGTGTTCATCAGTGGGAAATTTGACACCTGCTACTTCATTAAACACAGCTCCCTGAAGTAAACCTTGCCAGGACAAATAGGATTGACCTTACTGTAATTCACCGGAATTACTATCTTCCTTTGATTGTCTGGGGAAGATGTGATTAGAGTGGAGTTCGAGTTTCGCATTTGGTAAAAGCCTCACTTTTCAACACGCACAAACATGCCCTCGGCGACAAACGTACGCATACGGCATATCCACCAAGCGTCCATCGTCTCATGGTCGGAAAATCGATGGCCTGCATCAAGCCTGCATCTGATCTACCTAGGTGATTCCCCTGCAAGGCAAGATGCGAACAAATGAATGTTGGAATGGAGAATCTGCGAGGCCGTACTCCTTTTCGTCAGCGTGCATCCGAGGCTTGCGTAATTATGCTCATCCATTGATCCGCGAACAATGAAGAGAAAAACTCATACTTCCGCCCCTGCTTCATCCAGGAATTCAGTGGGCGAAACCCTGCAAGAAGAACCCTTGATGTTCATCACCGCATCTCTGATATCGTGATCCACGTGCTCTCCCATACCAACGATATCTCAGCCTCAACGATGATGATCATATGGCCGACCGAAATGTTCAACCTGCTCCACGATGCGATGAGAAAAATTTCAAACACGGGGCATCTCCGGGTGGGCGCTTTGTCGATGAGAATAGGGACCCACTGGACCACCGCGGAGCACACGCGAAAACCCTATGTCGCATCAGGATAACAACCATCACCTATCTTTGGCTCATTTATCTTCATTTGCAAGTATCGCCCATGCCTCGAACCACACCAAATCTGAGCGAGAAGACTGTTTTTCATCAAGTGAATCAGACAAAGACACAGGCCAACCTCTTCTCGATCATAATACGACGATAGTCCAAGTTACATCTGCCATGCAGGAGGCACTGTTGGCCGACGCCGCGGATCCGGAGGTAGAAAAGCAGAAAGTAACCCATACTCGTTCAATGATTGCGAGACATCACGAAGCTCCGTGCATGCATGGGTCGACGCTAGTTCCAGTACTGATGTGACATGTCATTGCCCCGATTTAAATCTATCCTCTAGAACACCAAATAAATACCAAGACGAAGTTCCTATATCCTCTAAATCCTTAAATACCACAACGAAACTCAAATCAAACATATGCATTTTACGTGCCCAGTACCCGGGGGTTAATCACTTGGATCATTTTCAGCGCTACACATCTCCGCCAACCAACGTATCTCCACCAGCCTGGAAAGCAATGGACGTCATGTATGTTCCCTCGTCAGACCCGACCACGAGCTTCACGTTATATTCACGAACGCCGAGGATCAGACGCGGTCCCAGCACACACATCTGGAACCCAAGGGCAATGGCGAAAAAGCCGTCATACAGAAAACCTCCCAAACTAGTTGGGTGCTGTAGATATGATCAGGAGTGGTCAGACGCAGATGCCGGTCGCAAATCAGCGTACCGTGATCTTTGGAGACAGGGAGCCGAGATTCATACAAGCCACGACAGCAAAGCTAGCACATGCGGAACTTTCAGCAAAACAAGATACTTGACAAGATTCGAATCACTGAGCTTACGCTAGAAAGTACAACGCTTGGCTTTTTATCAACACCATGAAACAGTCACCAATGGTCAATCCTCTCCGCGATTGTCGCAGTTCACGGAGGTGTTTTATAATAATCCGGACTGCAAGAAAGAAGGCGAGGATCTCCCATATAGTGGTGGGTATGATCATGTCATTATTCAGATCTTCCCCATCTGCGTCACCAATGTAAACACAGACATGGTGACCAGAAAAAATGCCCTCCCCTGGTGTTTTGCTATGAGTCCCGTGTGCTCAGGGCTATCATCAACGATGAAAGCTTACTTCCTGAAACACCCAGGCTTCCAATCAGCGTCACAACTCCGGTGGCGATCGTGGACACCAGCAAGAGTACAGCGAGAAAGACGAACATCTTGTTGGATCGCCCATACATGGCATGTATCCGAGTCATCATGATGACTTGTATGATATTCCAGTCAAGTCAGCACCAATACGGCACAGTACGACGGGTGAGCTCACCACCCAGCATAACATTGACGACGATAGGCGTCCATCTCCACATGAAAAAAATGATATTGCCTGAAAAACCCAGTGACAGTTACACGCTGATAAACTTAATGCTTCAAATGAACTTGCAGCTGTTGCAGTCATGTCTAACCATAATTCTGTCCGAAATTGTCACTCACCCCTGTGTAGGAGTCAGTGGTTGAATAGGAATGTCGGGCATCGGTGCCAAATACCCACTACGTCTGTCATCGGGACTGGGAGATACCCTACATGCTGCCAGTCAGAATAAACAAACACTGTGTATTTTGGGATACACACATAACGTGCTGCTGCTGATTGTGGGATATGGTTTATGAGTACAGTACAGTTTCAACTCGCTAGCCTTGCAAACATACAAAGCATATAGTATTCCAATGTAGCGGACCTAGCATTCGTTGAAATCAGCACAAGATGACAACTGCGCTCATAAAATAACATACAGAGATATAAATGACGGTCATGAAGGACCGGCGTTGCCTCTACCCGCAGTCAACCGCATTATCCTGTTTACTTCTGATACAGGACTTTGCTCACCCAGATCAATTCGAACTGTCAGAACATTCTTAGTGAGATATGAAATGGCTGCGTAGGTCGTGACATCAACTTACCTCTTGTGCGAATGTCAATGCTTGAATACCGTATACGTATCAATGAGCGACTCAGAAAGTTTTATGTCACTCACCCCAGTCGTATCACACCACAACAGCGGATGCAACTGCGAAAAGAGGGTCAATGATAGCCTGAGTGAGGCCTCAACTTCGTCATTCCACCTGCTCTCTACGAACCTCCAAAATAGCCAGAAAAACGAGCATAACTAACGAGCGGCCACCAAGCAGGATCATTTGAGACGATGTAGGTCATATTGGGATAGAGCGTATGTGAATCACATCCTTCATTGATCCCAGCAAGTACATAGATAGCACTTGGCGTGAGAACCCCTTTGAAAGTAGGCAACTGCCGAACGCTGACGGACAAATGGGTCCTGAAATGTGCAGGTTTGGACAAGGTTTGGATGCATATAATCTTATATAGATCAGCCGCAAAACTGAAATCATAACATAGCCAGAATCCTCCGCTCACCTAATTTTTTGCACAAAGACCATAGTTCCCTTGAAAATTGCAACGGAGTACACCTAGATAATTTGTTCGAACTTCGAGCAGCATAGTTAAGTAGAGACTAGGGCCTGACATGGGTAGAGGTTGCCCGGATGGAACCCACGGGTAGGGTGCGGGTTGGCTTGGGTGCTACACCCGAGCAGGTACGGTCATCGAACATCCAATTCTCGAGGCTACCCACGGGTGCCCGCGGGTCACTAGTAGTACACTGTTGAGACGACGAGTTGGGAAGTACTGGGGAAAGCAAGAGATGTGCATTCAGCGAATGCCGAACACGAGGGGACCAGGCAACCTACTAGCAGACAGGTTTGCATCAAGTTTTTGCACAGTGGTCGCAGAACCCTGGACCGCTCATGTTTCTTCGCTCCCTGCTGTTTCATATATATTGTTGCACGTGTTACGCTAATTGTACTTATAGTACTGAGCTCACGATCACTGTCTCCTGGTGCATACGATACCAGTAGCTTGGACCAAGCTTATAGTTTCATTACATATACGTCGCTGTATGTGATGTTCTTCTGGGATCACAGTCAAAATCGGGAGTGCGGGTTCGGCGTGAGTGGTTTGTATCTTAGCCACCCAAGTCAAACAGCAGATGCAGAGGGGAATGCGGATACTCGGGATGTGGACCGGGAGTAAATTCACTGCCCGGTCAATCATGCCCAATAGTGGCGGTGTTGCGTTGATGAGTCCACCGTACGTGTTCATCAGTGGGAAATTCGACATCTGCTATTTCAAAACACAAGTCCCTGAGTGAACCTTGCCAGAGCAAATAAGGTTGACCTTACTGTAATTCAACGGAATTACTATCTTCCTTTGATTGTCTGGGGAAGATGTGATTAGAGTGGAGTTCCGCATTTGGTAAAAGCCTCACTTTTCAACATGTACAAACATGCCCCGACCAACCCACCAAGCGTCCATCGTCTTATTGTCGAAAAATCAATCAATGACCTTGTATCTATTCTGCCTGGATGATTCGCCCGTAAGGCAAGGTTCGAAAAAATGGAATGTAGAATTTGCGTTTTCATCGAGTGAATCAGACAAAGACGCAGGGCAATCTCTTCTCCATCGTGATACGACGATAGTCCAAGTTACGTCTGCCGTCCAGGAGTCGCTGTTGGCCGATGCCGAGGATCCGAAGCTTATGCATCTTTGACTGACTCCAATATCTCATTATTGAATCCTTCCTGCAAAGTAACATCAGCGTCAGCGTTCTTGCACATCGGAAGTAAAGCTTACGTTCGTCTTGAACTTCGAGATCGGTGACTGCACTGCTTTCCATGCCCATCCATAAGTCTCCATCATCTTCTCCTGCTCAGAAACCGAAGGCATGAGGAACCGTGCGATACGCAGCTAAGTATCGCATTCCTAGACACTGTGGTACTCTTCGATACTCTGCGGAAACTGCGCATCACGCTGCCTTCGAATGTGAGATTCTCGCATTTTCAATTGACGGCGCTGAGTGAGGAGCGGGATTTGAGGTAGTTGTAGCGGATCTGAGACAGGGCGTCGTCCATATCGTGCTGGAAGCGCTTCATAGGCCGCGTGTCGTTGTACAGCTCCTTTAGAGCATCGGCAGACTCGTCGGATTACAAACAAATGAAAGCGTACATTGAGAGCAGCAAGATAATCAACCTGGGTCTGGTCTTCCGGATCCACTCCCGTTATTGAGTCGTCGATACAATTGTACCTGTCAAGGACTTCCTGGCGGTGCTCTGCAGCCTAGAACGCAGTGAGAAGCTTAATATCTTCTTAATGCTGTCTCTTCAGTTCCTTTATCATTTCATCAACAATTGCTTGCGTCTCTACCGGCGGTGCTTTACAAGTGGCTTTAAGTTCTTCCAACCTGCAAAACATCAGCACCTGGAACTGACATAGACCAGGTAAGAACAAAACTTACGAAGGACCGTTATAAAACCCCTTGGACGCAAGGACGTACTGAGCAAAGCGGTGTCTGCTAATAGCCAAGTCGTCTGGGTGGGCGAAGTCGAGAGAAATGTGTCTCGCGAAAACCATTTCTGCCTTTGTTCGTTTCCTTGGGTTGTCACAGGCCACTTGCAGAAGACATCGTGTTTTTAACTGGAGATCATGAGCCTTATATTTGAAAGAATGCTAGGGAGAATTTCGAAGCGGGCCAGCAGGCAACCGCGAACCAGCATGTGTGCGGCAGAGGCCTTTCAAAGAATGTTTGTGCAATATCGACACGTTTGATTGTCAAGATGATCGAATGACGCAGTCAAGTCACCGGTGTTCACCGGCATAAGCGACGGGTGACGGCCGTACATACTTGAAAACAGAAGGTCTGCCCGTGCCGTCAAAGCTCTTTGTATAGATCTATCTTATGTTCAACCAAATATTCCTGCTGTGCTTTACGAACTTGTACTTAACCAACAGATCGAGAGCTGCGGAAAGTCAAAGTTGACGGTGCCGGTGCTGTGCCGAGGTGTGACACGACGTGACCATATTTTGCAAATTAGCACTGGTCAGACCCTGAATTTTCTCGGCTTTCATCCGACACCACACCACAACTTCTTAAAAACGAGCAAAAATCAGAATTATATAGAGGTAGTACGAATCTATAACGCTCTAAATTCGTGGAAGATAATATGAAGTGGTCGAGGAGCTACAAAAGATTTGCTGAAAATGTTGCAGATTACCCAGAATGATAGTAGTTGCACATCAGTGAACAGATGAACAAAATGGAATGTCATAATTGATTATATATAGCTAACAATCACAATAATTTCCGTAAATCTGGTGGGGGGGTTTACTTTACTTTGTGAAGGTCACATGAATTTTAAAGTCAACCAGCCATGCTGTTTTACCCTCGATGCGCTGGTTTATGTGTGCACTGGTCTACGAATGGAAGATGCGACACAAGCCAATGAAGTGAAATTTAGATCACAATTATCAAGACAAAGCACCAAGGTCCCCACTCACATGGGTGTGATTCACTTGCGCAATGCTGAAAACCATAAAATCTCGTCTTGCATGACCGAGTGCAGCTTTAATATGACACTTGAAGTTTTAAATCGCCTGGCCTGTGATGTCTGATTCTCCCATTCACAGCACAGCTTGACCTTCAAAAACTGATAGTCTCAAGTGCTATATTGAATGAGATATTGCGATGCTGTCTAGGACTTTCAACTAAGTGTCAGACTCTACACACTACGGTAAAATTCTTCTACCAGCAAAGCCTCTGGGAATTAACATAATCATACTTGATTCGCAAATTGCTTTTGCGGATCAAGTCCGAGCATCCTGATCAACTTTAGCAAAGACAAATAATACGTGCCACTGGCGTTCCAAATCGAACAAATCGGCGGGCACACGATGTTTCATGGCGTGAACACTGAAGAACAGGATCGCAGAGTTTCAGGCAGATCACAAAGTACGTCTATTTTCAAATTTAGCTCTCACATTGGGTTGTTGCTCAGACACGTGACATTTTGGACAAGTTACAAATGCCGATCACGAGAACAGGTAATACCAGGTCTGGAATGTTTTGCGCCGATTCCGCTATCTACTGAACTGTATTTTCACAGTTCAATGTTCGCCACAGTTTCTTCACCCACCCGATGCACCTCTCTTCTTTGGGTATGTCACCTCAACTTATTTAGTTCCAGGATGCTATTGACTTCCTCGGCTGAGGGCATTACATTTAGATGACTTTCACATTTTGATCGCACATGCACGCAACATATCTTTTTCGGCGCCATTTGTACTATGGTCATATAAAGTGAGAATTTCCTTGTCGCTCGGGCAATATTTTACATTGTACTAAGTCTAGTAACAGTCAGCATATTGTGGCACTAGATTTCGGACTGTCGATTGACCCCCTCCAGTCAGAGACCGTGAACGACCTCATTGACGAAGATGATTGTAGTTCAAAAACTTCTGATGGTTGATCGCGAAGGCATGTAGCATATTTTCGTTTGCGCAGTCATCACTACGATCGTATAGTTAGTAAATCTCCTTGTCGCTTGGGCAGCAATGTACATTGTGATAAATTCACTAGTAGCGGGCATGTTGAATGGTACGAGATTTTAGACTGCCAATCGAGCCTCTCCAGTCAGAGACTACGGATGACCTCCTCGACGAAGGGCATTATAGTAAGAGACCTTTTCATGGCCGATTGTGGGGTCACATAGCATTTTTCCGTTGGCCCAGTCTTCGCTATGGTAAGATAATTGGGAAATTTCCTTGTCAGTTGGCAGCATCGCACGTTACGCAAAATTCAGTAGCGATTAGTATGTGCGACAGTTTGAAATACAACTGACAATTGTCCCTTAGTTCACTTGCAATCTCAAACAGCAATTCAATGGTGTAACTCGTGATATTTGCAACTATGCTTCGAAGACGTGAATATAAAGCTAATGTATTAGTATTGTGGAATAGACTAATGAATTAATGGGCAAATGGAAGAGCGGTAACAGACAAGGGACAGCGGCGAGAAGGGGAAGATCAATTTATTAATCAGAGTCAAAAACGGCGTCCTCCAACCTCTTCCTCTGTTCAGCCAGTGCGTTGACGGACATGTGGGACACGACCTCCAGTGTTAGGTCCTCGCGGTGATTAGTTCCAAAAATTTTCCTACACAACAATGTCAGTTATCTAATCATCATCTGAAGACGCGATAATGTATTTACCTGTTCCACCATTCGAGAAGTTTATCCACCTTGCGTTTCGCGACAGGGCCAGGGAGAACTTCGAAGTAATCCACGATGTTATTCCAAAACACTTCATAGTCGAAATCCCCGTCCACGGTGCGCCATGATGAGACGCTTGATAAAGCGAAACGAACCTGCCGCTTAAATATTAGATTCTGAACATGAAAATGATAAGATTTTCTCACCTGACAAACAACATATGCAATAGCACGAGGCATGACTTTCTTCATGTTGATGATTGAGGCGACACATGTCTTAACCTTCGTATGTTCAGATTTCCGGTGCGCGCGCCTGTTATTTTCAAGAATGTCAGCTCCGTCTCCATCTCCGTCAGCTTCCCTCGCAGAGGAAGGTGATGTAAAGACTGCTTTGAAAGCCTGGAATGTAATGAGTGAAACCGTATACGAATATGATGTGACCAAACCGCTAACAAGAACTAGGAGCTTCGACTTCAGGAAACCTTCCTCTACGTCGTCGCTGTTATATTGATATTTCTCGTATACAAGCAACGGCCAAGAATTCTCGGATATGATATATTCCGACGTTCTGTCGCGAATGCCAGCCTTGACACTGGACCAGCATCAATGATTGTGACAGTCGAGAGGGGTTGACACTCACCTGTTTTTATCCCAATCCCACTCAGCAGGGCAGAGCAACTTCCCACAGATATCATTCGCAAAGCCGCGCAAATACTTGTCATTTGGCTTGATCAGAGGAGACGGACGAAACTCCTGATTAACCCAAGTAGCGACCAGCTCCTTGAGACTGGAGGTATCATCACCGCGAGCTGCATCCGCTCCTTTCTTGAGCTACAAGATAATTAGTGTGCAGCATTAAATGTATTCAAAACTACACACCTTCTTCAACATATCCGCCGAATCCTCGTCATCAAGGTCACTGAGCTTTTCGTGCAACCACGGTAGCACCCGTGTTAATTCGACATAACCTTTTTGTGAGCGATTTTGCCTGTGTCGTAGAATTAGAATGACCGTATACAAAAAATCAACGACTTACTCCGTAGTTGATTGCACCGACGAGTGGAACTCGTATCTGCGATCGTTCTCGGTGATTAAGTCTTGCATGGTTTGGTAAAGAACAATGAGTCGACGAATTGCCCTGCCTTGTGAGATGTAGAAGGTTGTCTTTCTGCAAAATAATAATAATTAAATACTAGTGCAAGCGTGGTGAAAAACACAGCATACTACCTCTTCTTTCCTCCTTTCTCTTGCCGCATCATTGCGAGCTCGTCTTCTAAGGCAGCAATTCGACGTTTAGCCCTTGCCTTGGAAGAGGTGGGTATAGCCTGAGACGGATCTGGGTTTTCCGTAGACTGAACTCTTGAATCACCCGCCTCATCATCAGACGAAGCCCCGGCTGGCTCGGAAAGGCTATGATTAGTAGAGGTGACGGATGTCATCCCGGGGTAGAGTGAAATGAGGTAGTACTAGTAAAGGAAGGCCTCGGCGAGGGGAGGGGGGATGAGGGGGGAGGGGGGGGGGAGGGTAGAGGGAAGGTAAATGAAGGTGGAGCGAAAGAACGAGGTAAAGTGAGCTGGGAGAAAAGAGTGAATTGATAGCAACTTACAACTTGAAAACGTCCCGCCTTATATTGAGGTTCGCAAGCACTTCCTAAAAAAGTCATTACCATAAATGTCAGTGCGCAAAGCAGTCGCAAACAACTTTTCGGAAGGGCCCGAAAGCCCCAAGTCTGCAAGCAGCTCAAGGGGGACAAACGGTTTTGTCGTGGCTGTTTTCATCGTCACCAGTCAGCCGTATAGCATATGATAGTCACCGACTCACGGTAAGGTGATATGTCCACGTCGAGAGCATCTTCCAGGAGTTTCAGCAGGCGGCAATTGGTAAGATATGGCGTTGAGCGCATCAGAGTCAGGCGAGGATATCGAGTGGAAGTACTAATAAATGGGCGTACCGTTGATCAAAATGATGACAAACATCTTGCGTGAAGAATATTGTACTATATGTTCGTCAAGAACAGAGAATGGTACAAAAGATCGCATAGCCAGACTCGGATGTACTATCAAAGCGTCAGCGCACCTGTCCCAAGAGGTTGTCACGTACACTTTTCCTACTAGTACTAATCGCTGGACCAAGAGCAGGACCATCTCCACCAACGTTCGGCCTGTTCTTGAGACAGTCATGGTGGACCAGGACGGAAATGGGATGGGAATATGACTCGTACGTTCATGACATCCGGGTGTTCGCGATTGAGCTATAGCACCAGATATCCGATATCGATCCATCAAACAACTTCAGCGGTGAATGTGACAAGGTCTGACAGTTTACGTTCAACGCTTCAGAAGCGACGGTGTCTGCCGAGTAAAGAGACTAACCTAATAAGGTACTTACCATAAAAAGCTATGGAAGTTAAGGAGGCGTGATTGCCACCAGGTCACCGTGACCGACGAGTAAAAAATGTGTGAGAGCAAACGATGCATAACGCGATCATGATGAGCCTATACATGACGGCCAGGTAGTAGCTACAACAAAGATCTGAAACTACTCTGAGTCTTCCTCGGGCCAATCTATGTAACTGTCCATCGCGGCAGTGGCCATTAGTACTGATTCCGAATCCGAGTTAGATTCCGCTGCGAATTGAAGTTGGGAAGCCGCCGCCACCGCCGCAGTAACAGCTTGCGAGGCATGATACCAATCGTCATCAATTTCGTCTGGGACGACCTCCATGCCATTTGCCATGACGAAGGTAGTTCCCGAGCGAGAATTTCCCTTCATCATAGCCGCCTCGTGGTCTATATCTAAGTTCAATGGCGAGATTCTGCCCATGGTATACATGTCTTCATCATGTACAGTTACACCCTCTGACTCCTGCTGTTCCGCGGAATTGTGATGAGTGTGGGTTGCGTTGTCTGACGAAGAAGTCGTGGTGGGGTGCGGGGGCAGGTTGGGGGACTCGGCCAGCATGCCAGATTGGTCAATGTCACGGTGGCCTGAACCTGTCACGGCGGTGCTGTCCATCTCGGGACTGTCAGGCTCGTTGAAGACTGCAAATGACCACGGTGGCGACAGCGAATAGTAAGCTTGCGCTCGCTTGAAACCCCAAAAAAAATTGCACTTACATCCACCACGGCCACGACGGCCAGTGACTGGCTTAGTCTCGGCGGGATCTGGAAACTGGTGGTGAACAAAGCGGCCAATCCTGGTGATCCCCTGGACCTGTTCTTGGAGAGGACGGGATTTTCCATAAAACCGGTAATACTTCAATTCAATTGGCTTTGAGCCTACTAGTACTATGAGATCAGAAGGTGGTCAATCAATATATTCCTGCCATTGAATGACAAAAAAATACCTACCCATCGTAGTTTGGACTGGCAAGACAGTAAGAACGAGTCCCACGAGTGGAGGCTTGACTCGAGTCGAGCATGAAGCCTCATGACTAAATACTATCTGCGGTAACAGCCGCACTGTGGGCCATGAGGACTCCGATACCCTGACATGATTGAGTGTCACGGTGACTTCAACGCAGCCAGTCACGCAGCACCCTGTCACCGTGACAGTACTGAGTCCACCAAGTTTAACTTGAAGTCTGGGTCACTGACGGGGCATCGAGTTGAACTCGGAGTGGCTTACTTAGTTAGTAGACAGTGTCACCATGCTGATTTCATGATAGCGCACCGTGACAGTAGGATACTGACTGACATTTGAGTTCAGTCGCATGATGGCCGGTATTCGGAAGTGAGTACTACGAGTAGGACTCAGACAATGGCCGCAGGGAGTGTTGGAGATCTTGTGACGGTTACCACTGAGTACTACTCATGGTAAGCTTGTCAAACTCCGGTCCAGAACTTCTTCCACGCTTGTGACATATTGTTTGTGACAAGACTCCGCGAATTTGAAATTAAACTTTGTCTTCTTTACCGTGACATGCAAGACATACTAGTAATCTAATATTAATGGACCTACCCACCATAGCTTTGTCACATGACAGATCCTTGGCTCAAAACAAGAAGACTTCCCGCAACAATTACATAACAACACTCATATTGACAACCGTGCTGGGCCTTGTCCATTCATTCATGCAGCGTGAGTTAATGGCTATGGACTACATTTACGAGAAACTGAAAATTTTGCTCAAACAGGCATCTTTCATGTGGAACAGATTGCTCAGCTTGAGGACGCTGCACCTGTAGGCAAGTGCTACACCACGGCCACTCATCATTCACTCTGACTTTGCCGTTTGTGGAGTTTGATCCAGAAAACGAGGTCACAGCCCAGGATCCGGAAAATAAGGCCAAGAAGCATGTCGATACCAAGGTAAGAAAAGGTAGCAAATTACGGTGGGCAATTCTATCTGTTTGTTGCTCCAAGATGCTCATTTCGCGCAGATACGATCCACACCAAAGGTGAACATATCTGTGCCTTCTTCTACCCACCATCCCGCTTGAGCGCTCTCACCGACAAGCCCAACACCGAGTTGTCCATTTCCTTCCTCTGGAACCAACAGGCATCCACGGACAATGACAAAACACAAGAGTGACTTTTGCTGTGGACGGGATCAGTGGCTGCATTCTGGGGAGGACCTCGAGATTCTTGTGCGTGGCTCTTCCAGTTGCTGATGCCTAGAGCAGCTCGCTAACAAGGAACTCACATGATAAGATAACGGATGTGCAGAAGACGTCTTTGAACTCGAACACGCCCTATATTACCTACATTATTCGTGCAGGCGTAAGTACAACTCACTTCTCAATTGGGTGCACCCTCCCAACCTTACGGGATAGATTGCGGAAGCGAGACATTGGTACTCGGAATTCGAGTCCCTGAGGTCAAGCCTCGAGAAGCTGTATCCGACCATCATCATTCCACCAATTCCATCAAAGTAAACAAGTACTATTGGTTACTATGCCACGACTGCGATGATCGCACGGCGGAAGCGGATGTTGCAGACGTTCCTGAACCGCATTGCAGCTAGGCACCCCAGCTTGTCGAACGAGCATGGATTCCATCGTTTTCTCGGCGGCGAGGTATCTTGGGTCTGTGAAGTTCATTCACCTCCTTTGTCCCTCCTTCCGAGGAACATTCTCAAAGCACCTTCGCATAACCCGACAGATTGGAGCGCCGCCTCTGCTTATGCCGCACTTCCAAATCCATCAGCAACACACCCATTGAGAAACCCTGATCAGCGGTCCGTAGACTCCGAGATATTTACCAACAAATTCGCAAGCCATCTCAGTGGACCGATGGAGAAGGTCACTCGGAGGACCTTGAAACGATGGTCAGGTGCGACCGACATCATCAATCGACAAATGAACTACTAATGATATTTTGTAACGTTAGAAAATGCTCAGGATTACTCAGAACTTGGCCCTGCTCTAAACGGATACAGCATCAGCAAGACGCGGAAGACTATCCATCTCACAGGTATATCTTCACCATTTACCCTGTCGCTTATCGCGAAACCGACTGCATTTCACTTTAGCTTGAAGATGCGCTGCACCTCTCAGTACAGGATCTCAAGTATTCGAGCTCGACGATCCAGGCCGACCCAGATCGCTTCCAGCGTCAGAAAGTAGCCGATTTAAGGGAGATGACTATCAGCATGGCAAGAATTCACAGGGCCTGGTGCAAAAAGGTCGGTCCCATTTTGATTTTCCCGGAATTAAGCTTTGATGGTTGTAGAACCTCAAGGCTTGGCATGCGGCGGAGATTGAGAAAATTCCAGACCATCAGAATAAGAGACCTCCTTCTCCAAAAGTACGTCCTGTACCTGGCCCATCGGGCTTACTACAGAGGGACTCGACTGCCACAGTCAATGGGCGGTGATAATGAGATATGTATAATATTTTTATCAGGTGTTTGTAGTCTTTGTTCTCCTGAACACCTTGAGGACGATTCCCTCGCACTGTGACCTCAATTTTTACGTCTACATACACCGTTGAATATATGTTTCTCAAATTGTTCTCAAATCGCATTACTTTACATAAAAAGGGAATCGATCGATAGGTATACGTGGCCGAAGGTCATACAGCATACATATATTTATGACACGTGGAATTCATTCAAGCTGTTAGCGACGACAGGACCTTGGTGTATTCGGTGCTGATTGCGAAGCCGAAGACGAATTGGCTCTACAATCCTCGGTTGTCTATTCCACTGGAATGTGCGAGAAAGATCTTATCCGTGTCAATTATGTACTATATGATAAGGGTATGAATTTCCGGTATGATGAAACACACACCCGGGGCGTGCCTGCGGCAAGCTCTATGAAAACAAACACGTGATGTCTGATCGATCGCATTCGATAATCTAATCGATTATCACCCCTATCGATACTTGAGCGTACACGCATTTGACGAAAAACGCTGGCGGTCTTTATTCTATTACGAAATCGATGATACTAGTACGATGCTGTTATACGTAGTAGAATCCAAAGCTGTACATGATGCATGAGTAGCGAACAGGAAATGTGAATGACTTCAGTGAAAAACGTAAATCCACGCAATGTTCATGCGGAAACGCGAAAAATGACCGGAATCTACAGTGCAAAGCCTATTACTACAAGGCACGTTTCGATTTGTGAGGGGGAAGTGACGTGCTCGTGCGCTTGCGCTTGCGCTTGGAGCGTTCATGCGAGCTGCCCGACGCTTCTCCTGCGTTTGAGGGTGGTACGTACGAGGGGTCCTTCTTGAGGTCACTAATAACGTCTTCGTGCCAAGTCTGATACCTCCTCCAGGCGGTAACATCCGCACCGTTATTCAACGCTATGACGTAGTCATTCCACCTGGTGGGAAGCGTGATGACGGCTTCCTCGAGTTCGGTACAGTCAATCTCGGGGTTAAGCTGTTTGGAGAATGAGACGAAGCTATCTCTGATCTTCCCTACTCCCCGCGTCAACATAGCTTTGACGGCGTCCATCTTGATGTGGGGCAATAACGTCTGTATCAAGATCGGATACTTCAGTAGGATACTTCGTTTGATAATGTAAAAATTTTACCCCATGTGCCATATGATCAGCGTCGTCGTTATCAAGGTCGATAATGTCTTCATCGTCTCCCCGAACCCAAACGAAAAACTCGACTGAACTAATGTAACAACAGCTATGATCCGCGACAGTGATGGGCATGCATGGCGGGAGGCGTTCGGTGATGAACTCTTCAAGCGGGAGTGGTTCTTTGAGTTTGGAAAAGGTCTCCGATGCAAAAGAATCATCGTCGGGACTGCTGTAAGGTTGCGCTTCGTGAACTAGGCTCAGGACGGCCATCTTGGCGTGAGGATGAGCAGCGATGGTGTTTTTTAGTTTAAGGATGGCATGGTCCTTGTCCTCGGAGCACGCGCACTCCCCAATGAACGGAACTAACATGGTTTGGGTTGGTCCCTTTGCTGCTGTGACCGTGATACAGATGTCAGGCGTCACCGATTTACGGTTGACGGAGAGCGATGAGTTCATGTGGATCATCAAATAGATCAGATCGTGTTCGTAAGGAAGTAATGACATGGCAACTCCTAGGGATTCCTTCAAACAATCGAAAGGTGCTTCATGGATGGCACTGGGCATCTCGACAAGGAGGGAGTGCTTTTCGTAATCGTAAGTCAGCCTGGCCCCATTAGTATATTGACTAAAGCGGAAGGCAGGTTTATTTCACGCACCTGGGCTTGGATACCCGGCCCGTTTGTCCTAGCACCTCTTCTATTACTTCATATTCCCGCGCGCCAACATCGTGGAATTCCTGAATATTTGGTAAGCATAGAATCCTCCATTCAATTGACTAGTACATACCATGATGCGGCCCGTCTCTGGAGGTAGTTTAGTTAATTCTTTCAAAATGTTTCGCCCATCTTCAAATATTGATTAGAATAAGTCAATTCCTTTCTTCTCATGAAACCTACTTGATGTAAGCTGATGATAACGAAGAAACCGCTGGAGACTATCATCATCATCATCAAACAAAGGATTCAGACTGATAGTAGTATCCACAGAGGCCCGTAACTTGACTGAATTCAGGATGTCCTGGTGAACCTCTTGGAGAGGGATTTCAGATGTCTTTGGGCCTGCTGTAGCCCCAGTTTTACTTAGTTGTAAAACTGGTGCAAGTGGCTTTAGAGTCAAATTGGACTTTTGAACACCCCCAGTGGCCTTCACAGGATGAGTTCGAGGTGTTGTTGGTGCTTGCAGAGTAGAGTTGTGTCTAGTTTGATAGCGTCTGTAGGGTTCGGGTGTAGAGTCTGTGCTAGTCATAGAAACAGTAGACATAGCTGTGCGATGGAGCTGTGGGTGTATGACAGAGAGGTCAGCGTCAGAATCAAGATAGATGTTCCGTGATAAGAAACGATCAGTCATTCGGGAAATGCCATAGCTAAGGTTGGGGTTCCAAAAGTGGACTCTTGATTTAGGGTTAGTTGTTTAATAGGGGTGGTCAGGTAGTGAAGCTGTCAACATGAACAGTTCAAGTTGGCGAATTGGCTGTAGTCGGCTTGTTGTACACTGTACTAGTAATATCGCGCATTCAGTTCGCGCTGATTTGGAAGATTTACGAACCTGGTACAAACTTGAAAGTGAAAAAACCGGTTCTACCGTCTCGCCAACTTGAAAGCCTCTGGTGAGTCGGGGATCGTGATGTAGTATACTAGTAGTCACGGTGTTCCGTTAATTCAGAATACTCAAGGTTGAGCGTGTCACGGTGGACTCCCAAGTCCGGGAAGGTACAATTAGCACTAGTAGTAAGTAGTTATTAACTAGCAGGAAAGGAGAAAGTAAACACCACTGCTAGTAGGATCAGTGATTACCGTGACTCTTGAAGAAATCATTGGGCCCGACTACTAGTATTGAACTTTCGTCGGAAGCTTGCCATCGCTTGTCAATGTTTTCTCTTGGTGAGGTCCGATGGCGCCATCGTCTCGCTGATGACGCGTGTTCACAGCAATTCCTGGAATGAAGGGAAGGATGACCTTACCCTGTACACACGAGAACACGGCGCTTTAGTACGTTGACACAGTCTGAAAGGATATTATTGTAGTCTCAAGTGAAATCCAAGTACCTGCTACACAGCCAACGAGTCGTAGAATGAAAGTGAAGAGAGCACGCGTGAGAGAAAAGGTACAGAAAAATAACAAGACGCAGAAACAAACCATCAAGAGGACTAGTAGCATATTCAGAAAGATAAATGTTCCTCTTCCACTTCCACCTCCTCGTCCTCCTTGTCCTCCTCGTCCTCGTCCTCGTCCTCGCATTCCACCTGGTCGTCTTTGTCTTCATCAATTTCGCTTTCACCCTCCTTACCTTCGCATTGTGGGATATCATCGCTCTCGTAGTCCATATTTTCAACATTCTCGCAGTCCTCCGAGTCCGAGTCCGAGTCTGGGCTGTCTGCTAACTCCTCGTTGACACAATCTCTTGTTATTTCCCGCAGGACGGTAGGATGGCCGATTCCATATTGAGTGTACCGCATAAACATGTCTCGATCGGCGAATCTGAGTAATCATCAGCTAGAGTAAGAAAAATGAGAATAGGGTATTGAACTTACATGCCAACGTAATGGGCTTCCCAATCATCTAATTCTCCACCTTGACATGCGAAGGACTTACCATGGCGAAGGGACGTTGTTCCGCGCCCAGAAACAAAAACCGGAATTAAATGTGCGCTTCGGATGACCTGGCGTGGATCTAAGAACCCAAAAGTGTCGCGATCAGACTCTTCAACGAAGGCGACCTTCGGAAGTCGAGCGCAGTGAATCCCTGACTTGTGGCCGATCAAGGGTGCCAGCCATTGAACGTAGAGAACTTCGACTTGGTGCATCTTTACCGAACCTTCAGTGTTGAAGCATACATCCATATAGTAGATGCCCAGAACGCGGGCATACCAGAATGGATGTTGCGGTTTTGTCTCCCCTGATAGGACCATAACATCTGGATGAGTCCGAGGATTGATGATATTGTACTCTCATCGAAAGTCGTAAGTTGTGTAATGTACCTGTGAAATTCGAGAATTACATCCTAGCAAAGCTGATAATATATGCAACATACCTGCATCGCTTGAACCGAGTAAATCTTGTTGTCTGTGATGACGACCGAGTTGCGTTCGTCATCTGTGAACATATGGTCGCAATAACTGACGTCTAACTCTCGGAGGCGATATAGTATGTGGTCTTTGAGTTTGGGTAAGAATCCCTACGAGTTATCGTGAGTAATAATACGAACCTCGATGACAGAGGCACCTACTGATACAGCTGGATCATTATCGTGCTGGCGAAGAAACCCAAAAATATCCAATGGATGGTTGCGACTAAGCGTCGGTATATAGTGATGGCGTTTCAGGTTAAATTCAACTGGCACGTCGATCGCTGCATCCGTGCTAGGACATGAACTTTGTTTGGATTCTTCTACGCGCCGAAGGACGCGTTGGCGACGTTCATGTGTAGTGAGTTGAGATGGGATGTCTCGTTTGTTGGTCAAAGGATAGAATGCCTTCAACGCTCTATGCGCCAACTCTCCCTGGTATTAAATCAGATCGAGTTGACAAAAATGACAGAGATTTACATACAATTTGAGTGGTAAATGAGTCTGTAGTCCCAAAGAGCCGGATTGATCGCACGTCATCCCCCATGGCATGGAATTTATAAGTATTCATGTTGAATTTCTTAGCCTTTCGGCCGCTACCCCCAGTGTCCGGATTGCGGGGACATGAGCGTCCACCCACAGCCTTGCGCTCGCGAGCAGCCCGTTCTTTTGGTAGCTCTGCTGTGTTGAAAACAGCACACGTAAAATCGCGGAACTTGCACAGCTGATGGGAGAGCCTCTTAAATGTCTTATCTAAAGCCGATAAGGTGCTTTCAGTATGCACCCTGAGTTTCGCAAGAGCGTGCCAGTGCGCAAACCTATACAGCAGTGTCTGTACAATGACATCGTGGTCTCCTGGGAAAAGTCCTTCGAAGACCGGTAAAGCACACTAGGATTATACATGAGTCAATGTCGTACTACAATACGTCAAGCAACAAGATGAACCTGCAGAATATCTTCAAAGTCTCGTGCGGCAAGCTTTTTCATGTCCGATGTATTATTCGCAAATCTGCGAATAACACCGTTGTCGTATGGTGGAACCTGGCGAAATCTAAGTTGAACACCATCAGTTTGATACAAGGAAGGAAAATAGTGTATAATGTACCTCTTATCGAGCAGTGAAACCAGGCCTTCACCCCCAGGAAGTGCGTAAAGTAGGCGGATGAGATGCGTGAATAGTGCCTTCCATGTGCCTAGCTCACATTCATGCATAGAATCGACGACGAGTATGCGAAACGAATCGAATCCTAGGGGGCCGAGTTTGTGTACAAACGCATTCTTGTCGAGAATTATTAGGTACCGATAAATAGTTCATTACGAAGTCAGACTTACCATGGTGGGCACCCACGACCCTTGCCCGAGTGTCGCCTGTACTTTCGAGCCGTCGACGGTATTTCCCAATCTATATATGAAATCGCGGGCTTCATTTACCTTCGCAAGAGGGTAAGCTCTAAGGCTTGCCACACGATCTCGCATATCCCTGAAGAGGCCTAAAAGATCAAACAAGGCTTTTGGAACGAGACAGCGCGGACACGGGCAAAAGCCCATGTCTTTTATTGTCGCAATCAAAACCCTGAAATAGTGATTGATATTTCAGCGAAGAACGAAGATGAAGAAAAAAAAAGCGCACTTTTCTGGGTAATCGGCCGAATACGTGAAGATTCGCGGAAAGACCCTCCTTAATATTCCATCCGGACACCGGAGCACAAGTCCGTGGCAATATGCGTGAATAAAATCATCATCCAGCAAAATGCTCCAACATCCCTGGAACAACTCTCGTCGGCAATGTGTCTGTAGGGCCGCGATGCCGGTTTTTGATATGCGAGGTAGGCTGCTCAAAATGTCCTTGATGCAATCCGGAAGCTGAACAAAATAAACATCAAATAGGGTCACACAGCACGGGAGGTTATTGGCATACCGAAGGTAAAAATCCTACTAGATGACACGCACCAGATGTGGGGGATGAGCGCGCGTACTTACTCAGATTTCCAAAGTATAGGTAAAGAGGCCAGGCCTTAGCCGTTCCGAAATTTGCAAGGTGAGTTGCATCTGAAAAAAACATGAGCCCCGCGATAACACGTTCGAGTGCGCAACCAGGTTCTTTTGGCTGTCGCTGCAGGTCATCCTGAGCTTGTAGCCAAGAGTCAGATGTATAGAGCTCATCGAACACACGCTGTTCTTGGTTGTCGAGGGGATCCTTCCACAAGTGTTTGAAAGGGAACAGGTGGAAAGTGTTGGCTTGTATGTCGGCAAATGCAGAACGGATGACTGCTACGAGCGGTCGATAATGAAATCCCCGAACGCTGAAGGGTTCAGACTGATCGTCCTTCGACTTCGTAAAGATGTCAATGATGACATCTGTCGCTACCCAATCGTCGGGGAAAGCAGCAGACTCCTTGCCTGTAGTATGATGGTCCAGTGCGTGCATACTCCTCCTAACTGAAAACCCGTCCAGGTCCTTCGGGTTGAAATCCTCGACTTGAATTACATCTTGAACGAGACGCATTACTTCCGTCTGCGACTTCCGATGACTCCCAGAATTCATCCACGTCATGAGACGATAGATGGTCATATTTGGGAAGGGGTACGGCGGCGGTTCAGAGACCCCGCGAGACGGAGCGGGTCCTTGAGTGTTGTTGATTTCGATAGGTCTGGGTGAGGATTGTGCTAGCAGCGAAGACGGAACGAAGTTATCGGGTTCGAACGACGGGCGCCGAGGATATTGTCGAGAGAGTCCGAACATGTTAAACGCTGTTTGGAGTGTGTCGCGTAGCGTCAATAGGACCTTTCGGATTCTGCGATCCGGTGGAACAAGAGGCGGAACAACCCCAGGAATATTCGAAGGAATAATGTCTTCATCATCAGGGATAATATCGTCCAAATTCCTTGGTATGCGTCGCTGATATGGGGCTGCTGGTGATTCATGAGCACTAGAAGTAGCAACTCAATAGACAAAAATTGTGAAGGTGCCGCATACCTGGAATATTATGGTGTCCTTCGGCGATCATATCCTCCCCCATTGAGAAATCTAAGTCTTGTGATATTGTAGAAGCTGATGTTGAACCGATACGCGCGTCACTCGCGTCAGGGTTGATACACTTGGTAGTGGGTAGCTGGCCCTCTGAGTCAGGGTTGCCAGTAAACGCATAAGTTTCGCAACGCGCTATAGGTTTTAAGCGGCGGTCTTTGGTGAACCGTATCGGTTCAAGCGGCAAGGTCTGATATGTCAGTCTACATGACCGCAGTTCTCAAATGACATATGTAAAACACTTACAGTAATATTATTGTGACTAGCGTGAGGCTGCTGATCGCGGTGTGGCGTCAATTTGTGTGATGATCTGACCGAATCTTTTGCTCGCTCCCGCCTTTTATTGTTAGCTAATGTACTTGCCTTCTGGTAGTGCTTGCAAGTAGCGCGATGTCTGGAAAGTCCACGAGAATCTGTATCTTTTGCCCATGAGCAACCTGTTGTTGTATTGCTGCAGCGTAGGATCATGACGAGAATAAAAACAGAACACAGGCAGACCCAGATCGGTCGAGAGATACGCATTCGTTCGACCAGTATAGCCTGAGCAGGAATCCGTGGTCAACAGACTTCACACGGATATCGATATCATAGTACGGATAGACTAAATTCAACATCGAGTCATATACTGTCACAGACTCACGGTCTTACATACTAGTCTATCATACTAAAAAGGGAAATTCCCTATTCTGGAACATTTGAAAACCCTCATAGCTCCGATTGAATGTGCAGTATAGGTATACTAATAAATTGATAGACTTGATTTGACGGTTCATAATACCACTCGAATTTTTAAGATGTCAAAACCAACACCATCGTCGCCTTCCTCAGAGTCTTCCGTATCGTCGCCTCTCTCAGAGTCTTCCGATTCAACTTGTGTCGGCGCTGCACATAAACCACCCATTTTCCCAAAGGACCCTCGAGAGATGCAGTCATATTTGGTATGCAGTTATTTCTCTTCACTTCAAGGTGCCAAGCGCAAGTACTGACCAAGATTTTCAAAGATGACACTGGACGAAATCGATATTCATGCAGATAAAGAGCAAACCGAGTTATTCACTCGGTACACCATTGATGCAGTTTGTGCAAGTTATGCCGCGGCGCGACACTGAGTGCGCCAGTACACTCAACTTGCCAAACTTTATCAATGAGAGGCAGATGATTGGGCTGTCAAAATTGAGAAGGCCGCCTTTGTCATGCCTGATTACAAGCCTGCGTGGTTGACGTCGTGTTTGGGCTAGGGGTGTCATCATTATTAGGTCTTCGCTCTCCGTTGCCGGTTGGACTTTTTTTCGCTTCTTAACACAGACTTGTTCGCTGAATACGGTTGTACAAAGTAGCTTTTACCGATATTGTGTGCTTATTTCGAGTTGTGCTACCGTGACCGTGACATATGCAATACTATTAGCTTATATAAGGTGTTACAATTGACGACCACCTCGATTCTACGTTACCTCGGTCATTCTTGTTGGCATTTGATGGTATTCTGAATTTGACATTGTTCCAGTGGGGTTCCCTTGCCCCTTGCTCTTGCTCTTATTCACCGTTGGCGACGGTATTCTCCAGCTGTCCCCCACCCATCCCAGCCCAGCGGCCTCTGGGGCTGCTCTCACTTAATATTCGACTCTATCATTTCGTGACTGCTCTAATCATTTTAGCTTGAGATCATCATCATCATCATCATCGGGCTTGTCCGAGTCACGCCGTGACTAGTCACAGTACCGCAGGCCTGGGTACTACTACCACTGGCTGGACCACTGGCATCACCAACTTGAAAGCTGCCATGCGGCGGCGTTTGGATTATGTCGCAGGACATTTTTGACTCACCGAGACGCTGCGTCTTTCTAGTAATTACTCTCTTCCGCGCTTGATCATAAACAGCGCGAGACACATCTGAATGGAGAGGACTCAGTGGGGCTGTTTACACTTGGAATATCTCAAGGGGGAAGTACTAGTGATCCGAGCTGAGCACAATCATGATGGTGGCAGGTAGTACTACTACTAGTACTAGGAAGGGTGCGCATGAATTTTCATATAGATTCATCTTGATGGATTGTCATCGATCCTGTCACGGTTTATTTGCACTGATGTGAACAACACAGCGCAGTTCAAACCTTGCGGTTATTCTTTTGGGTGCCGGGCTTTCTGCTGTGCCGCTCGTGTGCTAGCCTGAGTGTGCCCTTGCGTCGGAGTTGTTCTCAGGGAACTCGCCTACTACTGTCCCTTTCAATCATAATGCTTATAGCCGTTTCAACACATCTCCTCAGGTGCATTATCAAAATACCGCAAGTCAGTTTGAAATCGCTTTGCTGATATCAATCTCAGTATGTACAGGTTGCAAAATACATGCGAGCTGCCTTCGCGCCACTGTTCGAGTCTCAGGCTCGTGTGGACAAGCCAGTGAATAGCAATTCTCCGAAGCGCAGGTGATCGTCCTGGGTGGGCTCGACCTCATAGTACGGTGAGTCTGTCCTACCCGAACTTGAACGTGCTCCCTTCCGCACCTCCGCACCTTCGCATCTGCTACTAGTCATGGTAGCGAACTGCGTATGCCGCGACTCGGAGTCGGCCCGGGCGTCATGTAGTATTCCTATACACTATATGATCTGGGATAATGGTAGAGGAAGAGAGTACAATAGCAAGTATTGCGGCGTTTACTGCCGCGACTAGTAGTCACGGTAGACTCGGAAGCATCTGTTATTATTAATGAAAATAAGATACCACAATCATGATGTACATAGTATGGCCACGGCATGTTCCAGGTGAATGTACATGTGCGCCCCAGTCCGAGTCCCTTGCCAGCTGCGATGGCAGTGTATTACAATTTGTCCCGAACCTATCTATGTTGACCCTTGCTAATGCGACTTGTTCTGCAGAATGTGTTGAATTATCTTGTGATAGGAAATACAGACAATTGTAAGTGAAGATGATCTTCAATGGTGATGCGTGTGCGCTCCTGTCCCTCGCCAGCTGCGATGGCGGGGTATCATAATTCTGTCTCGAAATGTCAGGCAAATATTATATGTTGACTCGTGCCAAACGTCACTATTCTTCGGAATACCTTGAATGATATTGTAACTCGAAACATAAATTATCGTAAGTGAGAACACTCGACAACATCGACACGAGCGCGCTCCCGTTCGTTACTAACTACGATGGCGGGGTATCATAATTCTGTCTCGAAATGTCAGGCATATATATATATGTTGACTCGTGCCAAACGTCACTGTTCTTCGGAATACCTTGAATGATATTGTAACTCGAAACGTAAATTGTCGTAAGTGAGAACACTCGACAATATCAATACAAGCGCACTCCCGTTCGTTGCTCGCTGCGATGGCGGCATCTCACAATTTTGTCTCCCAATGCCAGGCAAATATATATTTCTTGGTTCGTGCCAAAGTTAATGTTCTTCGAAATACCTTGAATGATATTGTAACTCGAAACGTAAATTGTGGTAAGTGAAAACACTCGACAACATCAATACAAGCGCACTCCCGTTCGTTGCTAGCTGCGATGGCGGCATCTCGCAATTTTGTCTTCCAATGCCAGGCAAATATATATTTCTTGGTTCGTGCCAAAGTTAATGTTCTTCGAAATACCTTGAATGATATTGTAACTCGAAGCATAAATTGTGGTAAGTGAAAACACTCGACAACATCAATACAAGCGCACTCCCGTTCGTTGCTAGCTGCGATGGCGGCATCTCACAATTTTGTCGTCAACTCCTCATGTTTATTTACAATAACAACAGTCTATGGCTATGTATGAGCAAATCAAATTTCTCGTAGTATACATGGTCATATTTGGTGGGAGCATGATTAAATCCTTCTATAGTTGCCACAGCCACAATGTCAAGGAGTCACACGTTCACTGATGCAATTGCCGCCAACATAGAAACTGGGTCTCTTAGACCCTCTAGAGTCTACAGCTGTCTACAGGCACCGAAAAGTGCTGCCTGAGGTGCTGGGCTGCTGGCACTGGACACACTGCAGTCTCGTGCCCTTCTGCGTGCGACCTCGCGCTCAGTCGTCGTTCAACTGCATTTCACCAACATCCATCCATTCAATCTCAGGTAGCTCTTACCTTGCAGTTTTTATCACTCCGCGGTAAGTGGTAGAGCTTGGTCGTTTCACTGCCTAGTTCATCAAGAACTCGTCATCTCCTTTGGACAGACAACGTCAAAACATCGTTTCACAACTTCAGGACACATCCTAAAAAGATTGAAGTTACAGCTTAGTCTTTGATCCTTGGATCAGTGTCTTCGCAGGTCGCACAGTAATCGTCGCTCCTATTATTTCTGACCGCACTGTTGTACCGACTAGTACTCCTCCGGGTCCATCAGAGAACTGGTGGACAGATTAGAATGAGATAGATAGCAATATATAGTAGACAATCACAAGCATCAGCAAAATTCTGCCATCGATCGTCACATGGTCATATTTGACCTTACATAGGACAGTAGAGTTGCTGATTTTCTTACACAGTTTTGTGATCAGGGAAAAACACTCACATTACTCCACCTCAAACTTAGCGACAAGGTGGAGCAACAGTTAATGATCGATCTAGAGACATCAACAACCGCCACGTCGAAGTTAAGGTTCGCGATTTCGGGGCCAAGAGGAAAAGACACAATCTTCCAGCGAACGACAACTGTCCACCAAGTGAGCGAGACCAAATTGATGTCGGGCAAAGCTAAAGGTGGAGCCAGAATGAATCATAGACGCAACTTCAAGAAGTCACGTTCGCGACTTCGAAGCCAAGAACCGTATGCAGCCTCTTCCAAGTGACCCTTACATCGCTCAAACTCAAACTTCAAGGGAAGGTGGAGCAAACGCTGATAGTTGAGCTGGATGACTCACTACCACCGTGTCGGAAGTATGTTCCATATCGTCGAAGCTAAGTGTGAAGGTCAGCATCTTCACAGAGACGGATGATATGTTCAAGCGAGCGATGATCAACTGATGTGACTCCTACTTCAAATCTTGACGCCATCTTCTTCAGAAAGTGAAAGAATGCATCTGCAATATTGCAATTGGGAATCTGTGCGAAAAAGACATACCTTTGCGCACCAGCCGGAGCGTGTTCACGCTTGGCATGGGTGCTGTATCATTATGGTTTAGTACTTGGCTCAGGGCTCCTGCGTTTATCTAATAACTGCAGGTTGTAGGTTCCCTTTGGATAATGTCCCAAAAGGTTGTGGCCTTGCGCGGACGCTGTATCATTATGGTATAGTCCCTTAGCTCGGGACTTGATGGCATTGGGTCATCGACCACCCCGAGTACATCGCTTACCATTCAACGAACATAATGTATATCGTGTCATGGTTCGCGACAATCGTGTGTGTTGGCGCGCCACACAAGAAATTCTTTATGCAGCCCTTTGGGACCTCGGTGCTTTAGGTTCTCGATCGAACGACAACGTTATCATCACGCGACAATCTATTTCAATTGTGTTGATCCCGCAGTCCATACACCTTGTCCTGTGGTTAGCTCGATGATTAGAAAATATGGAGCTGATCATGCTCGTGCTATACTTCCTGCATTCAGCCCATCCGACACGAGTACGGAGCTGACCATGCTTGTGCTATACGTCCTGCATTCAGCCCATCGACCACGAGTACACAGGTTCACGAACTGAAGCTCGAATTGTACCATTGGCGGGGATGCTTGAAAATACGAAGCTGACCATACTTGCGCTATACTTGCTACATTCGGCCCATCAGACACGAGTACACAGGTTCACGAACTGGATATCGAATTGTACCATTGGCGGGGATGCTTGAAAATACGAAGCTGACCATACTTGCGCTATACGTCCTGCATTCAGCCCATCGACCACGAGTACACAGGTTCACGAACTGGAGCTCGAATTGTACCATTGGCGGGGATGCTTGAAAATACGAAGCTGACCATATTTGCGCTATACTTGCTACATTCGGCCCATCAGACACGAGTACACAGGTTCACGAACTGGATATCGAATTGTACCATTGGCGGGAATGCTTGAAAATACGAAGCTGACCATACTTGCGCTATACGTCCTGCATTCAGCCCATCGACCACGAGTGCGCGGATTCATTATGCTAACAATACTGTTGTCGTCCGGCAAAGTTATAGACATCTTAAGAGCAACATAATAGCAGCGTGATGAGGTGTCTTCAGTTATTCAAATTCAAATGTGGCTGGCGGATAGTAGAGCTACTTGATAATAGGACAGTACAGTACGATGGAGGCAGATTTCTAGCTAGAATCGAAAGAAGCGTCATCTAGCTGCGCCCGCTGCCTTGCAAGTGCGTTCACAGACAGGTTGGCCTTCGCTGCGCCGCTAAGCTCCTCACGACGATTCCTTCCAAAAACCTTTCTAATTGCCAGCCTGTCAGTGGAGGTTCATTGAGGGCATAGAGTACTCTACCTCGTCCACCACTCCAGGAGTCGGTTGACCCTGCGCTGCGCTTCTCGACCGGGGGCCATTTCGAAGAAGTCCACAATGGTCTTCCAGAACTGGATATAGTCGAAGTCGCCATCCACTGACCGCCATGAGGTAATGGAAGAAAGCGCAAATCGCACCTGTCAGTGCAGCCGTCGTTCATAAGTGATTGCAGGGAGCTTTTGCAGCATGACTTACCTGACACGCGATGTAGGCAATTGAGCGAGGAGTAACTTTATTCATCCTGATAATCTGCGCGACGTGTTTTTTGACTTTGGCTCGCGAGAATGCACTTTTAGCCCGTCGGTTGTTCTCGATGATGTCTGCGCCATCGCCATCACCCTCAATGTGCTTTGCTGAGGAGGGAGACGTGAACACAGCCTTGTAGGCCTGCAAACAGGGTGAAGTGGTGGCTGCGGAGCTTGAGACTCACGAACCTGTATCAGAATTTTTCCCTTGAATAAACCTTCCTCCAGATTGTCAGGGTTGGCGGTGTACTTTTCAAACACAAATGCCGGAAAGGACAGTTCTGTCACAACATAGCCCTCCGATCTATCTCGAATCCCTGCCTTCACTCTGGTAACGAGTTAGAGTTGCGCAAGATACTGTGTCCACCACCTACAATGGATTGCTCCAGTTAAGTTCAGCAGGGCATAGTAACTTGCCGCATGCGTCATTGATAAACCCGCGGCAGTGTTTATCGTCAGGATCAACCGGGGGGGTTGGATTGAGTTCGAGATTGACCCAGTTGGAAACTAGAGTTTTGAGTTTTTCCGTATCGTCTGCCCGAGCGCCATCGGCCCCCTGCCTAAGCTAAAAGAATGCTCAGCGTTATAAAGCCAGCGGTTGACTCAAATAACAGCACACACCGTTTTTAACATGCAGGCATAGTCATCGTGCCCCATTTCTGTGGCCTTCTTCAAAAACCACGGCAAGGCACTCACTAAAGCAATGTACCCTGTTTGCAGCCGGTCCTGACTATATAGACACCAATGAGTGCGCTCGTAGTGGAAAGCTAAAGGCAAAGGTGCTTACTCTAGAGTAGCGTCCTCATCGCCACCATCCTCATACCTTCTGTCGTTTTCAGCGACCAGATCCTCTATACCGTCGAACAGAGTGATGACACGCCTGACGGCCCTTCCCTGAGCTAGATGGTAATTAGTTTGCCTAACAAATAGTGAGTAAGGTGGGTTTAGTGCAGGCAGTCGGGAGGCATACCTTTCTTTCACCGCACGCCCCGACTCCAGATTCTCTACCTTTCCCTCCAGCTCGGCAATTCTCCGTCTCTGCCGAGCCTGCACAAACCCTGACTCTGCCTCTGCCTCTGCTTGGGGCATTTCTGGGGGCTGCTGACTGCCGCGGCCATCCTGCTGCCAGTTGGTGCCGGAGGATGACATGCTGTCCTCACGTCGCGACATGGAAGAAGGGAGAAAGGAGGGCAGTAATATATGCTTTGGGAGAGCAGGTGAGGGGTGGGAGGTGATGGAGGACGATGGAAGGAAGAATAAACCAGCGCCTGCTTTATACCGTTGTCCCTGCGGGTATGACCGTTTAAGCAGGAGCGCAGACCCGCATCTCTCAAAGTTGCGAACTGGGCCTATGATATATCGATAAGGCTTCGCTTGCTCCTGTTGGTGACTCAAAATGGACTGGCCCAAAAAAGCGTGATTCAGCACTAACTTAGCGTGTGATTGTTGAATGTGACGCATTCTTTAGGACGTTTAGTTTTGTGAGCGAGCCGCGTGAAACGCCGCCGGAAGTAATCTTGTCCAGCTTTTGCGTGCCCTGGTTCACCCTCGTATTTGAGAGTCAGAAGAAATTGATTCACCGGGGCGAAAAATACTCAGATTTGAAACTGGGAGTGGCTGAATTCACTGGGTGGATGTGAACTGACGGAAACCTGAGATGCGGCAAGGTTTGCAAATTGCCCAAAACTCAGTACTCATTATCTAAATTATTGTCCTTGCTGAGCCAGTCTCGTTGGACGCAGACGTCAAGGATTTAGCCAGCAAAAAGGACCCCTCCGCGAGAATGGGGGGACCCCATTATTTTAAATTTAGTTCAACTCAAATTTGAGGATCTCACCTTCAATGATGAATCGTGGCCGCCGCATTGGGATCGAGGTCCACAACTTGGAAGGTCCCGAATATCAGTATTTTACAGACAACGACGTTTTGTGCAGCGATCAGAGGAGAACAGAATCACATATTCATTTGGATCTTTCGAGTCGCCGTCTGTTTTGTATGTATAGTTTTTGTTCTATTGAATAATCGTGGCTACTTCATGCAGTCGTTGTAGTGTCGCTTTTGCTATATAATCATCGACGCGAGGGTCGACTATCCGCTGCTCCTCGGCTCCGAACTTGTTACTAATGCAAACTCTGCAGCGATATACCCTTTTACGATCCTCGTGGTCCGGGAAAGTTTCTAAAGCCCAACTACACGCGGCAAAGATCGGAGGGCGCTCGAGAACTTTGTTTTGTAGAGCGTTGAAAATGCATATGTATGAAGATTCACCTTTCCGTCACGAGAGCACCGTGACATTTCGCCATGTCCTATACTCAGGCTAGTATTGACTCGGACTCGCACCCATCCGGGTCCGACCTAAATGACTGGGCTGAAGCTCTCATCATAGCCGTTTGTGAAGGTGACAATACGCCCGATACTCCACATAGCCATGATTTTGATCCGTGCCACGGTGGCAACGCGCATGGCCAAGGCGCCCCCGTGTACTCTTGCGGGTGCTACCGGCGCACGAAAGTCGGATCTGCACTTGCAGATGTATCTGAACAGGACCAGAGACTTGAACGGGTATAGTGGCTACCTCTACACTTGATTCTAATGGTTATTCAAGTTCTTCCAGGATGTTGAAGGTTGGAACGCGCAAGTTGGAGGCCGTAGCGGCGAAACTTGGTCCCTGAAGCGTAAGAGGTCCAAGTCAGCCTTCGAGTCAGACTCCATAGGAGATATGGTGAGTTGGACTCGTCATTTCATCACTTTTCACTGATCAATTGTTAATGTACAATTTAGACGCCACACCGTTTTGGACAAAACCTGACCAATGTCCAGCGCGCTGGGTCGGTGCCAGCACTTGAAATGCCAAAGCGTAGGAAGCTGGGAAAGGCCTTCGAATTTGATGGAAGTACGGCTCATGAAACCTTAGTGCTTGATGTTGTGAAACACCTCGAAGCTGCCATTGACAGGCAAACAGAGGTGCTGGCCAAGATTTATCGCGTTCTGGAGAACCGTGCCAAGTAATCTTACTATTCATGATACCTTCAGTCGTACACCGATAGCCACGAGTCGTGAAACAAGGAGTCGGCCGCATTGAATGTACTAAATATCCTCCCTTGTGCCCCTAGACCCCGATGGACTCCGCCTGATGCTGATCATCCGAGTCTTCCATCGCTCATCTTCTGTCCCCCTAGTACTCTTACCGGTCACTGGTTCTACGAGATTCCAAAATACGCCGAGAACTTGCAACCCATTCTCTACACCGGCAATTCCAAGGAGTGCGCAAGGTTTCTTCCTAAACTGTCCAAGAAAGATGTGGTCATCACCTCATACGAAGTTGTGCGGAACGATATTGTGAGATACTGGGGCGAAGGTGATCAAGAACGCGAAGCTGTTAAGGCTATATTACATACACAGCACCATCACATTCTTTCGGGCACCCGAGTCTTTTTGACTTCTTGATGGGCCTGGCTTCCTTGGGACCAAAACTGTAAAGTAGTCAGCTGCCGCGCCTCATAACCGTTACACCAAAAGGTAGAAATACTGAAGACTTAGTCTTCAGTACCCGCGACAGTATATGTATTGATTATGAGAACTCAAGTAAGCCAGCGTGCTTACAAAAACGTCGTTCAACGAGCGATTCAGCAAGCCAACCGTGATGGAAAGGCGAAGACTGGTGCAGCTGGTAAGTGATGTGTCCTGAGAACCGGTCCGCAGCTAACCAAATTCTCTGTAGCTCCTCTTGCTCTCGAGGCTCTGCATAAGCAAGTCCTCCTGCCCTTCCTAATATTTACGCCGGCTGAAAGAGGATGTCTTGAATGACATACCCTCAAAGATCATTCAGAACTACTACCCTATCAAGTCTCAACACACGCCGTGCCTGCCAGTGGCCCATCCAATCTTCTGAAGCAATATTGTTCGTCGTGCGCTTTAGCGAGCAAGGCCGCAGTGTCGACTACAAACCACTGTCAGGCACGTGCTGCCCTGCAGTGAAGAAGTTCTCGAGTCTGGAAGGTTGTGAATTCGCATGTTATTCGAACTGTGTATTTTCGAGGAGAATTGGCGCCAAGATACAAAGATAGAAGCACCTCTGGTCTAGGGCATGCCTAGAAGGGCTGTTGTTTTTTAGTAAGTAGGTCACGTCTTCTACCTTTGATAGCTGCCCACTTTGGACCACGATTTTTTGGGCAAGGATGTAACTTAATAGTCCCAAGTAGGTTAAATTCTGATTAGGGGCGCTCGGTCGTGGGATATCATAATCTTACCTTTTCTATATCAAATGTTCATCATAGTACGTGAGAATATAAGTACACAAAGCTTCAAACTCCCTTATTTTTTACTGACGTTACTACAATTCACGCATGCAAGCCTGTCCTACTCGTCCTCATCCTATCAGACGGTCTATGAGTCTCAACTATCATGACAGGAAAGGGCGTAGTCCATGTGCTACTCCTGTTCGGAGGCATGATTCAGCTCCCTCTAGGCCTCCGAGTTGTCGCGATCATGTCTCGCGAACCAAACGTACCAAACCTCCAAGATCACCACCTTCATCTGACACTCCCTATGATACTTCAGACGACGACATAATTGGACCTATTACCCCTCCTCCCATACTTCACGAGCTGTCTGCTTACTCGAAGAAGGCAAAAAAAAGACCCAAGCCCTATCACAGATGCGGTCCTAACATAATAGAGCGCCTCTATGGTGAGGATTGTTCAGGGTGCAATGGCTCCGGACATGTGATGGGTGTTCAGGGGGTATGTCAATCTATTTATCTTCAGATTACTTATTAATATTATTCCAGGACAAACGTAGATTGGAGCACCTGACTCCCGACGCCCTCGCTCAGGCCATCATAGCCATTCAAGCTGATATTGAATGGAGGCGCGTGCGTGCTCTGGCAGCGGCTTTGCACGTCGATGCGGTCAATCAACGTTCCAAGTTTATTGGCATTACGGTCCAGAGCGAAGCTCAAACATATGCCAATGCTATTTCGGAGCCGCTCGAAAGCGCGATTGAGGCGCTCACTAGCTGTACTAGTAATGAACTCAACGATCGCAATAGTATAACCACGTACCACCATGATGTGACGTCGTTTGCCACTGCTGACTCACAGTTTGATGAAGTCGAGAGTTTTGCATGTGCGCATTTCCATTTCCCTGCAAACGATGCCATTGCTGATTGATCACTGCAACTAGTAACTCTCCTGGGATCAGATGATGGTGTCAGTTCGGATGATAGTGTCACCAGTTCGGATGAAGGCGATGATTCTTGTGTTCGGGGAATTCCAGCGTTCACCGCTGATCGTGCCTCCTCTTCTTGAGGCACGAAAGTTCGAAGTTGTAATAATATTAATCTTATGTCCTCACTTGTTGCGCTTGGTATTTTACAATAGTTCCCACGAGTTTCCTTCCATGTACGAGCTGTCAATTTTCGCTGTATTAATATATGCGGGTCCTCGAGCTGGAGGCCCGGCTTGCCCTAAACCCTTGATATGAGCGCTCATCGCCAAGTGCAAGTTGATTCAACACTGCCTGCACTTGATAAGTGTTCCGGAATCAGTACATACAACCTTGTTTGATTCTGGACGAGCCGCATTCGCTGTGTCTGCATTCGGCACAGTCGCATTCGGTACTTTAATCAATTATCCGACCGTTTCTGAAAACAGTGTTCAAACTTTGAGTTAGTTGACTCACTGTGGTAGTCAGTACGCTCGGCGGTAACTTTCTTAACCTCATCAGGCCGCCAGCAACGATCAACGATGTTTCATTAGCTGACTACGCTACTGATTATCAGGCTAACTCAGGCACTGACATAATAAGTATGTAGGTATCCCGCCAGCTCATTACCCAAGCACCGATTCGAGATCCGATCGGAACCAAATCGGAACTTCAAGTTATAGTGGTCGGAAAAGCTCGCTGAGCGCTCTTTATGTAATTTACCTACACAGCTGGTTTGGAGCCGAAGTAATATTCAGTAGTCAGTGGTGAAGTGACCACTCCGACTCAGTCCATTTCAATCTGAACCAGAATTTGAACCGATACTAAAGCCTAGTTGAGGTCTTGGTTCAATGAACCTTACTTTGCTAATCACAGCGGGAATTAATCCAACAATTCCTTTGGTACTTTTCCATTCAATTGTTAACGTTCAGGGGCCGGCCTCGAGGTAAGTGCAAGAAGCTTCAGACGAGTAAGTATCTAGTAAACCAGCTGACCACGTTAAGATCACATCACGATAATGGATCGCATCGTCAACAGCTACAAGTGGCATGAGTCAAATACCAGCTTGAACGCCCAAAACTCGTGAGTTTCCTGCAGCAATCTTGCAACCATCTGTACTGACTGTGTCACATCCAAAAGTTGCTGCCTCCAACTTGATTCGAAGATTCCCCTCAAATCAACGTCCAAACAGGTAAGCACAGCTGCTAGTAGGCAATTCATGCTATTATTATCACGGACTGACCGCGCACAGTTAGAATTTGTTCGACGAAATGCCAGCTGACCGACATAGCGGTCGCTCAGGCCAATTGCCCGGGCATCGACCAAGTCACGGTGCCGGTTACCCATCTAGCCACTTACCACTGCCTCAGCCACCGCAATGGAACACGGTACCGGCGGGCGGCCTCAGTCACCCTATGAGGCGCAGCGGTCGCCCGAATTTCGGGTTTCAATTAGAGGACAAGGAATCCCAGCCTGCGTCGCAGGCCTCTGATATTAATCACGAGGCGAGAACGCACAACACGGGCGCCTTTATCCATCATGCCCTCCGCTTGCAGGAGCCTGTGGCAAGTGGTAGCCAGCACCAGCCCCTGGTGTATGGTAACTCAATGCTCAGCGCGGGGGCGTCTAACTATCATACTACCTTCCGCTTGCAAGAGCCAGTGGCAAGTGGTAGCCAGCACCAGCCCCTGGTGTATGGTAACCCAACGCTCAGCGCGGGGGCGTCTATCTATCATACTACCTTCCGCTTGCAGGAGCCCGCTGGTGGTACCCGGTACCAGCCTGGCGTCGAAACTGGGGTCGATTATTCCTCTGGTTATCATAACCCACAGCATGAGGCTTCTAACGCCGGGACAGCGTTCAATGCGGCCGCATACCCTAACTACCAGACTATGCACTCGCAGGATCCCACGGACGTTAGCCACCAAATTCTGCGGGTTGAACCACGGTCCTCCACAGTTAGCGCATATCAACCATCCACGAGCCAGGGTTTTCATGACAGCTCCATACCCCAGAACGCCCCCCAGTTCCCAACCGCCCTCAATCCGGCTACCGACATGAGTGCGAGTCAAGTCACTCAAGTGACTCCAACTCAATCAAGTGGGCTGGCTTTGGGCGCCCACAGCTCGAACAACCAAGGCCACTTCGCTTCCTACGATTCTGATTCTGATTCTGATTCTGATTCTGATTCTGATCATGTGCCTGACGTTGGAAAGCTGTTCGAGCAAAGACCGGCACTAGTACGCCGGATGGTTGTACGCAAACAGCCAAAATACATCAATAATATCCCCTCAGCATCGACACAGTCCGCTCGAAGTAACTCGTACTTGCAGGTCGAATCTGCATTGGTCGACCGCGTGAAGATTGAGGCCACACGTCGAATGAATTTGTCACTATTTCAGAATTCCCTATATCCTGCCTCACGTGATATTACTAGGTTGGCCGGTACAGCGCTTGACGGTGCGATCGCCGATTCCAAGAACGGTATTTATTCATTCTCCTTACAGTCCTTCTGCGACTCACGAAGGACACAGCGAAAGACCTCATATTGTGGAAGTCGTGGCCAGAAGGTCGGCGCACCCTCTCAGGGCTGAAAGGGGTTGTCCGAAAGGTCCACAGAGACTCCGTGGGCCGTGCCCAGGGTCTAGTGCTCGGAGGTTATCAACTATTCCTTCACGTTTTATTCAAGAACGCGAACGAGATCGCACAATCGCGCCAACGGGACGCATCAGGATTTCTATTGAACGATGATTATCTTGACACGATTGTTCAGGTAAGCAATCTCAATGTTCCTCCGCTTATATTTGACGTTCCCTTCAGCGGATCATGGATGATGGGCAAACCCAGTTGGTCTGCATCCCATTCTCGAACTCCGTCGTCATCGGCATCTTGGAATATATCCTAATCGATCAGGGTTATCGCCAGTTTATATCCCTCGAAGGGTCTGACTGGGAGGTTTCCCTGATGAATACAATTGCCCTTTCTGCAGCAATCTGTAACTGGGTACTACGACAATATTCGAAGAACGGCTGGTACCAAGCTACCGATTTTCACACTCCGGAAAGTGAGGCCTGCTATGCGAGAATGAAAAGTCGGATGTCGTCATTGGTCGGCAATGAGCAGGTGGAGTTTCGCAGACTGTTATTCCTCATTCGTGATGTACTGTTACAACTTCCACTTATTAGTTAAATTTTCCTCCCGCTCCAAAATAACATGCATATTTTCGTGTTGCGAGACCGCCTTACAGCTGTGTGCGAAACTAATGGCAGTGGCAAAATTTTGGCATCCGCGGTGACGAAAAAGGAAATACATAGAACGACGCGTCCTGGATGCTGGGGAAAGCTTTTGTGACTTGTCCAGGTTTTTCAGACACTGTTAGCCACCCCTACTACGTATACTTTCGCTATATGTGTTATATATACAATTTGCTATGGCGAAAGGAAAGAAGCCTGCCCCGAAGAAGCCCACAATTAGAGTACCACCAAGACCACTCCTCTCACTGACACCAAATGTTTCACAGATATCCACCAATTCCCATCCGTGATTCCACAGCCGAAGTGCGCAGTCTTTGAGATCGTTGCTGATCCTTCGGTTAACCATAGTATTTACGTGACAAGGCTGCGCAAGCTAGCTGGTGTCGCCAATGTTGTCTGAAAAGTTTATAAATGCCTGCGAGCGTCTTGGACGCATTGTTCTATGTATTTCCTTTTTCGTCACCGTGGATGCCAAAATTTAAATTTTGCCACTGCCATTAGTTTCGCACACAGCTGTAATCTCTCACGTAATCCAATGGTGGATTTCATACAGTCTCCGCGCTCTCAAATTGTCCAGCACCTGACCTAGTTATGTTCTCGTTGTCAAATTCTGATCAAATTTGGGGTTGACCGGTTGCGCTCGGAGCCTTGAGCGTTTGTTTTCAGGGACGAGCCAACAATGAATATGTGTTGCTGGTCCGACATTGACAATGTACACTCCTTTATCTCTTGCGTGGTTTTCTCATTATTTTGCTTAAAGTTGCGAGATTACCTTCAACTTCGCCATGCAAGCCATTGACAAGATCGTCAACTCTACTGGAAAGACTTACTTTATGTCCGGTGGAAACGTACCCTGTCCTGTAGTTTTCCGTGACCCCAACGGTGCAGCCTCTGGTGTCGGTGCTCAGCACTCCCAAGACTATGCAGCCTGGTATGGCTCAATTCCCGGTCTCAAGGTTGTTAGACCTTGGAGCGCAGTGGACGATTGCAAAAGGTTCTTATTTTTACACAGTTTACTGTCCGTGTGTCTAACGACTTTATAGGCTGCCATCCGATCCTAACCCAGTCGTATTCCTCGAGAATGAGATGATGTACGGTGTCACCTTCCCCATGTCCTCTGAAGCCATGTCAGACAACTTCACTCTTCCCATCGGCAAGGCCAAGGTCGAGCGCGAAGGAGCCGATATCACTATCGTGGCACACAGCAAAATGGTCACTCGCAGTCTAGAGGCTGCCGACCTTTTGGCAAAGGAGGGCGTCAAGGCCGAGGTCATCAACCTCTGTAGTATCTGTCCTCTGGATATCGACACCATTAAGTTTAGCCTGATTAATCGTTTGCTCAATTATTATATTACAGTCTTCTCATAGTCGAGGGTGGTTTCCCCGCCTTCGGTGTTGGTAGCGAAATCTGTGCACAGATCATCGAGAGCGAGGCCTTTGACTACCTTGATGCTCCAGTTGACCGGGTAACTGGTGCTGATGTACCTACACCAGTACGTGTCGAGATGATACTTCCGTGTACTTATTCTGACATCTTTCATTAGTATGCCACCAACCTGGAGGCACTTGCATTCCCCGACACACCTCTGATCGTCAAGGTCGCCAAGCGGGCACTTTACAGGACCAACTAGGCACACTTATACTTTTATTATCGCATCCATTTGCTCTCGTACTTACACACTCATGGGCATTAGTAGTCCTCTGGCCGCAATAGACATAGTACCCATTCAAATTGGTGATCAGACCGGCCTCCGTGTCCGTCTGGAGGAATGCTCATTGTAACGCGCGGCAGAACCATTAGGTACTATGTCTCAGAGTAAGGTAGCACAATGTCACGCGTCAAATAAGGTTCGTCGGCGGTTGCCATGTACTGTACAGTGGCTGCACTTTGACTGTTATGGGGACTTTGACTCGAGCCCGCGCTCCACGCAGTGTGTTGATGTAATTCAGTGGCTGATCAATGTTCTGCCAGTGATACCAAACATTGCTTCTCTAAGGATTAAATTTCGTCCTGTGCAGTGGTGTCTTACTTTGCATCGTGCACGCACTTCAAATACAGCCTTCTTATTGCCGTCCACTCTGTTATCCCCGCCATGACAACGTCTGTAAACTCACCTTCTCAAGTCCCCGTAAACTGTCGAGCTCCCAATCATCCTATCTTGAGGTCGGCGTTCAAAATCTTGCGCATTGTTGCAGTCTCCCAGAAGTCTCTCGACCATTGGAAAGATACAAGGAACCGAGAATGGAAGGAGCATGTCAAAATGATGGTTAATCGCTTCCAGAACTCAAACGTCACTGTATGTTTGATATGATCTTTATGGGTAGCGTTCAACGACTGGGTTTTAGGCCGGGCTCGTACTCGCAACGTTAACTACTACTCTGTTCCTGTCGTCTCAGCCCCCTATTGAACATTTGATGGCTTATAACACTCCAATCTCGTACATCTTCGCCATGGTTGCATTTGGTGATGCATTGCTCAGCGTGATATCCGGAGCTGATGTGCTCATTATCTATGAAACTAGCACCACCCACAAAGACATGGAAAGCCTCAAAGTGAGCCTATTTGTCTGGACTCTGAGCTGCCTCATGGTTTGATACGCGGCACGGCACATGTCACGACACCGTAGGTCATGCTTTGTAGGGTCTTTGAATCAACGCTCCTTGGCCACTGAGGCTCACCATGAGATTTCTGTTATCAGAAATATCGCTGGTAACCCACATTGGTGCGTCTTTTAGAACGAGTCTCATAAACCAAACTGAAAACATTTCAGTCAAATGGGACAAATGGTCTTTTAATCTCATAGATACACCGGTCATGCTGATTTTGGTATGGAAGTGGGGAGTGCAAGTTGCGTCGTCGATGGAGCTGTCGTCCTCATTGATTCAGTGGAAGGAGTCGAAGCACAAACCAAGAGCGTTTGGCGACAACTGGATCGGTAAGCGCATATTTTATTTCCACCTACGTTTCTCAAGTCGTCTTTAGATATGGCGTCCCCACCAGGCTTAGGTTTCTAAATAAACTAGACCGACCGGGTGCTTCTTTCAGGTCGTCGTTGGTCTCTCTACTCACCCATAGGCTGCGCCCGAACCCCATGGTTTTAGCGTTGCCGATTGCTTCCTTCCATACTGAGGATTACATGCGAGCCGAGCCAGGAATTCAAGCGCTGGTCGATCTAGTCAAACGGGAACTTTGGAAATGGGAAGAAGACGGTAACTCGGCTATACTACCCCTTCCAGACAAGCGGTATCATTCCGGAGAACCATCCAATAATGCCGCACCTTGTGGCCGCTCGGACAACTCTTTTGGAAAACCTCTCGATGTACTCCGATGAATCGATGGGAGCACCTACTTGCACGGCCGCCAGGACCTTCATCATATCTTGATGTCAAGACGTCTGCCATCTCCGTAAAGCTACTTTGAGCAACGAGATTCTCCCCGTTCTGTGCGGCTCTGCGATGAAGAGTATTGGAACAGAATTAGTAATGAACTACGTCGGCAAGCTCCTGGCAAGCCCAATGGACGTTCGGTTAGCCTCGGAGTCAGCTGATGGATCACTGTGCCTCCTAGCATGGAAAGTGAGCTGGGATAAACGCAAAGGGTGGATGACGTTCGTTTGCGTGTATTCTGGTAAGCATAGCACAAATCACACGGGGTAGTGCTCATCGAAGATGCTAGGTACCCTCAAGCGCCAGAGTTCTGTGTTCAACGTTACCGGTGGCCAGAAAGAGAAAATTTCCAAGGTTCTTCTCCTATACGCTGCGGAAGCACAGAAAGTCGATTCACTGCCTTACATCTCTGTCGGAGTCATTTTGGGCTTGAAGTTCACTCGCACAGGCGACACTCTCGTTGATGCTCGTCGCTCATCTAACTCATCGCACACATCTCTTCGACGAGTAGTACCATCAACCCGCGGTTATGTCGGCCTCCGTCGTACCCAAGTCCCATTCTGACCTCGACTCTGTACAAGAGGCCTTGCATGCGGTATCTCGGACAGACCCCTCTGTTCGAGTTAATATGCAGGAGGGCCAATTACTTGTCCACGGATTAGGTGCCCTGCATCTCGAGATTGTCGAGGGGAGACTATGGGATGAGTGGGATGTCAATTTTGAACTGGGTAGCCGCCGCGTCAGCTATCGTGAATCTCTGGGACCTGGGCCCGGCTCCAACGCAAACAATTGGGCCACTGAAGTTGCAGGAAAACCAGTTGGTGACTTCGCGCTGACATTCGGCTTCTGATGTCAGTCCTTCCCCAATACCTCTGATCATTAAATTCCACCCAAATCGACCAACGCCACAGCCATCATCATCGCCATGTGACCTCGCTCTCTCCCTCATGGTAGCCGAGCCACAGCCTCACGCTCAATCCCACCCGCGCACTAATTTTCCCATCGTGTGGGGAGAAAACTTGCGCTTCTGCTCTGCAATCCCGATTCAGTATAGAGGCATTAGCCGCGATTGACACTCCATAACTGTGGGCGCATATCTGTGCGAGCCCGCATAACTCCCTTGAGAAAGCGCATCGCACGTTCACTTTGGTGCCTCTCGATATCACGATCAACTTCACTCCCCGAGTTGACAATGTGATGGGTCTTTCCATCTACCGGTGTCCCGGACCATTGCTGTCCAGTCTCAACATGGGATGGCGTTAGCTGTTGGAAAGTCCGCGTTTCCCCGAGCTCCCGACAGCAGCTTCTCTGTATTTCGAAGGACGGTTCGGAGATGACGTAAAGTTGTGCACGGTTCAATCCTTCATCCTGCTTGGTGTCGGTCTTTTAACGAAAGACCATCGAAGACGTCGAGGTATACTATTTATCATACGCATTGAATTATACTGAAGGACGTGATTCTTCAGGGCGAGCTATTGCTACCGGTTTCACAGGCACTAGCTGTGTTTATCGATGTTATCCGCAAGATCACAAAGCATCTTGTCGACATCAACGCTTCGATCGGCGCCGATATTCTGTTGGCCCCTCTGACCACGATTTCGGGATGGTGACGAGCCTCCGCAGTGGAAACCTGTTGAAACAAATGTCCAGGACAACGCCGGTGACGAAGCAACAAAATTGCTTCGCGAATAGCAACGCGAGATGATTGACTCTCTGGATCTGAGCAAGCGAGTATGATTGCATCCTCCGCCTGCCACGAACATGGATCGACTGGATCTAGGGCATCTATAACACGGCTTATGGTCGTGCTTCACAGCTATTAACGATGTCCGCGCGGATTGGAGTGTCGCCGAGGCACAAGTATGGAGGCTTGCGAAGGGAGAAGGGGCTACTGTCATTAGTGTGAAAACAACCATACCTACTGCTGTCAAAGGGCAGAAGCTGGAAGCTGGAGGTGATAAGAAGGAGAAAAACACGACGAGAAGGGGCGAAGTCGAAGCGCTGAACTACATAATAAGCACATCATGTCGCTATCTGTCGCTGTCGAGTGACGGATGTTCCATGAATTCCGCGTGTAGTGAGTGTAGGCTCTGGTTATCAGCACAGTTGAAGAAAAAATCAAAATCAAAATCGGAAGTTTGATCTTGTGCTTGCCCGCCACCAGAACCCTAATCAGGCAGCAGTACAAGTTACTATTAACTAACGTAGTACTACGTTGCTACTTCGTGCTCAGGCTAGCCAGCGTGATCCAGATTCCATGCGGCTCTCAGACACTCTCTGGATACTGCTCCTATTTATTTCAATGGTATCATGTGGAGCTCAGGGTTGCTCTTGGGAGAGGGCAACAGACAACCGGGGGCTTAACAGGCATCGCACAGGTTGCCGCTTTTTCAAGAAATCTAGCGTTCTTGCAACTGAGAAAAGACTCCAGCGAGCGAGAAATGCAGCTTCGGCAAAGCTACTAGTTCTAAACCCGTCCGAGCCATCATCCCAAGTGAGTAATGCTTCTCTTCGAACGGACTCCTTCAAGTTCAAGTTCAAGTTCAAGTTCAACGTAATTCTTAATTCATGTCAACAGAGAAACGGGCCACTACCAGCGAGGGCCAGGCTTGCCAGTGTAAGGGCCCATCCAAGGCCAGTTTGCCCTTACAAACCCCTAGAAAAGCCCAGGTCTGGTCGGGCTCGTGCATTATTTGGTGCCCCGGGACCCGCGGCCTCGCATCACTCCAGCTCGCACTCGGAAAATGAACAAAATGATGTTGTGATGGAGGACGGCCCCATATTTGGAGATGGATTCGAACATGATATCTTGCGTTCGTATTTTGTAGTATCTACATCTACTAATGTTTGCTGATCACTCGACTATTTCAGAGGAACCCGTGCTTCGCAGGAGACGGATTCCGAGGCCTTTCGATGATATCGAGCATTTGGCCGAAGATCTCAATGAGGCCAATGAATTTGATGTCACATCACTCCCAGTCCCATCCAGAATTCAACGTGTCCTTTTAACGCTACGGGACACTCTCCAAACTGCCTTCAACTCGTTTGGAATCTGCCGCTTATACCCTCGCCGTCCTTCGTTCGAGCCCGATAAATTTATTCCGTCCTCGTTACTTGCTAGGTCGTGTCCAACAATCGTTCAAGGACCTGATTCCCAGGCACAGGTCTTGCCGCCGCCCTACCCGTTTCCCAATATGACCGTCTATCGCCTTATGACCTGGATGAATTCAGGTAGCCACCAGAAATCGGAAACTGAGGTCCAGCGCCTCGTCAAGGATGTTATACAGGCAGATGATTTCGACGCAAAGCATCTGGAGGGGTTCTCGGTGAGGAGGAGCCTGCGAGAATTGGATAGGGATGAGGGCGGGGAGAAAATCGTGTTCCCAGATGACTGGATTGAGGCCGATGTCACTCTTGACATCCCCACGAAGTCAAGGGAGGAAGGACATAAAACATACACTGTTCCCGGATTTCATTATCGTCCTCTCATTCAAGTAATCCGCGCTGCTTTTGCAGATGCCCAAGCAGGCGCATTCCATCTCATGCCTTTCAAACGGCTATGGAAGGATCCACTGGACGACCATCAGGAGCGACTATATGATGAGCTCTATGCCTCTGATGCCTGGCTGGATGCTCAGGACAATCTCCAGAAACTTCCAAAGGAGCCTGGTTGTTCGTTAGAACGCGTCATAGCAGGTCTCATGTTCTTTTCGGATGCGACTCACTTGGCAAACTTTGGAACTGCGAAGGCTTGGCCGTTGTACCTGTATTTTGGAAATCTAACCAAGTATGTACGATCATTGCCTCAATCGGGAGCATGCCACCTAGTAGGATTTTTACCTTCTGTGAGTTGTCCCAATTCCCGGATCCTCGTCTACAGCTATTAACGTCAACTTGTCAGCTTCCGGATAGTATCAAAGATATGCTGAGCAATTTGTCTCGTATATCCAAGACCGGCATGTCCTCACTTCATACTCACTGCCGCAGGGAATTGTTTCACGCGTGCTGGGAAATCTTGCTTGATGAAGAATTCCTTCACGCATATCGCCACGGTATCGTTTTGAAATGTCCGGATGGAGTGTTACGAAGAGTATTTCCCAGAATTTTCACATATTCGGCTGATTATCCCGAGAAGTACCTTCCTTTGCCTTGATTAAAATTGTCGGATCATTCATGATATTCTAGGGCTTTGATCGCGGCAATCAAAGATATGGGCTCGTGTGCGTGTCCTCGCTGTCTAACACCGAAAAAATTGTTTGGTTCTCTCGGTCTACGGCAGGACATGAAAAGTCGTATAACGAACCTCCGAGTATACGTTACGACGAAAGTCATCGAGGCGCGCAAGTTTATTTACGAGTGCGGAAATACTGTAGACGGCTCAAAGGTTGAACAAACTCTCGGAGAGGGTTCGTGGGTACCCACTATGGTAAGCACAGCTAATTTCGTGTAAATTATAATCAGCTGAGATCATTTATTCGCAGAATCAATTTGTTAACAAGCTGGGACCATTTGGCCTCGACCCGTTCCGCATGCTTGTCGTTGACTTCATGCATGAATGCGAATTGGGTACGTGGAAGGCGCTATTTATGCACCTGATCCGGCTACTTTACGCGCTTCCCGGGGGTAATCAGATGGTTGCGAGGCTCGATAGCAGGTACGCGGAGCTCGTACAGAGTACTGATATCTACTTATGAGTCATCGACTCTCGATCTCACTGTAGATTTCGCCAGGTCCCTACCTTTGGGAATGGTGTTATTCGCAAATTTGCGAACAACACCTCCGAGATGAAACGGTTAGCGGCGCGCGACTTTGAAGATATCTTACAGGTTTTTTGGACCATTTGTTTTCTTATTACGCTCGCTGACATATTCTCCATTATAAGTGTTCTATTGCCGTTTTTGAAGGACTGTTCCCCGCCGAGCACGATGCAGTCGTGCTATCTCTCCTGTACCGATTTGCGCAATGGCACGCACTCGCCAAGCTCAGGATTCAGTCAGAATCTACCCTGACTTTTCTCGAAGAGACATTCAAGCAGCTCTCTCGGAAGTTGCGGAAGTTTCAACGTGACACCTGTGCCGCCTTCAGTACTATGGAATTACCGAAAGAAAAAGCAGCCCGCCAACGCAAGTCTGCTCAGCGCTCTGAAAACAGTACCATCGCACCGGAATCAAGCCAACCTAGGATAAAGAAGTTCAATCTCGGCACCTACAAATTTCACGCGATGGGAGATTATGTGAGGACAATCCGGTTCTTCGGGACAATAGATTCATTCACAACTCAGATGGTAAGTACCTGACATATTTTACTGTTGGCCTAAAGTTAAATTCGGCCAGGGCGAGCTTGCACACAGAGCTCTAAAGGCATTTTACCCACTGACCAGCAAGTTAGACACCCCAGCACAGTTAGCTAAGCATGAGCGCAGGCGTCGTGTGCTTCGACGTGTGGCAGAAGCAGGAGGCGTATCCTCCGCTGATAGTCAATCACCCGTTGATACCTCACCTTTGATATCCTCTGGACATCATCACCGTATCGCAACTAATCGGAGCAACCCGGTTAATATATTCGCATTCGTTCGAGAACACAATGGTGATCCGGCTGTCAAGGTAGAAGTGACATTGAAGTGTATACACGCCTTACACGTTTCTTACATTTGTCGCCAGAATTTCATACCAAAGCTTAAGGATCACATCCTTTTCCGGCTGCGGAAGCTAGATATTAGCTATTGTGATCACACCTTCACAAACGAAGAACACAACACAGTTATCATTCCGAACAACACTGTCTACTCACTCCAGACGATGCAGGTACATTACACCACGTATGACCTCAGGCGTGAATACGATACTGTCA